ATTACGTAATAGACATTTATCCTTCATCAAAGGAGTTTTTATATACTTTTCATTACATGGTCGAAGAATTGAGAGAGAGAGAGAGAAGTAAAAAGTATAAAGATTAAGGAAATAAAACTAATTTACTATATAAAACATATAATAGAATATAGTCAATAAACTATATATTTGCCCTTTTAAGCACGATTGAACGCTTTAAAAAGGATCTACACACTGTGCACTGCAATAATAGACGCTTTCCACTTGATTTTCTCGGTTGTAAACAAAAGATTTAAAATGGTCTTATATCTTTTCCATCCTTTCTTTTGTTCACTTTTTTTTTATAGCATTCTCACTTATTATATGCCTAATGAATAGGATACGTACAATTCGTATTAGCAATTTGTTGGTATGACTACTATTTTGTAGTAATGCCTATAATAGAAGGAGTAAGTGAAAAATAAGTAAAGAAACGCTTGGTTAAATAGGAAACAGGTACTTTTGATTTAGTCTGCATTTGCTTTTCATTAAAAGAAATGACTTTTAGGGAAAAAAAGGAGCAATACGAAAAAGTAAGATAATCCGTTTTTGCATTTAATGCTATGACAAATTCTAAGTATTCGAGAAAGAAGAGGGGGAGGGGGGGAGGAGAAGAAAAGAAAAGAATGGAAATGAAACTGTATTTATAATACGGAGGCAAGTTACGTGAGAAGCGGGAGCAGAACGACGCCACATGTCGTCTAAAAAGAGAAATCCCTATGGAAAAACATGTCTGTCACCAGAATGCTTTAGTGTATGCATGAACGCTCCATCATTGGTCATCGACTGGTCAAGCAGAACTTGAAAATGTTCGAAACGATGATGGATCACAATATTTCCGGTTCCGCTCCGTTCGGCACGTTCTTCAATCATTTATCAACCTTTACTAATTTTTCTATTTACTTAGGTCTTAAAAGATACAAAAATATATTTAATTAAGTATAAATAATAAATCTTAGTGTCTTTTTACTACATCGCTTAGTATTCAATTTAGTCCCTTCTTCTTTATTTTAAAGTACTTTCAACTAATAAATTCATTGCAGTATGGCAATAAAAGTCCTTCTTAAATAGAAGAGAGACAATACACCTTTATAATTATAAGCTTTTAGCCACTAGTAGTAAAATTTTTGAATAATTAACTGAAATTTAGTGGACTATGTATACTATAATTGAAAATATTTTGCTTAGCTTTTTGTATATATATTGTAATTGGTTTAATAATTTATCTGGTCATTTTGCATAGTATGTACTCGTCGTCCTTCACCTTTAAATTATATATTTCTCCTTATATCGTTAATAAATTATAACTGTAATACTATTTGCATTAAGCGGATAATTTATAGGCTCGCTTAGTAACATAAAGGTATATATCCCTCCCATTTCGGTCTCTTTTATTCATCCTCCCCTCTATTTATCTACTAAAAAAAGAATTCTTAAGGTCTTACCTCGTTTTTTACGCATTTAGCTTAATTGAATTTTAAAATTTATTGTGATAAATAGGCCTGCTGAGAAAATATACAACCAGTCGTTTCTACATTTTGAAAGGGAAACGGAAAAGACCTTAAAAGGATGAAAATAGGACATAATAAGGATTATAGGCCCAAAAGAAATAATGGCATAAAAAAGTCTTTTGATGTCTCTCTTCCCAAATTTACTCAAACGATATTAAAATAACAACTAATAGCCGTCGGGAAAAGAGAAAAAAAACAGATGACCATAGGCAGAGAGAGAGAAGAAGAAGCAGAAAGAAAGAATAAAGGAGGGTAAGGGAATGAATGAACGAAAGGCTAGAAAGATTTCAAAAAAGGTCAAATTATTATTTTTTTACTCTTTTATATCTTGATAAGTTTAGTTTGTAATCCGATTAAAAGAATAATATAGAAAAACATATAAATAAACAAATAAAAGTAGGCCAACATAGTTTGAAACATAACAAAAAAAAATAGAGAAAGGAACGTGACTAAGTGAAAATGGATATAAGATGATGAATGAACAACGAGTTCATTAGTTCCCTTGCAGACAGGAAGTTTTAAAAGCAATTTACCAACGTTATAAATGATGTGTTTTTCTTTTTGGATATAAAATAACTTCATAACAAATAGAAATAAGATTTAGATAAAAAATTCATATACAATATATATATATATATATATATATAAATTAGAGATTGAAACAAAGTTATTATATAAATATAAGTTCATTTATGAAAAGCTAGCGAATCGTATATTGTTTATAATAGGATTTCTATAGAGAAAAAAGGACAATTGAATAGCATTATAAGGTATAATAATAATAATAAAAAAGGAAAACAAGAAAAAATAAAAAGTAGCTTTTTATAAATACAAATAACAAAAAAAAATTGTTTTATTATTTATTACGTAAACAAATTGAATATGTTTCTATGTGTGAGTCGGACGGTATTTTTCCTTTGATAAAGCTTTTCCTTTATTAATAATAATAAAAAAAATCTATTACACAACTCCCTAATCAAATTAGGAGCGCGACGAAGTTAGTTAGCTAATAATTTCTCACAGAGTCATAGTCAATAAGCATAAAACGAAGCGGTTAGATGTTCCAGCAACGTTCTGGAACGTCTCGCTTGTTTCATGCCATTCGAAGCACAAAGTCTAAACGCAAAATATGACCGACCACCCATCGTTTCCCCAGTTGGCCTGTCCACTCTAAAATCCATCTCATGCCAAAATAAGCCTGTTATGCGCAAGAAATCTACTTGCCTAAAATGTTTCGAGTAGTTTGGAAAAACTCTTTGATACGCAATCATTTGAATTTCCCTTCACCTCTTCCTTTCTCCAGCTCCGTTACGGCTGACCTGAAAATGTATGAATGAGAGCTGGAAAAGGTCGAATAGGTAATGTTTTTAAAGGTCTTTCGGATTGAGTAACATGTGATGAACACATGTTCATTAAAATCTCTATCATTCTTCTTTCTATAAAATCGCATTAAATTACACGCGAAAATCAACTTATAAATAATCTACAGGTTAGTCAAGCCGCCGTGAAATGAAACGAATGTCTCTCTCGCTCACTTTTCTCTTTTTCTCTCTCCCCCTTTCTCTATCTATCTCTGCATCTATCCCTCATATTTTGCGATAAAACTGACCGCCATTAAATCATTATTGGAAAAGAAATGCAAGTATATTTTGACGTTGATCAAATCATATAGGGCACTTGATATAAAGGAGGCGTCTAATGGAGTGATTTCAATCGGCGTCTCTTTCATCTCCCAGCCTTCACGGTTTTATAAACTTATTCATTTAACGAAATCAGCGTGAAAGTTTATAAACAAAGGTCGGATTCAGCCTATATTCATAGGGAGAGATATTAAAAGGGTAAAGAGGGCTTTAATGCTTAATTGTTTTTTTGTCACTTTACGCTTTTTCTCTTTTCAATGTTTGTTTGTTTGATAAATCTCCGAAAATTTTTTGAAAAAATACTGCAGAAAAGCGAAAAAGAAAACAATTTATATTATAGACGTTGTATAGAAGGCGTCACTTGTAAACGTTTTAAATGTATTTTGTTACATTAGCTGTTGAGGATTACATTTTATAAATAAAGAATCCTTTTTGTAGGGCAACAATAAATCGACGTGTTATTTGCGCGACAAAAGCTTTTTACGTTTTACAATTTGCATTATCGTAGTTGTTAATAAGCAAACAAAATCAGCGTGAAATAAGGAGCGTCTAATAGACGCCCCAGTGAAAATTTGGCGGCTGTCCCTTTCATGTCGGCCCTTAACTTTATAAACTCAGATCGGGGGGCAGACGGCGGGGCGTGACCAGCTCTTCACGCCCAGTCGCATGACCAGGTTAACATATTACCGATTATTATCTAACCGTTAGAACGTTAATGAACGACCATCCACAGGATAAATCATACTCTTTTCCCGTCACTGTCAAATTTACAAGATAAGTATCTGGCGTAAAAGGAACAAGTAATAGAAACAGACACACGGACATAGAAAGAGAGAAGAACGCTAACCCGCAGCCATTCTTCCCTTCTTGACGGAATTGTCATTGCAATAGAACGCACCTGGCTCAGTTGAGTATGATTTCCGAGTAGTTGGACAAACAGCGACAGAAAATAACAATAAAAGAAACTTTACTTCCTCTATTCTTTCAAGAGATACATTTATGCTTAATCGGTTTGACAAATAAAACACTATTCTACCGATAGATGGCATATAAGTTAAGATAGAATAAAAGTTAAGAAAGCTTAAAAGACTAGCAAGACTCGTTGAAAATTATTTGCGCACGTGTTTGTTGAATACAAACTCATCAACGTGCGCTAATATGAACATTCGATCACTGTCTCAGTCATATTTTATGACGTTTTCGGCCGAGGAGCAATATAATACAATAGACGCTTTAACGGACGCAACTTTCAATAATTCACTGCACTTTCTCTTTCCGTTTTGTCATGGTACCCGAGGCTTCTAAACACTATTCAGCTAGTCTCTTCCTTTTATTTCAACTCCCTTTGTTTGCCAGTCGCCTTACCTATTTAGTTATGTTGCACTCGAATATAAGAGTCCTTATAAAGCCAGGTGCACACTCTAACTTGAAGAAATTAGGACATTTACACGGAAATTTCGGCCAACTTTATTCGCAGTCATTAATAATCATTCATAAGCGAAATGAGAAAAGTATAGACAGTCGCATAGAGAGAGAAAGTTTCGTCTATTCAAGTCTAACGACCGGCATTATTCATATAGTTGGAAAAGTATTTTTTAAACATTGCACCTGTCTATCTCGAGTTTGCTTGAATCTCTGGAGGGTCGTTATTAAGGCTTTTCATCTAGACGAAGGAAAGAAGAAGGATGCGCACTGGCGTATGAAATCTATCGCTGACCCTCCGACACCTTCTCCCAAGGCCCTTACCGCTACGAGTTCGAAAAGGGCGACTGCTGATTGGGTGGTAGCGTCATTGCAAATCTCCAATATTGTTATTAATGTACCAATTATTATTTGTCACTCGCAACTACACAAGTGGCGACATCTACCGCCAAGAAAACAAAAAAGCATATTTACTAGTTATAAGATCAATGTATTTAAATATTCGACACTCTAATAGAAAGACTCTTTTTTTTTTAGCTTTAAAACAAAATTTTTCACTAAATATTCTCTCTCTAAGAGCTTCAAATTTTCAATTGGTGTAGGTTTTTTTTATAACAAAAGGTAACTGTGAGTTGTATAAATTACAAATGGAGATGATAGTTAAAAAAAAGGCAAAAAAAGAGGAGGACAGGGAGGCTGGGAGGGAGTAGTAGGATCAATAGAGTAGGAGAAATAATTCTAAAAAAGATTTGTCTTTTAAAAAAAAAGTGTTTTCAAAGTTCAGCAGCTTTCAATATATCTTCGCACAGTCTTTTATAATGCCAGGTATCACCCTTGACCCGTTTTCTTAGAACTCCCACAACATTCATTTTCTGTTTAAAAATAACAACTTGTACATTTCAAATATATAAACTGCACGCCTGCTAATCAAGCACTTCTTGGCGTTAATAAAAAAAAAACAACAGAGTAAATATTATCACACCAGATGGCGTACATAAAAAAAATAAGGAAAAAATTTATCTAAAAAAATAATGACTTAATAACCTGTATCTGACAGACTTCCAAATTGAAAGCGAGTTGAACTTTGCCCCAATCATCAGCCATAGAACATCGTAGGGTATAACATCTATAATTAATATTAGAAATATATTGTTCCATTAATATGAAATGACAGTTGAGAAAAATAGTCATACGCAATTTGTTTATATGGTAAATTCCTTTCTCTTAAAACGGTCTTAAGTCTTTCCAAAACAACATCGGCGCTGTGTTGGCACGTGTTAGAGACATTGTAGATAGCCTGCCAAAAAAATAAAATGATACTATATATATAAAACAAAAAACAAACACATATTGAACAGAAAACAGCAGATGGCGCCACGTTGTAGGTATTAAAACATTGGCATGATTAATTTTAGGAAAGGAAACAAGTACTTAAAAATCATATATATATATATATATATATATATATCTTTATCTTCATATACACACGTGCACACACCCACTTATATATATATACACATTGATATACTTGTACAGGAAATGAATATAATGTTCTTCTATGGAAGTAATAAAAAAAATGCTTACTATTCAAGAACATGGATTATATATAATTGGTGATTATCTCTAATTACATAATTGCGAGTTATGCGGACATTATAGCGAAAAAAAAATGCTTTTTTCGTTCATATTGATCATTAATTCTTCCCTTAACAATCATTATTATTATTATTATTATTACTTAGATCTTTTATTTCCAAGTAATAGTTAAAGAGCTCAAAATGAACAATGTGGATTCTTAAGAATTCTTAAAAGTAATGTCAAAATGTCAATGACCTTTCACATATTTTATATACATATATATATGTTTGTTTACTTATCTAGTACCTTAACTTTTCTAGGTTGATCTGAATTTGAAGGATGTCGTTTCTTAGGTGTTAACATAGTTATCATTCTATCAATACCACGTTCAATTGAACCAAGAACAGATTTCTTTTGACTTTTAGGTGTTCCAATTGACATATGGATTCTATCGAGTTCGGTGTCAATCGATCCACTTCCACTAAAATTGAAAAAATAATAAATTAAATCATAAAAAAAGACACAGTTATTATTTGTAATCTTTCAGGTAGGCGTTGAAAATGAAAAACTAAAAGAGGAAAGAATCAAAAGGTAGGAAGGAGGGGGTGTACTTTAATAGTAATTTAATGAAAATCGAAATATTTAAGAAAGAAAAGATCAACTAGTGCGTGCAATTGAAGTAGCAAATAATCCACATAAGCTGATTAGCGGAACATAATACACAGATATGCATTCAAATGCATAATAAATTAACAATAAAAAGTCAATCTAGTTAGTAATTAATCATTCCCTAAAGAGATAAAAAGGAATAAAATAAATAAAAATATATATAAAATATTTGTTTTCAATCAAAGAAAAAAACGAAGGAACAAAAAGTGAAGAGAGAAAAAGGTGGCTATTTTCTCGTTGTTGGGTGGTTTTTTCCAGAGAAACTTAGTATATTTGACCTACAAAGTAATAGAAAAAAATTTTCTCATTCCTATTTAGGTTTACTTTAATAATAACATTATAAATTTTTTAAGTAGAGATCTAATGAACCATTAAAAATAATAGCTCTTTTTCTTTTTTGTTTTTTTGCAACCACTCTCAACGACTTATTACAAAAGCTAAATTGATTTTTGATTATAGATAACTGGCTTTAGGTAATATAAACAACTGCTTTTTCGCACCTTCTTTCAATAGTCGAATTATTCAATTTACATTCAATATACCAAGAAAATTGTAACAAAATAGAGGAAAAGAATGATTTAGGCCTATAATCGCCATTTCATGCAATCAAACAAGGAAAAATCTTTCAGCAGGTTAAAGCAAAAATCTATCTATATATATCTATATATCTATATATTCGTATAGAACTCACTGATTTTGCTCTAATGGAGATTTACCAGCTTTTCGTCGTGGTGAATTCCTATTATAGTCAATTATAGCCAATAAGTTTAATTATAACGATAAATAAATTAACTAACATAATTGATTATCTCAATTACTATACACGTATAAGTATATATAGCTATACAATTTAAATGATTTCTTTTTTCCCAGATGATGTAATTAACTAATGATAATCCTTTATTTCCTCTTTTCAAATAGTCTATTAACAATGGTGACCTTTTTTATTAACAGAATATATCTATATATTCTAATTCCAATGATAATGATAAAACGAAATTTTTTAACAAACCTCTCTTTAGCGCTAACTGGAGTTTGCAAAGCCATATTTACGCTTAGATTATTTAATTGGGAATCCATACTTCTTGAAGGTGATAGAGTTTGGTTAAAAACTCGAGTTTCTATTTCTTGCTTTGACATGGGAGCTGTAAAAATATTTCTTTTTTAGTAACACTTCACTTTACTCGTATACAAAGGGCAAGATGATCCATGAGCAATCTAACCCAAAATCTAAGATATCGTATGAAATATATAAGCACATTTACTTAAAAATCAGTCTCAACAACAACTCTCTCTCTCTCTCTCCCTCTTTCTATATCAGATCATCCTAAAATTGGTTCAGGATTCTCTTATTACATTATCAACAAACACTTATTTTGTCTTTAAACAGATTTTTAAAGATTAAATATAATTAATCAGTTATTTTAAACAACATTATGTAACTATGAATTATTTTTCATTCTGCTTTTTTCTTTATCTTATAATAGCATTTATCATTTTCGGTCAACAAGTACTCAAAACAAAATACTATCGTAATCAACGTTTGTTTTGTAAATAATTCAAAATGATTATAAACATGGCTAAGCGATTCTAGTATTTCTACGGCTTTAAATAACATTTATATACATACTCATAGGTGTTCCTATTAAATCTAGACCATATTGGGATGTTGGTGGTGTACATTGCTTTTTCTTCTTAGTTGATAATGGTGGACTTTGTCCAACAGTAACAGGTCTTCTATTCTTAGGTGTTCTATTAACATTTTCCTTATCTTTCCTTCTACTGCTTTTCGTGAGAGTAGAAGGAGTTACAGGCTGCTTGAATAGATCATGTCCAGAATTTTCAAAAACAGGAGTTTCCTTAATAGAATTAAGAGTTTTATTAATGTATTTGTATGTAGTATTAATATGTAATTATCTAATTATTTCAATATATACCGGATTACATCGAGAGTTATCGAGAAGTCTATGTTGAGAAATCAGTCTAATGGGACGCTTCTTATGCTTTCTATTTAAAAGCAACAAATAGGTTGCAGTCAAATAGTCATAATTCCACTAAAATAAGAGAGTAAGACTTATATAAAAGTTTAAACATAGAAAACAAAATCCCAACTATTAGTTAATATAGTTCAAATAAAAAACAGATTTTCACTTATTATCACCTCATTTATTTCTCTTTTCAAATCCTCTCGTCTCCGATTATAGAATACAGATAATTCAGTTAAACAATCTTCATCGATGTAACGTTTCTGTTATATATATATATATACATATATATATATATATATATATATATAAATAAATAAATATATATTTAAGCCTATAAATATACGGATGAATAAAAAAAATGAAAGTATTGAATAATATTTTTTCTATATTTACTATAAAATTTACTGATTAAATTGCTAATTCTTATTATTTTCAGCCATTAAATATAAAAGGAATTTTTCTTCTTTAACAATCTAATCTCTCTAAGGATTATTCATTTCTACAATTTTGATATAAATTTATATATATAATACGTTCTCAGATAGGATTTGTTTTTTTTCTTCTTTGATTTCAATTTATACAATGACTCTATCATTACTCTCTTCTTTTCAATAAATTATCTATTCATTTAATCAATTAGATTTATTATTAATATTTATTTTGTTATGCCTTTTTATATTCTTTCGGTTTCTTTACTACCAATTGAATTAGAAAGGAAGAGGATTTGGTAAAGGCTTAGAAGCGGAAATAAAATATAAATAGGGGAAGAAAGAGCTATTACAATTTATTTCCCAGATAATACGGACTAGCTACTCTATACCAAGGTCGTTTCAAGTTCGTGGGTGAAATATTCTCAAGGATAGTTAAAGATTAACCAACTTTACCAGCCGGAAAATATTACTACAAAAAGAAAATTACGCATTTCTTGTTTTTCTTATGATAAATAAAAGGTTATAACATTTTGTTAAGTTTGATTCTATTAAAACAAGTTTTGCCTTGCTAAACTCGTTATGACTTGTTCTCTTTTTTTTGTTTTTTTTTCTATTATTATCTAAGAACGACTAGGAAAAAAATATCTAACGGAGAGAGAACCGTACTGGAAATATACTTCAACAGATATTGTTAACCTTTTAACCCTATTCAGTAAATAATACTTTCATTTGTTTTATACCTTATGTTTCGGCTTGAAAGAAACTGGCACATCATAACCAGTTAATAACCAAGGATGACAAAGTAAATGCTTTATTGGTATTCGCTTCTTTGGATCAACTTGTAAAAGATCGTCTAGTAATTTAACACTTTCCCTCGTCAACCATTTAGGAACGTCGTATTTTCCAGACTTTAGAAAAGAAAATAAACGAATAGATTACATTTGAATCATAATTTTGCCCATAAAGTTAAAAGAAGAAAGTCTATTTAGGCTAAAATTTTTACGACGCAGTTAATTCTTTGCATTATAAATACTATAATAAAAAAAAATACAATCTTTTCGAGAAGATTGGTTGAGCGATCTATTTAAAAGATTATATACTAATTATTACTCGTGGTTATGCATAAGTAAATAGTCTAATTTATCGCATATGCGATATATTCCTCGGATGAATGTTAACCTACCTGTATTTTCTTGTACAAATTTGCTATATTATCATCATCAAACGGTAGAAAACCGCATAAAAGGGCGTATAAGAGTACACCCATGCTCCAGACATCAGCCTAAATTCAATGCATACAGTTATATAATAGATCGTTAATATTTATTGAAAGTAAACATACTTCGCTGCCTAAATATTCCTGTCCAGCGACAAGCTCTGGTGCAGCGTAAGCTGGACTTCCGCAACATGTTGCTAAATGTCTTTGCATGCCACCCTAGTGAAAGAAAGTAGGTTGTTAACTTCCATAAATTGTAAAGAATATTGGATAGAATGTTTCGCTTTCATACCTGTGGTTTTGCACATAAACCAAAGTCGATCATTTTTAAATGTTGATCCTCATCTAATAGTAAATTTTCCTGTAGAGAATATTAAAAGTATAATAATTTAAAACTCTCTCTCTTCTCATTTTTCTCCTTACAGGTTTTAAATCACGATGAGCGTAGCCTTTGTCATGAATATAGGCAACTGCAGATGCAATTTGTCGAAAGAATCCTCGAGCTTCTTCCTCTAAAAGTCTATCTTTTGCAACAATATAATCAAAGAGTTCTCCTCCAGGACAATACTAAAACGTAAATTGTTAAAATTCTCTTTTAAAAAGATTGTCTTGCAAAGGAAAAATTATCATTTTTCTGTGAAAATCTATTTTAGAATTTACTTCTAGAATCATAAAAAACTTTTCTTCAGTTTCAATAACTTGATACAACTTGCAAATATGTTGTTGGCTTAGAACTTTCATGGCATCTATCTCTGTTCTTACTCTTGGCAAATCTTCCTATAGTCATTTAAAATTTATGTAAATTTATTCACAATAAATATTATATTCATACTCCTAGTTGTCGTTTATCCATAATTTTAATTGCCACTTTATCGCCTGTTAAATTATGGTAGGCTAATTTGACCTTAGCAAAACCGCCTACGGAAGAAATTATTATAATAACTGTTATTTTACAAATTATAAATTTGACAAACCGGATCCAATAGTTTCCCTGACATGATAATATCCCTTTAAAGCCGAATAGTGGCTCATTTTCAATATGTTTTATTTTCCTGAAAATTTTAAAAAAACGCGGTAAACGGATGAAAAGTAAACAATAATACAATTTCTTGCTTTTCAGACCTTTAATGCAATTTAAAAACCCAATAATATTTTGTTAAGTTCTTGATGATTCTTAAAATGATAAATTAAGAATTAAAATCACTGTATAACAACATAAAACAATAACTATTATTTTCCAGTTCAAAAATGTCCTCCAGTATTTTTACTGACCAATCAGCTACCGATATTTATACCGCATATATTTTTCTTTTCGTTAAATAAATTTATTATTTAATTATCATAAATAAAATATAAAATTAAATGTATTAAATAAATGCAAAAATTATTGAAAAATATACTGATAAAAAATAATTGAAAACTTTCAACCAATCAGCTCGCTTGGAGAATTAAGCGCAGGACAAGCCTAAGTAAACGATGGCTGAAAACGGTAGTGTAGATAGTAAAGTGAACATTTTACAGGATTATATAAAAATACGGAATGGAAAAAAGGTAAACATATTGAAAACAACTTTAATATGTCTTAATTTTGTTATTCACTAATAGTGGAAGAATCGTTATGTTGTTATTAAGAAGTTATCACCTCTCAGTGGTAAGTTTACGTAATTTTTTATTGAGCTAACTTTGTACTTGTTTGTCGGTCAAGAATTGTTAGACAATTTCTATTTATCGTTGAAATAAGAAGTAAAAAAGGCTTTACAAAAAGTCTTTACTTAAGATAATAAACATAATAACACGACCCTGGATAAACGCGAGCACGCCCTGGACAAGGGCGTCACGGCAACCCTGGGAATTTTCTTAGGGTAAAAAGTTATATTTCCAAAACAAAGCTTAAAAATTGAAAGGAAAAGTGTCCCTGCTATTTATTTCTTTTTATAAGGGGAATTTCGGCCGTTCCAATATGAATAGTTGTCTGTTATACGTAAAAGTGAACAAAGGATTTCTGTAAGGCCTACTTTTATTCGCGTTATCTTGTATGTAAATACTGTGCCTAGAAAGATTATTTTAGTAGATATAAATATGCAAGTTAATTAATAGGAGTAGCCTATTGCTATTTCTTATAGAGTAACAGTTTTCTTATATATGGATTAACAGATTAAGTGCCTAGAAAAGTTTAGGAATGTCGAGTGTCTCAAATTTTAAAAAACCGCCTGCCTTATATCTGACCATTGAATGATCCATTATATTTTAGGAGAAAAACTTCTACGTATTGTCCACATATGTACATATATACTAATATATATGTATATATATATATATAGCATATGTATGTTGGACACACGGACATTACAGACGAACGAGAGTTTGTCACGACAAACTGACGATAATTGATATCTTTTCGGTGAAAGTTCGATAAGGGGAAAAAGTGTTTTAAGAGAAGGGGGTAGCTTTTTTTCTTAATTTCATTTCACTCTCGTAGTATGGTTTGTTTTTTAACGTTTTTGATTTGTCCTGGTTTGTAAACATGTTTTTCCTAATGAATTAATGAAATTACCGTTAGTTGTAGGCGTTATGTTATTTTCATCGTGTCTATGTATATATTCGGTGGGAGGGTGTAGGAGGATTATAATTAGAGAAAGAAAATGTTAACATTTTTAAGGTCATTAACCTCTGAGAAACAAAGCAAAAGTTCACTTTTCGATGTGAAAACAACAGTTATTTATCTCAAATATTTAAAAATTCTTCAATACCACAAAGGAATTCGTAACCATACTTCGGAACGCTCCCTTCTTTTTTGTATTAGCCCTAACTATATTTAGCGGACGTGCTTTAACCGCTTTTACCTGAAGCAATGCATGATCTTTTGTTCAGTTGTAATAAAAACGATGAAACAATTGCCCAACCTTTTTCTCAGGCTCATAAAAAATAAAAAAAAAATATTTCTGGCGACATCTACAGGACGGTTGAATATTCAGTAGAAATTATTATTTACAATAATATTATTCTGTATCCTGACCTTAATTAACGTTCAATTCGTAATTTTATAATATTTAGCTTGTTATTGTTACGTAATATGTACATAGTACAGATTAGATAACTTTGACAGAAGTAAAATACTTTGTTTATAGAAGTGGTGATTTTTTTTTTCGAATCTCAGATTTTCGAATGAAATAATACTGTTTTTTCTTTTCAATCTCTTTTATCATTTTCCTAGTTAACTCTCCCTTGGTTTACTATGTTATCGATATGAACTTGAATTTTTTTCAGTCCTTTTGCGGTTTTCCTCGAGATAAAATACCACTTGCTTGTTTTCGTTGTTCGATTACAATTCTTAGTGCTAAAAAAAAATTAGTCAGTCTCCTGGAAAGGTTTAAAAATAGAATATATGGATATATAGAGAAGTGGTGAGTAGGAAGTTTAGAGAGGGAGAAAGCGAGCGAGAGTGAGAGGGAGAGAGATAGAGATTGATGACTGATTTACATTTTAATCGACAAAAGTTGGCACGTTTAAGAATTTTCTTCCTCAGAGCCTTCATTAAGCGCTTCAATACTAACAACTGCTTATCTTAATTATCAGTCTTTTATTTATTTATCCTAATCCCTTTTCATAGGCCTTTCAAAAATGAAATAAAATTATTTCGTATACTTCATTTAGTAAACAATAAAAGAAAGTAATAAAAGGTCTTTATGCATATATACTGTGTGCGATATATATATGCTGTAACGTAGAAGTCAAAGATTTATTGAGGAAGAAGAGAAAAAGAAAAATGTCAGTGTTTTCTTCTATCTTCTCACGCACTCCTCGTAAGCTTGTGTTTTTTTCTCAAACAACAAACACGTTCAAGACAACTCAATTCTCTACCCAATCGATAATAAATCTGTATGAAAGTGTTTGGCAATTTGCCCATAAATTTACGTCTTGCTGTTTGTTCTGAACATTCAGAATAGGAAAAAATATTTTGCGGTTTTCTCATATTTTTTTGTGTATTATGATATTTGAATATATATGGTATATATTTAAATATGTATGCTGTATATATAAATATATATTTGTATATATATTTATATGTATTTAGCAAATTGGTTAGAACCTGTTCTAGCCTGCTGTAACCGTTAACAATGATTGGAATTTTTTTTTTTTTAAGTTTCGATAAGGTGATTAACAGAATATTTCACCTTTACTTTTTAGGTGCCTGGACATTTTCATATGATCTTCGTTTATGTATTTTAAATTTAATCAACCTTTAAGTATGTTACATAAAATCAATATATAAATAAATATATAAAGGATATTTTTACATATAGAACAGTATGTTTATAAGATTTATATATATATATATAAGGTTATGTTTATAGTTTACTATTGAAATAGTATATTTTAAAAGTAAAAAATCAAGATTTCTACATGAAATTAAAGTCCAAACATAAAAAACAAACATAAAAACAAATAAAAAATAAATTCAATTGTTTTCTATTTTTAAAACTGTCATTTTTTTTCTTTAATTATATTTAGTCGTTTTTTTTTTACTTCTTCTCCTCTCTTCTTATTTCTTATTCTTTTAATGTTTAAAGGTCAAATTTATCTCTCTCTCATTTTCTATGTTTAGTTTTTATCAGCATTTTAGTTTTAAATTTTCATAATAATAATGAATTATTCAATGTTTACTTTTGTCGTGGAGTTTTTTTGTGACTAAGGCATTAATATTAAATTTTATTTTGAAAAGTTATTAATAGTATTCTTGAAATATTTCAGATATTTTTGATTTATAATCAAAAATTCCTTTACAGTCCTTTATGATTTCTAACTGCTATTCCCCTTATTTCTTCGTTCTGTCTGATTTTTTGTGGCTTAATCATCGATTTTGCTCTACCTAATATGACTGTGGATTTAAACAATATCTTTATAAGGTTCCAGTAGATGGCGCTTTCGAAAACCTCCTTACGGGTGTTCTCTTACTCATAAGAGTTGTTTGTGAGTTATAGACTGAAAGTGCGAAAAGAGGCTATGATACATCCTAAGTAGTTAACGTGTTTGTATTAACATCTGACCCAGATATCTAGGAATCATGGAAACGTTTGTTCATAGACTCAGTGAACCTGTTTAACAACTATACTTTTCCTGTATTTCTGTCTGATACGTTAAGAGTAATTTATGACCTTTATTTATATATAGAGCTGCACCGAGTGGCTTTCAACGAAATAATTCAAAATTTTGATAAGAAAATTATTTAGCTGAATAAGAATTCTTATTTTCAAATTAAAGTCTATTTATTTGTTTTAACAGACTGTGAAAAAAATATTAATATATATATATATATATACAAAATATTAGAATGGCGTATAATACTTGCCAAAACATGTAAACAAAGATAGAAAGAAAAGAGAGAGAGAGAGAGAGAGAGGAGGGGGAGAGAAAGAAAAAAAGAAGGAGGAAGGAGAAACACACATAGCAAGAAAAGCTATATAATATTGATACGGAACTTGAAAAAGGCTGAAAAAAGAAAAGTTGAAATTATGTATTTATCAAAATTTTAAATAAAAACCCGATGAATAGCCAATGCGCTTTCCTCTACTCTACTCTCTCTTCCTCTCTCTTAAATATAATAAAACCCCGTCAAACATAGTATAATTTCCCTAAATGGCCATTAAAATATTGTCTTGTTGACGTTATGCTGAATGGCTTTTATTAATAATTATCATTTAATTGATTCATTCTGCTTTCTTATACTTCCTTCTCTTTTGATCCACTTTAAACGTATTTTACTATTAAAATATACTTGAAAAACATTTTCTCACCATGGTTAAATGTATTGTATACACAAGATTAAGTGACGGATTTTGTAGAGTGGACGTTTTAGACGCTTTTATTTGTAGGGTAAATGTTTGAACTGGTTTTTGAAAAAAAAATTAGTTTTAGTAAAGAGTATTAAAGCGAGAAGGAGAGAGAAGATAATTTTCTTGTTTACACACGCAAATAGTTGTAAACACTATCATAATGAAATTACGCATACGGTTGTGCAAAACTAATAAAAAGAGGAGCGACAAAAAATTGCATACAACTAACCTTTTGTTTAAAAGTAAAGCTAAGGAAAAAAGAGAAGCGTTCTTTTTCAAAGAAAACTATCGGCTTTTAATATCTTTTAAAGTTAAGAATTAATTAATTAAATGTAATTATACCATCCTCTTTAAGATTGAATGTAACCTTTATCCTATATATTTATCCTTTCTAAAAAAACAATAAAAATGAATGGAAAAGATTTTAGCCAATCCCTGTTCAATTTAAATACAACGGGAAAAAAACGTTTTGAAGGATGCTTTTTAGGTCGTTCTAGACGTCCAAATGCACTTGCGTTGTTTTGACTTGTTTCGCATAGTGTCGCCTCCCGGATTTCTACTTCATTTCCTATTCCGAAATTGAATGAAGCAGAGTAAAATTCAATTGAAATTTTTTTCATACTTTACTCTTTTTCTCATTTTGTGATTTATTGTTTGAACCAGTCGATTAACGGAAAGAAAGAGGTTAGGTTATTATTTATTGTTGATGTCACATAATGGATATATATATATATAAATAGGACTATAAATTTTTTCCTGTTCTTCCATTTATGTATATATATATATATATATATTATTCAAATATGTACTTAACTAGGATAATTGTTTGAATCTATTTAAACAGCGATTAGCAGTCTACTTTTATCTTTAAAAAAAGTCAGTTGTTCAATATGAATTGTATTATTTATTTATTATATATATATGTATATGATGGCATATATATAAACATTAATTTTCATACTCGGTTGAACTTTGGCATTAATTACACCAAATAGTTGGAAATTATCATCTCGTAGTCATTTTATATTAGAAGACGCATGAATTGAATCTTGTTATTTTGAATATTTATAAACTTGTAAATGTATCCTCTATCAGTGTGGTTTATTTTTTTTGGATAAAGGCTTAACGCTCAATTCTCTTTATCTTTAAAACTTTGTTTATCTAGTTAAATTTTCTATTCCAAAGTCTGGCCTGGACGATTTAACGGTCGTTCCTTTTTTATTTTTTCAAAAAAGCTTGTAATAGAATTAAAAAAAATTTAATACCTTATAGGCCGCGTTAAAGGTTGAACTCCGACTTGTCGGCGTCCCTTTCATCCTTTCTACATACAACTGATGAGGCGTTACGTTAGGTCGTTTTCGCAGTTAGATGTGAAATTCTCTGTTTCCCCGCTAGTTAACGCCTATAAACATAGGGGAGAGGAGTGTTGTATGTGTAGGCCCGTTAGAACTCCTGTAGTTATCACAAGGGACAAGGGTTAAAAGGTGTTTATAGGCCTCAACGGAAAAATTTCTTTTAGCGTCTAGAGATAAGAATCAAGATGACTACCCATCGTTTTCCGACCCTAAAATTGTTTCTACATTTTTACAACTTGTCAACACGGTTTACTAAGAAAAATGCATTTTTAATTGGAGAATTGTTTAGGTCTAAATAGCCGATGGGTGGATTTTTTTTTCGAATTGTATATGCATGAAGTAATTTGGCGTATAGTTGACACTGACTGACGACAATGGGCTTATTATTATGCGTTTTCGATTTTCTACACCCTGAAGGCGTTTATTTTTTGATGGTTCGTTGATTATCGGCAACCTAGACGCAAGCGTAGGAAAGAAAAGGCCTCCTACGATCTGAAATATTTTCTCTACATTCTATTTGTTCCTTTTGCACAACATATATTTTTATATAAATGGGTGACCTACCTACTTCTGATGAAAGAAGATTTGCAAAGTTCAAGTACATAGTTTTAAAAGGTCTTCGCCTTAGTTAAAAAAAGAATTGAAAAAAGAGAATAGATGAAAGTCTTAGAAGGACTATCCTCATGCTATACTTTACACATCTTAGCCATTATAATTCTCTCTCCGTTTTATCCTTTCCCCTACTCCCTCTTATTTATCTTATTAATCAAACAAGAAAACTCGGTTACTTTTTTTTGAACACAATAAAAAAAAGGGTGGAATGTAAATGTTGGAAAGGTGGAGAGGGAGAAAAAGAAATAGGGGGAAAGTGATTGACAGAACAGACGACGTATTTTACGAGAAAAAATATATTTATTGTTCAACTAGTGCTTAACAAATATTCCAGTGTATGTGAACTTGCACGATTTTAAAGAAAAGAACTAAAAATTAGAAACTTTACATACACTTTTTTAAGGTTATGCAAATTGTTTCTATTTTTCAAAGGAAGGAATTATCTATTAATATAATATTTTATACTTAAATATGAATATATTGTCTCTTTATTGACATATATATATCTCGGTGCGTTATTTTGTAAACTAGGTTAATTCAATAATAAATAAAAAGAGAAGAAAAGCGAAATTTTGCAACTTGCTTCTTTTTTTTTTAAATTATTTTTTTTTTATTAAATGATAAAATCAGGGTGACAATGAAATAATCAAGAAAACAATCATTGTGAAATCTTAGACAGGTTTATATCGGATCTCTTTTCTTTATAACAGCTAAGTTATTAGTCTTGAATACTACCCCAAGGGAATATGGGTGAGAAAAGAACATATTTTATGGTTCAAGTAAAAGATTGTTTTCAACTGGTCATTCGTAAATTCTCTAGTTTAATACAGTTATTGAAGACGCTTTGGAGCATCTCGATCCGTTCAATTGTAAAACTGTTCAAGCAAAGTTCAAGTAGGGCTTAAGCGTTCGGAAAAAATGATGAATAAAAAGTATTTTAATCGGAAAAGGTGTTCTTTGATCTCAAACGCTGTATTAATTGTTTATGGTCTAAGCTCATTATCCCTTACGGATCGTAGCGCAAGCTTTAATTAATGATTAGACAGATTAAACTTTCCCTATAAAAACCCTCAGTCCCTCCCCTCTCTGGCCCCCAACTATTTTGCCTTATCCTCCGCCAAAACACAAGAAACCGATACGAAATTTTCTCTTAAATAAGGAATTCGTAAAAAATTTAAAGACTATCAATTGAAAATCGTTCAATTTCCCGTTTGTGGAGGTAGGGATGTGATAAATTAGTTTTTAAATGCAACGCGTGTGTTTAAGTATTTCGCTACTCTTCAGTAGAATGATATTTAAGAGTAGTTTACTTAGCTTTCTCTCCCTCTTTTCTTTTGTCATTTTTTTTAAAACGTGCCTGCCTTATCAGCCGATAAGTATATTATGAGATTCGAGAAGTAGGTTTTATAAAATTGTTCATAATTACTCTTTTATTTTTCTTTACCATTTTTCATCCTTATCGCAATCCGTTATCTTTCTATGTGGTGTTATGAATAGAGACTTTTTGATGTTATAATTATAGGTTTCTCACGAAACTTTCCGACTATTCAACCAAAATTCGTTAATTGGAAGCGATTAAGGTTACGCCATAATTAATAAAACGGAATGCTCGACTTAGAAGCAATTAGAGGGACTTTGTGCAGTATTTAGCTTTGACTTGAATTATGTCACAAGGCTGCCGTTTATAATTGACAAATACCGGTCGTACCGGTCTATAATTACTTTCAACTACGTTCATTGGGTTGAATGAAAGCTAAATTAAAACTGTCCTCTATAAAATTGTTCATCAATCCTCTTTCTGTTTCTGGAAAGAGGGAAGAAAATAAAACTATAGGCCTATGTAAATAGTATTTTACATAATAACTAATTTTAATAATTTGAGAGATAATAAAACTGTTTCATTATAGTTTAAAGTTTATGATATTCCTTAATTTTTTTGTTTTCTTTTTACGTCATTTCTTCCTTCCAATGTAGACTTATTCTTATCGTAGAAAGAGAAACGTATAATTTATCATTTTTTGGAGTTTTGGATCAATGACATTTTAAGTAGATAACCGAGATTGAGATTCTTATCTTTTGAGTAACAGAAAAAAAAAAAGATTCAAGGCTATCGTTTCTATTATTCGGTAAGGTGATCTTGAAGCCTGTTCATTCGTCTTTTGTATTTTAAACAGTGAAGTGAAAGTAATTGTCAGTTAGGTATTAAAATTGATATTTTTCTATTTTTCTATTTTTCACTCATTTATAAAGAAGTATCATTTTGTTCGACCTTGTACATGTGCTTTTCTCCGGTTCTTTACTGTTTTTCTCATTCCCATTCTCACTCTACCCCTATTCCCCTACTTCCTTTAACCTTCGCAAATGTATAGGGAAGATGTAACAAAAGTAAACAGTCATACATTTTCAAGTATGGGCCTATGTATTTGAATAGGAAGTACCTGTTTTGAAGAGTGCAATCTAATTGTAAAGAAGTTTTCATATAACTTGATTTTTATATCTCGGTACAGATCAACTATTATTATATCGATACAAAAAACAAGGAGACAGCAATTGTATAGCGAAAGAAGAAGAAGTTTATTTGTTGGTTGACTTCTTTGGTCTCGATTCGGGATTTGAATTGGACAAAGAAGCAAACGTCATTGCAATTATTTGCGGCAATAGGAAAGAAGCAATTTTACTTGCTTTCCCAAATGCCGAAATTCTTATACAGTGGCAAGTTTCAATCAGAAGTAATTTAGGAGCTGGTTAGTAATATATTAATTATACAATTTATTTTATATGATTTACGTTTAATGTGTTTTTTTTTTTAAAAAACAAAAAAATAGAAAAAAGTTTTAGTAACCTTAAACTAGTCAACGTAAAACCGACGTCTTCCTCCATTTTAACTCAATCGTTAAAAAAGATTCCAATAAATATCTCAGTTAAATTGTATATAAACGGAGATAAATTTGCATTGACAACCGTCCACCAACCAGCCACATTACTTGGACAATTTAAACTTTCGCAAATAAGACGCTTTGGTGTTCCTTCTCCGCACGGTGATTATTTCGTCTTTCATACAGGATCCAGGTGTTCGATCGGTAAGTATTGTTTTTAACGCTATTTTCAATAAACCTATTAAAACAAGTAGCCAAAATTACGTAATACTAAAAGGAGTTTGAACATTATATAAGATAAGTAGTTCCTGTTGATCGTACTTGGCTGTTTTCTACTTTAATACTATACTTTTTTTGTATAACTTTAATAACGATTGCGGAAAATAATGAATATTCATTGATATAGTAATTATTTTATATAAACTATTTTTTTAACAGGCGAAGCTATCTTTCAACTTTCAACAAACGACGCATCACGAATTACGTCATATTTCACTCAAGTTATCGAAGGAAAGGTCCATTGCCAAAGGCGGTTTCCGAGTACGAAGAGTAAGTTTCTCTTTTAATTAAATATCAACTTGTCCCGTCAACGAAAAGGAATAAAGAATAATTAAGAAAAAAAGGTAGCAGGTCAGCGGGATGCCTGTTGTCGCTCGACCAGTTGACACGCGCTTCTTTTCTCTATTGCCATTTTATGAATCGACTACTAATTTACGTACTTGTTTTTTACAGGAAATAGCCGGCAGGTTTCCAACAATCGTCGACACCGTTCTTTCAACGTCTCTTCGCCAACGCTCAATTCACCGCCACCCACACCTATTTCGCCTTCTGCGTGCTCCCTACCTGAGCAAAACAGTCGTTATTCTTTCGGTTTGTAAAATATTTTGTTTATTTTTTATTATTTACTTTACTGTGTAGAATAGCAAGTGGAATTGTATATAAAAGCTAGAAGTATGTGTTTTTGTACTTGCTAGTATAATATCATTGATAAAAAACACCTCAAGATATAGGTTTTATAGGCCCAGAGAAATTATTTTGTAATTTCTTCGTTTCGCTCTATTTACTTGGAAGAAATACCATAATTTCTCTTTTTACTGCCGATAGGTCCTACCGTTTCGTTTCGTCAATCGGACAGACCGGCTGAATTAAGTTCTGAATACGATCTCGAAGTACACGCTGACGTGGATTATCTGTCTGTTCAGCTGGAAAGTGTTTTGGAATGTTCTGAGAAGGAAACTGGAGGATTTCGTACGTCATCGCCAAAAACTTCTTCTCATTTTACGATTGATTCGGATTCGGAAAGCGTTCCAGTACACCATCGAAGTTTTTCAGACGATACAACTCATTATTTTTTAGGAGAAGAACTTGAACCATCGTCCGACATGTCACCAAGACTTATGCATGCCCTCTCTAAGACTTTACCATTGCCTAAAAAGAAGAACTCGAAAAAGGGTTTTGATCAGAGTGTTAGTTCAATTGATGAAACGAAATCAAGTAGACGCAGTTCCCTTCATTCGAGTACTATTGAACAAACTGTATCCAAAATGAAAAGTTTGAAAAAGAAATCTATATCAACATGGATGAGGCAAAAGATAGTAAGAAGTGACGAAGGTCTCGATCGTTTTAGGATAGATAAACGTTTACCCTTCGCTTACGAAGCATCTCCTATTTACTCTAAAGCGTGCTTTTCCGAACCATTGGTCTCAACAGACAACAAGGAAAATAATTTTAAACCCAAATCTTTACCAGATCTCCATCGCATTCTTAAAAGTCAACCTAATAAACCTCTACCTCTTGTAGAATATACCAGCAGGAGTAAGTTAAAGCGAAGACCTGCTCCGCCAGTTCCAACCGCTTCCCCTCGTGTCAAGAAAAGTGTTTATCAGAATGTGCCTTTAACTTGTGAACAATTAGAAACTTATTGCCCTAAAACTAAGTGCTACGAGAACGTATGTGGCGATGTTGTTGAATGGCTGAAGAAATGCGGAGATAGCGAGAATTTCAACGTTAAAGATATCAATAAAATAATATCTTCAGCTAGCGCCATCTCTAGGACACCAAGTGATTCCGGTAAGTGTGCCTCTCTTTTCATTTCATTCACCTCTTGTAAAAAATCTAGAGGCAAAAATTGAAATTAGGTTAGGGGGTAGTAATATAATCAAATTCCAAAATATTCAAACGCCTTTTCGCCCTCTATCGTTAAATTATCAATTTATTTGAAACAACAAATTTAGGTAAACACTGTTTTACGTAGACCTTAGGCAATGAAGAAAATAGAGAAACAATATATCCATAAATCCCGAAATAGTAGATTTAAAAATTATACATGAATACATTTTTATCAATTTGCTACTAATAAAACTAAATACGAAAGAGCGTTAGTGCATATTTTATTTTTTGTTGCTGATTCACTATTCAATGCTGAGTTAATCATTATTTCAAAGATAACATAACATAACATTTATTATATATTTCGTAATTTATTAAATTTTCTCACTTCTTTTCTCCGTCTTGTCATCATTTAAAGGTGAGAGAAATAATTATATACCACGTATGATTTTGTACTTAAAAACGATAAATAGAGATGAAAATAGCATTATTATATATATATATATATATATATATATATATATATATATACATATATATACAGTATATATATAATTATTTTTTACATTTATTTAATATTATTGGAAATTTTATCGTTTTGTATTTCGTGTCTTAGACATACTCTAAATAGTATAAAGTATATATATAATTTACACTTACAAGCTTATTTACAAGCTCTCAAATGTATAATAATATAAAAATCATTATTTCTTCTTCTTTCCTCTCTTCTTCTTCTTCTTCTTATTCTTCTCCTTCCTCTTCTTTAAAATAAAGATATTATAAGAATATTCACTTTTTTTTATTTATTTATAACAACATACTATATATTTGTTTACAGGGAAAGTCCTCCTTTAGTCACTCTTTATTCTTTTACTTATTCAGGCTTATCTAAAAATACATAATGCATATTAATATTAACGGGTTTTGACAAATCTACTATTTCCTCAGCAATACAATAGTCTTGTTGACGTCATGCCAAATAAACTAAACAGTATTTTTGGTCTGTTTTTTTTTATTGAGTTTATTTTATGCTCATAAGCATATTTGGTCTTGTAAATTTTACACATTTCCTGTTTATATTAATATATATATATATATATATATATAATTAAATAATATACGTATAAAATATACTCCACTTTCCAACCTCTTTTACCTATTCTTGGTAATTGTCATAATTTTTATTGAATTTAATAGAATAGCTTGTTCCGTCGAGTAGTATAATACTAGGAATCTTTATATCTTCTTTCTCTAGTCTTTTCTTTGCAAGATGATAGCTAAAGGAAATATTATTCTGTTTATTGTAATTGAAGGTATATGTATTGGTTATAAAATTGAAAAGGATTGTTTAGGAATATGGACATTATATTTTAAGATTGTATCACATCCATTCTTAGACTATTTCTACTTTTATTCTTTTTCATATCAAAACAGGCATTGAAAGCGCCAATCAATACATAAACATTGATAGCAGCAGCGAAGAACGTAGTGATTGTGGAAGTGGTAATAATGGTAAACATCCAAGTTCTCTTCCAGTAAAAACTCTTTCGCCAATATCTCATTCTCTACCTGAAATGACAGATGAAACTGATGGTATTCATTCTAAATGCTCGTCACTAGACTCAGGAAATTCGACGTCCATACCTAGCGTTTCTGAAACCCTTTCGGTTTCACCTGCTCGACGGAAACGCAATGGAAGAGAACCTGTAAATAACGCCGTTGACAGCTATTTCGTTCCAAATGATTATATGATTATGAATCCAAATGTTAAGGACGGTTATATGATTTGCCCCGCAAGTACTGCCCCTCGAAGTCAATCAGTATCCTCGTCCGATGGTTATTTGCTCATGAAGCCGGAGAGAGAAAGGGAATCTTCACCAGATAACAGGTAGATGTTGAGATTTGTCCTTATAGCAGGTCTTATTATTTATAGCAAATAACCTAAGTCTATTATTAGAACAAAGTCTTTAAAGATGAATACTAATGCAAAATTATCATTCTATATCATCCCTTTAGAGTAATTTTCAGTATTAATTAGGTTGTGATTGGAATAGTTTTCAGACACAAAACATTATTTATTAAATAATTTACGTAGTTTAAAAGAAGTAAATAGTTGAGAAATGGTGTCTTGCAAACACTCTGAAAGTGAGGATAGATAGAAAGATAGATAGTTTGATATAAAGAAAGATAGACACAGAAAATAGAGATAGTTAGATTATACATATACAGTATGTATCTATATATATGTATGAACAATATACAAATCTAGAATTATAGACGCAGAAAGAGTAATTAACTATCTTTTTAAATATACACATTTCAATTCGTTTAACAGATATATGATGATGGCACCGCCTATCTCACCGGAAAGTGTACAAAATCCTACCGATTACCCTATGCAAGTACTGCCTATTAATCCTGACGGGGAACTACAAGAATTTTCTACTCCTCATGCGAAACCAGCTAAAAAATCCACCCACTTTTTTAGCATGTTACGAAAACCGGGTAAAAGTAAAAAGAATAAATGTAAAAGCGAAGAGACTGTTGATAGAATTGACGAGAAGGATGAAGAAACGTCGCTCTATTCTAGTAGTACTATTAAAGATCTTTCGGAAAGTGATCACGATACCGCTTCAACTTTGACGTCACCTCCAGGCAAAGAAGCCGAAAGGAAATTCAGCGCTCCCGCCATGTTAAACGTTATGTCAAACAGGAAAAAAAACCCGCCTCCACCATTAGAGATGCCTCCGCCGCTTGCTCCAAAATTACCTCCAAGGTGTCCTTCAAGATCAATATCCCTGCCAAAAGGTGGATATGGATCTCTTACTACTATAAGAAGAAGGCAACATCCTAATGGTACGTTATTTACCTTTATTCTCTCTTTTACTCAAGGTTTGTTGGCAGTCGCGTAGGCCTTTCCGAGAAAAAGGGTTGTAAAATGTAACTATACTTGCTCTTCCTATTTTATCACTAATTAATTAGTGAGGTCGTTCGTGATTGTAGGACATAACCTTTGTACAAGTTGCATCGACCGACTAGACCCAATGTGACTTTGCAGATCTTAATTAAAGACGTACGGAATGCATGTTTGCCCGATTTATAAGTATTAAAAGGCTTGACCACCTGCGTAAATATTGTTTTTTATTACTTAAAGTAAAATGAAAAGAAATAGAACGGAAAAGTAATTAGTTTTTTTTTATATATAGAATTGTTTAAAAAAGAAAAAAGTGCATTAAAAACTAATATAAAAATAAACAAGTGCCATTATATGAAACATTCTAAACCTTCAGAATGGTGAATGAAGGTGACATTCAATTAATTGTTAATATACAGTATTTCCGCTATAGATGTTGTTTACGTTTGAAGTTTATTATGGGCACACGAGTTTGTTTTTAAAAATATTATGTATATTTATAGGTCATTTACGTCACACAAACCATAGGATGGCCTAAGTTTTATAGTTATATGTGCGATATTAAATTAAATTCAGTCTTTATTTATCTAAAACCCCTGGACCTCTTGCTTTTTCAATTAATTGTCATAGTTTGTTCTGAAATTTCAGCCCTTACTCAATTCTCTCTTATATTATATTCTAGACGCTTTTAATGCTTCTTTCTTTTCTTTTAATTTGAACCACCTCTTTACGCTTATCTTTTCTCTCTACTTTTGTGCTGGTTTCCTTCTACTCTTTTTCCGTCTTCCGTCTTTAACTCTTCCGAGAGGCATCCCCTACATGTTTTTTCCCTATTTCGCTTTCTTTCTCTTATATAGCTAAAAGTAAACTGTACAATTTAAAGTAACTTAAAATATAATCATATCATCTCTTCTTAATAAATACAAAGGTGACTTTGACTAATCTTTCCAATTCACTATTGCACAACTCTTTTGGAATGTATTATTAGAATTGATTAACATTGATTATCCTTGTTGAGGGTGATTATTAGTATTTTTTATTATCAACTACTAATTATATATGACTAATGAATGGAGAAGATGAAAAGAAAATATGAGAGAAATCTTAAAAATCTTACATTTGTATGCTTAGAATATGGAGAAAAAGAAACAGAGAGAATCTATTTATTTGATATAGTTAGCTTTTTTCTTTTGCTACGTAGAAAATTTGCACGTAAAGGCAAATAATTAAGACGATTTCCGGAGCGATATAGAAGATACAAACGCCACGCAAATACTTTTAGTCTCTTTAAAAAGACAGATAAAAAGAAGTAAAGTAATCGCTTCTAATGTATATTTTTTCAACACAGTTTATATATATATATATATATATATATATACAGTATATATATATAAACATGTTATTTTTAATCATGTACCTGTGTATAAGCAGCCATTAAGACTATAGATATTATTATATTATACAGTCTATTAACGTTACCGTGAAGAAAAGTACATGGATTTTTTTTAGCACAACTTGAATAGATATAAAAACAACGTGTGAAAAAGTTTAGCTTCATGACAATATAACTATTGAAATAAAAAAAATAAGACAAAAGTTAAAGATATAAAAATAGACTTAAGCGCAGATGATATACTCAATTGATTTGTTATCTCGGTAATGGTGAATTATGATATTTTTTAGGTTAATGCTCATTATTTAGCATTGTGAATATTGGTAGTTTGCAAGTTTTTTTTCTCCCATGTGTAGATAGACAGGTGTGTTTTTCATCGTCCAGGGAAGAGAGAAAATGAATAGAAAATTAGATTCTAGTTAATGCCATTGTTTCTCGTCATTCACAACAGTCGTAGTATTTGTAAATATATAGCTGCATGCATATAATATCTATTTATAAAGGTGCCTGGAAAATTAGAGAATGTCTTTAAGTAGAATATCTAATGTTCATATAATCTAGCTGATATTTATATATATAGAAAGAAAGAGAAAGAGAACGAGAGAAAATCTGTCTATTTTTAGAAATAATTGTATACTACAGTTAGTACATAGATATACGCAAGTGTCTATTATTGTTAACGTAAAAATCGCAAAAGAAAATCTCGACAATACTATTTTAATATACGGTGTGTATACTTTACAATAAGCATGTATACCCAAATCAGTATGACATTGAATTTCTAAATAAAATCGTCCCAAACTTCTAGTCCTGTTTGTCGTGACTGGCAATCTAATCACGATATAAAGTGGGGGATGCTAACTCACGATATCTTATTGATTTTTTTCTTGTCGTTTTCAATATGTAAAAGATCCGGAAATAAATTTTAAATACTCTGGAATAAAAGAAAAAAGAAAACAAAAGTAAAATTAGTTTTAAGAAGAAAAAAAGGAAAAAATAAAATTAGCCTAATTTATTCTTTTGTTAAAAGAGAAAAAGAGGTAAAGAAAAAGAAAAGAATGATTAAATGAACTAATAATAATAAGGGGTTATTGAACTTTGTTAGACTTTTAGCTTCTTTCTATATTTCTTTAGCTTATTAAAAGAAATTATTAACTCTAAATAGTGAATAATTATCTATAAGGGATAATAGATTAATAAATGTAACATGACTCCTATAAGTAGTATGTACATGCGTATAAATATACAAGCGTATCACATATAAACCCAAATCCATTGGCAGTATGTTTCTTTTTTTAAAAGTCGGTTTGTCATGATTGTACAATTTGCGTGATGATATTTTCATATTTTTAATGTTAACGATATAGATTTTTATATAATAGTTTATTGAGTAGAGATGACCTACTGTATCCTTTTCAAGATCGTGTAGTATACTTACTACTTTATATACTAATATATACACAATGTATATGTAGAGATATCCATATATCATTTTTGCTTATTACACGCAATTTCAAGCATATTGATGTGTCTTAAAAATAATCCAACTATGTATAAATAACTTTTTCTTGTTTTGTCTCTTTTTATATGTTATTTTTATCTTATATATTTCTTTTGTCTTGTTTGTTGTTTATATGCCATTTGCGCATTTCTATCTAATGTATTAGGGCTGGTATGCAGCCTCCGCACAACTGCATTGGAGAATATTTTAGGTCGAAGGGTAAAAATTGGTAATAGTTATTTAATATCTACGATACCTTTATCGTATTTGAAATAATGTACTTCTGTTAAAAAGAAAATTTAGGAAAAGCAATTAAAAACTCAATTTTTTATTCAATTAATTAATTCATTTAGTGACATTACTCGCTTCTTTACATACCGAAGATTATCACTTTTTTTTCTTCTTCTTCATCTAGTTTTCAACTTCTTAAAAAAAGAGATAGAGAGAGAGAGAGAGAGAGAGAGAGATGAATAGATAGATGGGATAGATAGATAGATGGATAGACAAATAGATAGATAGTCGTTTACATAAATGTATATGTATTATATTTATGAGTCTCTGTATATATCTCATCTAAGCTATTTATCTTTCTGTCTATCATATACATATTAGCGTATCTTTTCGTGTATATGTTAACACTAAGCATATTAATTCTTATGAATGATATCGTAAACTTTTCATATAGATAACTTACGCAAACTTGAAATAAGACTACAAACAAACGTAAAATTAATTATATAGTTATAACGTCCTTTCCTCAAACGTATAGTACTTTTAACCTATCGATTGAATTTTATTTTCCCCTCTTTTTACTTTGAGTAAATATTTATTATTAGTCTATCTGTAATTTTTGCTATCATTCCCTTCAAACCCAAATCAAAAGCTTTTTTTCTCTTTTTTCTTTGCTCTTTTTCACATTGCGTCTACTTTTAATGATATATATATATATATATCAATTAGATCCTATTAATAGTTTTATTCTCTCTTTTCGCTTATCTTATTCTCTCCCTCTCGCTACCTTTCACTTTTTATATTCATCTTTTATTGTTACAAACTACATAACTACAATTAGAATTTTTCTAAGCATAACAATAAAGAGAAGTACACAGAGATGTACGGTAGATAAGCAAGAAAAGGGGAAATGAGCCTAGCAGCTTTTTAATTAATTTCAATTAATTCTACGTGATTCTATACATCGGCAAAATTGTGACCTGCGTGAAGAAAAAAGAGAAATCAAGGACATTGGCAGCTTGTCACGAGCTGCAGCGTAGGAGGCAAACTCACGATTCCGTCCATCAATTTTGCACGATGAAGCCCAGGGAAAAGAATTTCCGCAAAAAATCGTTTTCTACCAGAAATTCTATTTTTGGTTCTTTTTTACCAATAGTCTAGCTCAAGGTCGCTATGCAAAAATTCAAGATGGCGCTTATCAATTCTCATCTATTGAAATTTTAGTAAAGATCGATAGCCTCTTTTCTCGCATTTTCTATCGCAAAATTTTGCAACCCGCAAAAAAATTACGCTGATTAAGCGTTTGCTTTCCCCTCCCCCTCTATCGTAAAAAGGAGAGGGGACGGCTTGGGGATAAGGGAGTGACGTCATAGGAAACTACTCTGGCGACGCCTAGACATGTATAAAAAAAGGCGTCTAGTGGTGATTGTCAGTTCAGACGCCCACAAGTTCAGTAAATGCGTTTTTTTCTGGATAGCATCCTAATAAGAAGCTGTACATCTGGTAGGTTGAGAGAAATTTTTATTATAAATCAACAAGTGTAATTAAAATACGTCCAAGAATTTAACAAATTTCAATTGTTTGTTTAGCGAAGCGTAGGCGTAAGAAGTCAATAGGAAATTTTCTTGTATAATTTCTGATGATTGGTAGGTTGTTTTGTTTTTTAGCTATTTAGTCGATTGATACAATTAGTATTATCTTAATAATCAATTGAATTTAAATTATCTTTTGTACAAATTTAAAATGGCCGAGAGATATCAAAGGAAAGAATCAAATGATGATTAGGTAAAAAAAAAGAAAAAAAAATAGAATAGTGAACCTAAAAGATATCTTTGCTAAAGGAAATAAAGAATCAGCAGTCTTCGTGCAATCAAATAGTGTAATACAATTTCTATTCACGAGGGCAAAGAGTTTTAGTCAGATCTTTAATAATTGTATTTTCTCTTAAGAAAAAGGGAAAAGTTGCTTTAAGCATGCTTTTATTTTCTATCCAGATAAAAGGAAAATGAGTAGGCGTCTTTCGTGAAGCTGCTAAACTGCAGCGTTTTAAAAGGTCAAACGAAGCAAATTCATAACTTAGAGCTGCTAATATTTATACAGATAGCGTTTCCTTAAAACTAACGCACACCTTTTAAGTCTCTCTTTTTTAAGCCTTACCGTTGGAGATAATGGATGACTTATTATTTCGTTGTCTTCAATTTATTGATATAGTTATTCCAACACTCATCTCTTGTCGCTATCAGAGAAGTAAAATAATCATACAAAAAGAAACATACAGGCCAGAGAGAGAGAGAGAGAGAGAGAGAGAGAGAGAAAAGAAAAGAGCTGAAACAGCACGGCATTGCAGTATTAATTAGAAATAAAAATTAATATATAAAAAGTTTAATTTAACTTACGTAAAATCTATACAAGTAATTTAATTTTCGAGGTAAAGACAAAAGGGTATATATTTAATCTCCTCAGTTTCTCTCTTAGCCATTATCCTTGCATCTACTCCTCCGCCTCCCACTCTTATATTTGTTATATTTCATTGTTTTTTTTCGAATTAGTTTTTCTTTCCTTTACGACTCTTGTTGCGCACATTCACGCAAAAGAAGCGGTCTTATTTCTTCCAATTCCCTCTACCTTTCTTCTCCAGCCCCCCTCCACCCTCCTCCTCTTGCCATTTCTCGCTTTTAAAGGAAAGAAAATGAGTGCATTGTTTATATCGTTAGTGATTTTTTTTAAATATCGTTATATATTATTTATCGCGATTACTGCGGATTTTTGTTAGCGTTAATTAAAAACTGGAATTTTCCAGTTTTTTTTTTCAAGTAAAAATCATAAGGCTTCCCAACAGGAAATTTTAGTGATTAACTGTAGGTCTATAAATACCTTAGAAAAGGATAAGGAGAAATAAGAGAGCGGAAACTGCCAATAGCCGACAATATCTATTTCTTTTTCCGCTTAAATATTTAACTATTTCCGACATTTTAATGAATTTTCTCTCCGTTTTAATAGGAGGCAGCACTACTTCTTCCCGCCCAAGTCAAAGTCAAAGCCACGACCGTTTATTAACAACAGTCCAATCGACCACACTTTCAACGACTCAGTCGAAGCCAAAACACGGTCAGGAATACTATAAAGTCGACAGGAGGTCACCTGCAGCTCAGTATACACCGTCTTCAAAATCGTCAGTATTTAGCTTCGATTCAATGTCGTATCCATCCTCCAATGATGGCGAAAGCCCCAAATCGGCAAAGTCAAAGGAAAGTCACGATTACGTGAATATGACCTCTCCCAGGGCCGAAATAGCAAATCCGGCCCTGAACTACGCCGAAATCGATTTTACGAGATCGACTACAAAGAAGAATAGGCCTAAACCGCCAAAAGAAACAGTTCCCTACGCTGTTATCGATATTGCTGCAACACAGGCGGCTGGTGAGGTCATAAAAGCTCACCATCAGCAAAGAGAGAGTGGCGGCCCGCTGAGAAGGACGAATTCGGCTAAAAGAGGTTCAAATGACTCTTTAAGAAGAGTTAAAGAACGAAAAGGTTCGGCAACATCTTTCAGAGATCGACAGGGTTCCTCATCGTCAAGCCGAAAGTAGATATTTAAGAGTGGGCTGGTTCCTACTCTTTTTACTTGCCATCTCTTTTCTTCGTCTCTTTTTGTACACTTCGAAAAACTCTTTCCGTTTTATTATTATATTTCGTTTAATTCATTATAAACTTTATATATATATTTATATCTGTATATGTATATATATATATATATATATATATATTATATTTTTGGAAAACTGTCATCTTGTTTTCTTCTCTTTTTTTTGATTCCAAGTTAAGATAGATTTGTAAAGATACGGAAAATACATACAGTTCCATGCTGATAAACACAATAAATAAATTGAGACAATTATCTAATAATAACGTTTTTGTTAACTCGCTCTATTCTAGGCTTATTATTACAGTTTCTATACCACTATATAGATATTTATCATTTATTCGAGATAAATAGAAGAAAATTAGGAAGGATGAAGAATTATAGTCTAAAAACGTAATAGTAATTGAAATATTTAAGTACCTATAGGCTATCATATTACATTTTAGTCAATTCGTTACATTAGAGTAGAAACTTTAGCAAAAATTTTCAAGGATTTTAATTAATAGACTTACAACTGTTTCTCTTATCATCGCGATAAATCTTTATTATCCTACTAAGAAAACATTTTTGTTTTGTTAAGAAGATATAATATAAGTAGTTGATTATATACATTGAAAAAAATATACCCTATTTTCATTATTTAGATCAAATAAAACAACCCTAAAAAGGAATTAGGCAAAATATATGATATTTCTTAAATTCTGTATTGAATTTTTTTTATCTTCTTAAAACTTTCTGCAGGAAAAATAGCACCATATAAAAGAATTGAGAGAAATGTAAAGAAATAAAATATTTATATATACTAATATATATATGAAATTGCTAAAAAAACACATTTGAACAACCAAATGCATACTCTTTTTAAAATATATTAAATTTTCTTGGAAAAATGTCTCCTTGGCTGTTGAAGACGTAGATATGTACAAACGTAGACATAAATCCATTCTTGCTTACATATATAACATACGTATATGCGAAATTTTCACACATATTTAGATGACGAAGTAGAAAAAAATGAAAAGAAACACAATTGTAGTTTTTTATGTATAAAAAAAAGTCAAGTAGGTTAATAAACGATTCAATCTTCTCTTCTTCATCCTAGAAGAAATATAATAAAGGACGTAAAGAAATTTCTCTAAGCAAATTTTTGACTTTTTCCCCTTCTTTTCCCTTTAAAGATTATATCTATATAGACATATATAGGTACAACTTCCTTAAGATTGAAATTCAAGCTTTCCATTTTACATTCAACTCGGAACGTTAATGAAATTTAAGACTTACAGTTTTCAATGTAAATCATGAACAGATTAACATAAATAGTATGAGTATAATTAAGTGCAGTAGCAATATTAAGTTCAATAAACGATAGATTAATATTGTTTCCTTCTCATACTAAGTTTAAATAATTGTCAAATAACAGACAAAAATTCTTTCTTAATAGCATAATATTCATATTTTGACATTAGGTACAAAATATTTACATATTTTATATAATTCCCTATATCCATATTTATATAAGTACATTAAGATATTGTATACTGTATATTAGTCAACGAGGGAAAAAAAAAGAAGCAGAAATGATTACTTCTATTTGTACAGTATTTAAAGTATATATGAATATTATTATTGTTTTCCCTGAGATATTTTATCAAATATTTTTTTTTTCAGGTTGGTCGTATTGTATTTCTTTTATAATTTTTTTTTCTTTTACTACAAGTAGCTAGTTTATTTGCGCATTTCAAAAAATGCAAAAAGAAATATATGTTCTTCATTACTTTTAACAGTATTTTGTTGCTGTTGGTTTTTTTTTTTTATCAAGTAAAAAATATTCTTTTGTACATTAAAAAAAAAAAATTAGAAAGGAAAAACAAAACTCTCAGTGTTTTTTTTTCCTTTTTGTTTGTTTTTAAGTAACATTTGAGTTTTAGCATTATGTTAAGTTTTGTGCATTTTGTTTGGTTTGTTTTTTAATCCACATAACTCTTCATTTTCAGGCGCTTTTTTAAAGATGATTTTTTTTTCTAGCCATAATGCATGATAATGAAATCTTTTTAGAGTTTTATAATCACCTCTAATGTATTTTCTCCACTACTCTTCTAGAACGACTATCTCTTTTTGGACTACTTGGATGACTTCGTGAAGTTCCATCTAGTCTTTGCCCCAAACGATCATGAACAGAGGTTCTAGATGGCGCTGTAAAAAAAAAATTACTTAGTTCTTTCTCCACCTACTGCACTTCACGCCTAATAATTGTATATGATACAAAGTTTCCTCTGAGTTTTTGAACCAAAGAAATTTATAGCAAAGAAAAAATAAAACCAAACAGATGTTCTTCAAAATCATTGCAAATACTTCAAAAACCTTCCTTTACTTTGAAAAATTGTTCTAATTGTATTTCAGACAAAATATCACAGAATTGTACACTTCATGTAACGTAGTGATATCTAATCGTTATAGAATATTTATAATCCCCCAGATCTTTGAAATGTCTTCATTTCTACTATTATTTTTATTGATCATCAACTGTGCATTTTATATTTATTAACTGAATCAAATATTATATAGAGTTATCTAGACTTGTATGTCAAATATAGCTTTATATAAAATATATAAAAGCATATATTACGTATGTGTACCAGAGTTTTGTAAATGCTTAATACAAACAAGAATAAAGTATTGTTTGTTATAAATATTTCGAACATATTTTTTGGCATTGAGAAATAAAGTTATCTTTACTGAGTTAAAAAGTTTGAATTTCTTATTAAAGAATAAAGCATTTATAAAATCTTCCAAGCTTAACGTTCTATTTTATTACTATTTCACAAGTTTTGATAGTAAATACTAGATACCGCGCTTAAACTTTTATAGTTCGGAAAAATAACTTAATAGTAACTATGAGAGTGTTTCTTTAAATTAAAGTTATTATTGGTCAAATTTACCTGGACTTCTACTACAGTCTCTTGAGTTGTTAGCTGTTGAATTCTTGACACTCCGAATGCTTTTGCTTTCGATGCTGTTTTCTCTGGGAAACCTTCTTGACCTCGACCTGGATCTGCTTTTCTTTTCTTTCCTATGACGACCTCTTCGACGATCTCGTTCTCTCTGCTTTCGGCCGTCATCGGAATAAGGTGGGGAATTTCGAACACGATCATGTGCACGGCGCTGCATGACTGGGCTCCTTGAGCGAACTCTTGGAGTTTGTAATTTTTCTTCATTTTTTTCGTCTCCACTCTCATCTAAAATATCATCATAGTCGCTTGGTGCTCGTAATGAGAGAGCACTAGTCTCACTGTCGGCTCGTTTCCTATGTTCATGATTTCTTTCTTCTTGCTCCTCCTCCTCCTCAATCTGCAGAAAATCGTCGTCACTCTTGTGGTTAAAGAGTTCTAGTTGTTCTTTTGATATATCCTTGTCATCTGTATCCTGTTCGTCAAGAATATCATTATTTTCCCTAGAACTGTTTGTTAGTTCATCTTTTAGACAGTCTCCATCAAATTCTTCGTCAGAATCAAATTTTTCACTATTCAACAAATCGTTGTCATTCAACTCAATATCCTCGTCTTTCGTACTACTTAAAACGTCTTCATTAGGGAAAGAATTCTCATCCAGCTTTTCCACTGCTTCTATATTATCATCAGAGAGTAAATCGTCCATAGGCGGTGTTGAAGTTCTACTATTAACCTCCTCTTCTGATTCCGAATTATCATAGCGTTTAAATTTATCGGCACAATCTAAATAAATGACGAAAAAAATAAACATGTAAAGGAAAAAAAAAGGAAAACAAAAGTATAATAGACTTAATAGAGCATATAAACAGAATATAAATATAATAAACGTAAATCATTTATTACGTTTAAAGAACATTTTATATATAAATAAATAGATAACATAAAAATACTTTGAAACTAGCTTAACTAATAAAACAATAAAAAAAACACCTTTTCAAGATATTTATCATCTTATAATAGAAATATTTTTACTAATTAATTAGCTATGTATCAAATAAACAAGAATTACGTAATCAATATATGAATGAATATATTCTTTTTATTGATTTTTGTTTGAAAATTGAACAAATAAGTTGTATGTCATTTCATGGGACATTTCAAAAATGAAAAAATTGTGCAAACTAATTAATTAAACCTTTAATATTCTTTTTCTTTTTTTTCTTTTAACTTATATAAAGTTTATTTTCAGGTTTTTTTCAATTTTTCTTTTTAGAAAATATTATTATTCGAAAAAAAGAAAAAACAAGGTTTTATCCATACCTTTATTTATTTTCTTTTCATAAGATCTTGTTCCTCCCCATTTATCCTGGGGCCGGATCATTTCTACTTGAGATGCTTGAATGGTAGGCTCTTCTGCTTGGGTTAGAACAACTAAATTACTATTTCTTTGACTTCGGAATTTATTTCGTCCTGGTCTTCTAAAATTTTGTCTTTCGTAGTTTTGCTACAAAGAGAAAATGTTTGGTAATAGAATTTTTAATTAAAATTTCAATTAACATACCCCTCTGATTTTCTTTGGGAATACGTTGAAAGGCGCTGCATTGTTTGAAACTTGAACTTTTCGTGGATTTATATGTATACTAGATCTTTTAGGTAGGTTGGACTGCTCATTTATTAAATATGAAAAAATGATCATCAAAACTGTTACAACTATACAAACCTTATTTTCAATTATGTTGCAGCTCTTTAATGCAGCTGCCCTGAGTGCGTCCAAATCCAAGTCCTGAAACGTAATTAATTAGTTTGTTTTAAAATTCATTACTAATATTAAAACTTAAAAGTAGATTTATTAATGCATAGACTATTGATTCATTTACTTTACAAACACATTGCTAACACATAAACTTCATGAAAGTAAAAAAGATAGATGCTTTAATAAATAAAAGCAAGATTTACCTCGTCGTCGGACGCCATTTTGGAAAACGGAGGTTTTACTAAGACCGCAGAGTATAAATTCAAAAATAATTCCAAAAAATATTACTGAGTCAGTCTTTAAAATCGAAAAAAATTGATTAATTATTTATTAAATTAAAATTCAATTTCTTTGAATTTTTCGTACCAATTTTTTCACTCTCAGCTTTAAAAGCATTCTTCGAAGTTCCTATATAAGGATATAGGTGGCACTAATATAAGTTCGTCTGCTAGTATTACACGTATGCGCCCAATGATGATTTGCTACTATCCTTTAAACTGGTCTCGTGACCTATAACTCGAAAGCTTACTGGTTAAAACAGAGTTGGCAACTTTATTTTTAAGAGTTCACAGGGTTCGGATCAGGAGCACGACAAACTCTTTTTTTTCAGCTAAGGTAGTAAAATAATGCCATCCGAACCAATTTAGAACAAATGTAAAAGTTAGGTAGTTACTACTTAATTACTTTCAACTTATTTTATTTTCAGATAGAATAGAATTTTTTTATCACGAATAATCAATTATGAAAACTTATTGTCATATAATTTTTTCATTTCTAATTGTATCTGCCACGTTTTCCGCTATACCAAAACCTCATAGAGAATTAAATAAAATTTTAGAAAAGGTTTGTAATTTTATCATAAAAAAAATCATGGAAAAGAAAATGATTTATATTTTAAAATAGTTATTTAATTTTTGTAAAATCAACAGAAACTGAGTGATATTGATCATGGAGCTGGTGAACTTCACAATTCCGAGTTCGATCATGAAGCTTTCTTAGGAAGGAATGAGGCTAAAGACTTTGAAAATTTATCACCAACAGAAAGCAAAGAAAAACTGGGGTTTGTCAACCTATTTATAAACTATACACGTCATATACACAGTTTTAGCTTATTCAAAGTGTCACATTAGACATTTGAACGTGTTAAATCCATAATCAAACAATTGTATTTGGAGTTAAGTAAATTCTTTCATTTCAGGAAAATTTATGATAAAATCGATAAGGATGGTGATGGCTTTGTTACTGAACGAGAACTACGTACTTGGATACAATACGTACAAACTCGATATACCTCCACAGACACTGATAACCATTGGAAAGACTTTAAAAACGATTTACAAGATAATTTGTTAAACTTTGAAAGTTATAAAAGAATAACTTACGGACCAGGTAGCGAAACTGAAGAAGATGATGAAAGTGTCAAAAATCTTATTAAAAGAGATGAAAGAAGGTGGAATAAGGCTGATTTAAATAATGATAGTTTGTTAAGTAGAGAAGAATTTGTGTACTTTCTACATCCGGAAGACGCAGAATATATGAGAGATGTTGTTGTTGATGAAACTATTGAGGACATTGATAGAAATGGTGATGGTAAAATAGATATTGAAGAGTTTATAAGTAAATATTTGTTAATATATTATCTTTCTTCTAAGCTTACTATGTATTATTAATTTAATAACCTTAAAAAGGAGATTTATGGCGTGAAGAGGACGAAGAAGGGGATGGAAGTGAACCATCGTGGATTAAGGAAGAAAGGGATCAGTTTATAAATTATAGAGATAAGAATAAAGACGGTTTTATGGATCGTGACGAAGTAAAAGATTGGATAATACCTGAAGATTACGATCATTCTGATTCAGAAGCCAAACATTTAATTCAAGAAGCGGATATTAGTAAGGTAAGTGATATATTTCTTCTCTATACAATCACATGACCAATAGTAACTAATTAATATTATCCATATTTATAAGGACGGGAAATTAACCAAAGACGAAGTGTTAGAAAAGTACGACCTATTTGTTGGAAGTCAAGCAACTGACTTTGGAGAAGCATTAGGAAGACACGATGAGTTTTAAGCATATCTTTCATTTCCCTTACGTTTTGTCTTGTTTGCTTCTTTTTTTACTTCAATATTTAAGAACAATCTTTGACTTAGTTTTTCCCGCCGATTTCTCTAAATTATACAAACTGAATGAATTTTTGGTAGAATAGGTAAAAAAAATAACAGAGAAAAGAGCAAACAAAAAAACTATGTTGGTGCTTTTAGTTTCAACGAAGAAGAAACTTGAAAAAAATTGAAGTTTCTCCTTATCAGTATTAGTATATTTTTTATAAATACATTGAATATTAACTAAAAATATCAAAATATTCTAAATTTCTTCTCATTTTAAGATGAAAATAATTGCGATTGTTATTCCCATTCGCAAAAAAACACAAATGTCAATAAAATCATTGTTTTCTTATATTTCATTAATATAGAATTTAATTGAGTATATTAATATAAACAATAAACCAAAATAAAATATGCAGATACATTATACATTCATGTGTATAGTATTTATTATTTTTCCTTAAAAAAATAAGTTATTGATATTTAACGATCATATTAAAGAAACGTTGAAAAAACAACACATTTTAATTTTTTTGGCTTAATTAGGCAGCATTTTTTAAATGTGCACAAAGAGATTACATAAATATATATATATATACTTATATATTATTTCCCTTTCTTTTCTAAATAGCACTGATGTTAAAAGAATTTTTTTAAATTTTTAGATCGTTTTATATGATTCATAAATAATACAGAAACGAATTGCAAATTGTTTAAAAAGGATGGTAAAGCACATTCAAAAAAAATGTTTATATTTATAAACCTATAAGTTTATTATTTTTTTCCAGAATCCCAATAAATTCTAAAAAAGTATTATTCTTCATATTCTATTATTTTTTTTTGACAATTATTATTTGATTTCTTTCTGCAAGTACTGCAAAAATTCATAATAACTTAGCGCCCCCTCTGTTCGATCTTCAACTAAACGTTGAGCAAAAGCAGCCCTACCCTTTCCATCATCTTTCACAAGCTGTAAACTAACACTCATTGGTCTACTGCTTGTTAAATTGTCTACAAAACTTCTTAATAACTCTGAATAGTCAGTTTCAATTTCTGGTAAAGTTGTTAATCCATCGGGTACCCTATTGAACGATTCAACTCCAAAAACTTGCTGTACAAATTTTTGATCTATGGCACTACCCAACCACAAGTACATTTTTGAGCCGGCATCTAATATGTATGCTCCAGTTCTTTCCAGGTAAGCAGCTGATAGATGCATCACAGGTGCTTGCGGAATATCATCGTCACCCTCCGATATTAATTGTTTAGTGTCCAGATTATGAACAGGATAAAATCTTGGATATATATGAAGAATTAGATACTGTAAGGGTTCAGTTTTGCAGAGTTCCATAGCTGCAAATCGTTCATCTAATTTTGTTGAAATGCCGACTCTGAATGCCGTAAATTTAATCAATCCTAATACGAGTAAGGGCATAAGTCGGAGTGAATCCGGGCAGGCAAGTGTTCCAGGAACTTTACTTCCTGCTACTGCACTAGCATAACTAGACAACATATCAACAACTGCATTTATCATAGCATCTCTCGCATCTGATAGAGAGGTTAACGATTTATCAACTGCCATTTTAGCTAATAAACCAACAATTGCTTCTTGATCTGCATTTGCAAAGACTTCTTGAATACTGTTTGCAACTGGTAGACAAAGAGTGTGAACTCTTATTCTTCTTTCTCCCCTGCTTGAAGTATATAATAATGCGGCCTGAAAAGAAACTGTTTGCATTTCATTTAAATTTTCTTCTATTGCCAATTGCATTCCATAGCCAGCATCTGGGTTAACATTGGGTAAACTCAGCAAGTCAGTAGACCTCACAAAGAAGTTTCCGTGAAAGGTATGTATAGCCAACCCTTTAGTGCACCGTAGTCTCATCACAGCTTCAAAACCAATTTTCCTAGTTAAATATCTCCTTACATCCTCTTCAAACCTTTCCAATTCTGGTACATTGTTATGAGCATGAGCTCCTGGGTAATAATGAAGACATCCTCCAGAGTACTTGGCCATGCCGCTGATTGTTGCTAAATCGACGTATTGGGAGGCGAGTACAAATAAATCGATAGCTATCTGAACCTCAGAACATTGTAATGCGAAAGACTTGTAAAAATCAGTTGCAGGACCCAAATTTTTCACCTCTTTACTGGCTCTGTCATTTGGATCTTCCCTACACTTTAAACTTCCAGGACCGACAGATGGTAAGATCGTTTGAACAACAGTTATTCTACCTCCTGTAGTTGCTATCATCATACGTGCAGCTTGAAGAGCAGCGCCAAGAGCTGAGGCTGTCTCTTGATTGTCTTCAAACATTGATGGTAGCTTTTCCAATAACTCTTTCACAACATTTTTATTTTCATCACGGAAGTGAACCATTAAAGACTCAGGTGTAGGTAAAAATATATCGTCAATGTCACCTACAATCATCATCTTCGGTTCTGCTCCGTCAAGTGAATAAAATTGAACGGTTCGGTCAAAAGTTAAGAAACCAATTTGCATTCGCTTATCCCCTGGTAGATTATCTAAACATTCGAGCAACATAGAACAGAATGTCTGTAAATATCCCGTGCGAACAGCATTGAAACTAACGTCTAATACAAATACGTAGCACGCTGGTTGGGGAGGACGGAGCATATATTCAGTAGGCGCTATAAATTCAACTGTTGCACTCTGAATTTCTGGTCTCTTTTGAGGATCACCATGACTTCTAGAAACGGGATCATAACAAAAACCTTCAGGAACATCGTTAATCCGAAAGCACAAGTTACACTTCCATCTTCGACTATCAACAAACGTGACAAAAGGATTAATATATGTTCGACACGCTCGACATCTCACTATTTGTGGACTTTGAATAACAGGTAGTTGTGAAAGGTCTTTGAAAGGATGAATAAGAACACCCAAAGGCAGACGAGCTTTCTGCAATAAATTCGAAGTGGCAGGTACTGCGTTTAAAGTTGCACGAAATATTTCAGGCGAACAGTTAACTTGTTTCCAGTCATGGGGCAATGTTGGTTCGGGTGTTTCCAATCCTTCTGGTGATATGAGTTGACGCTCTTGCATTAAATTCCATACTTGCTTTCTACCGTTTGTATTTAATGGCGGGGGGAACCCAGTATTTAAGGTGCTACTCGTTAACGGAGGTGGAGCAAATCCAGTACTAGTTTGTCGACTGCTGCTATCGAAAGTAGGTGTTGAATTTGAACTCATTGCAGGTGGAGGGCATGCACTTGCAGCGTTAAACTGTGCTGACGGATTAGGAGGAAAAGTTCCACCAGAATAAGAAATATTGGACCCGAATTGTGCAGGAGGTCCTGGAGGTCCATTAGGCCCAGGCGGTCCATTTATTCCTGAAGGTCCTGGAGGGCCGCTTGGTCCATTCAATCCCGGAGGACCATTGAGTCCTATAGATATAGGGGGCCCATTATGCCCAATATGTCCAGGTGGTCCTGGAGGCATAATAGGTCCTGGCGGTCCGGAGGAGACTGGTAGACCATTCGATCCAGAAGGAACTGGTGGTCTACTAAGACCTCCCAAAGGTGGTACAGATGGACCTGTAGGCTGAGGAGGAAGAGACCCTGGAGGAAGTCCTGGTATATTGGGTTGATTTATAGTACCAGGGGGACGAGATGATGTGGTCGGTCCGGGATTTTGCATTCCTGTAGGTCCTTGAGGCACAGGCATGATTGGAATATTCGGATATGAATGATAATTCGATGGCAGAGGCGCTGGAACACCAGGTTGTCGTACAGTGCTCGGCCTATTGTTTACTGTAAACAAAGAGAATTTAAATGTTTGATGGTTTGAATAACTAATTTTCTTATCGATAACAGTTCTTGGTACAAAGATTATAAACAAAACATTTCAAAGTTCTCGCTTAGTGTTTTTTATATTGAATAGAAGAAAATTACCTGAAGATGGATTCAATACGGGTGGACAAGTTGATGATATATGCATATTCGAAAGTCCACCAATGGGTGGTCCATAGTTTGTAGCCATTCCCTTAGTATCGGCTGGCGGTGCGTAATATGAGGTTACAGGTTGTTGCAACGAAACTAATGAAGGTGCAGATGCATTGTGCGGTATATTAGGCGGTTGCAAATTAGGAAACGAGTTTGCTGGCATCATTGTTGGTTTCGGGCCGTTTTGCTGTAAAGGAAATTCAGCATTGAAGTTGTTATATGGCATTCCGGTTCTGTTTGGAGGTATAGCCATATTTTTCATTCGTTACATATTCTGTTAGGAACAAAGTTTCCTTCAGAGATACTGTTCTTTTTTTTATTTTTACCCTCTCTTATTCCTACTATGCATAAAATATATATTTAATTTTAACTTCTTCTAAAAAGCACTTAGTTCATTTAGTTTGGACAAGGAGTTGGCTTTTTAAAAAAAACAAAAATTATCAATATTTAAATTTATAAAATCCTTAAGATACAGAAAATTTTAATCTTAAATAGACAGTAAAAAAAAGGAATCAATTAAAAAAAATGTGGCAATTTTATACAAAACGATTTGCTTAAAATGTTATGTAAAAGAAATTTTCTTAGTATTAGAATAGAATGAACTTTACAGTTGTATAACAAACTGTTTAATGGAATTTGTTACCCTCTAAAAGTACAGTCAGCTAGGGGATAGACTTTGAATAGTTGATCAGTTATTTAATACCACTTAATTCTAATTTACTTAATAATTCTTATGATATCGTAGGCATCTTACATACAATAATCAAATTATATATTTGATAACCCAGTTTAATGTACAGCAATCCTAAATTTTCACTTGTACTGCTAATCTACGATGTACAAATCAATACCTTTGACAACTAAAAAATGATTAAAATGCACGAATTTTGTATTAAAAAAACAAACCTGTAGGACGTCTCCAAAAATATTAAATATGCTTTAAGAGTGGTAAATTACCTGAAAATCTTGAGTAAACCAATAGAGTCGAGTTTGTAAACCAGCCGACGAAAATATCGACAACAAACCGGAAATGACCTTATTTTGGTGCACGTGGCAACGAGATTTTACGAGATGAAATAATTCGGGTAAAATAAATGATATTTTTGTTTCACTTAAAACCTGACGTTTTTTTTCTTATTAAAAACTCATTTACGAAACAAGACAGGAAATATACGACTTGCGCATGCGCACTAAATCCAAATCGACTCATCCTGGAACAATTATTTATAAATAATTTTCTGGAAAATACGCTTAGTTAGATTAATTAACAATTAAAATATCTCTTATAATTCTCAGTCACATTGGATAGAATGGCGGACGCAGACACTAATCCATTTGCTGATCCAGAGGCAGCAAATCCTTTCGCGGTATGTTTACAAGCATTAAATTTTTAGTATTTTTGAATTTATTGTATTAATCAATTAGGATCCGGCTGTTCAACAAGCCAAAAGTCAATCGAGACCCACTATAAATGAATTCAATCCCTTTTCCGAAAATACAGCTGCCCAATCGGTAAGAATTTTTAGGTTTTTCAAATGAGTAATTTAAGTCATGTGACAGTCAGAAGATTATTACATATACGTGTTTTCAATAATATTTTACATTTTTACTTTCATTTAAACCAAACTAGGAGGAAGTAAGTGTTAAAAAATTGCTATTATAATTCGTATAATTATTATTTAGTTAAATATGTGAGATTTAGTGGTAAAAGAGAAACAACGATAATTCAATACATCAATAGAGAATAGTATTTTTATAAATGTTGTTACTGAATAGTTTATATATAGTAACAACTATCCTATTCAAACTGAATAGAATCTGAACACGATATCTAAGTAGAAACAAAATTATACAAATTTTTAGTTTGGTGAACCAGTTTTTTATCTTACTTTTTATTTATTTTTTTAAACAAAAATTAAAAAGAAAAGTCTTTAAATAGAAGATTAATATAGATACTAATATATAAGAAGGATTACATGTTACAGAATTATTCTTTAAACTGCTGTAGAGAAATCAATAGCTCAAATAGAATTTATAGGGTTAATGAATTGAATTTGTTAGCTAATAATCAAAATTAAACTTATTTATGTAGAAGAGTAAAATTTCTATATCCGACATAAGTTCTTCTTTTTGAACAATTTGTAAATCAGTAATTAAATACTAAAAATGTTATTACTGATGAATACATTTCAGTATTCAACTGCTCTATTGAATATGTCATTCCTACAGCTTATTTACATACAGTAGAACAATATATCTTTATTCCAGTTCATTTTTCAATCTCTTAAATATTTAAATTTATAAAGATAGAATAGAATTATTAATTGATTTCTCTGTTTTTAATAGACTATATATAGTTGGTTTTTATATTTCTTTGTCTCTGTTCTATTAACACGAAAGAGGTTGAGGCTTTTTGGTTATGGTTCTATAGAAAATTTGTGAAAATTTATCGAAATAATTTGTTTTCTTTCTTGACATTTTATAGACTCATCATGTTCCACCTCCTCAACCCGCACAAACTCAACCATCCATTATGAAACCAACGGAAGAACCTCCAGCATATACACCATCAGCTGCCCAAGTCGCTACAGACGATTTACAAAAACGACAAGAGGAATTAGAAAAAAAGGCTGCAGAAATTGAACGTAGAGAACAAGAATTAAGAAATCAGCAATTTGGCGTTCGTGCTAATAACTTTCCTCCTCTGCCGCAAAAATGCTGTGTACAACCATGCTTTTATCAAGATATTTCCGTAGAAATCCCAATGGAATTTCAAAAAATTGTTAGAATCGGTTACATTATGTGGATCGTTTATTCTTGCTGTTTGGCAGTTAATGTGTTAGGAACTCTAGCAGCCTTGGCAGCTTTGGGAGCTGGTGAGAGTCATGGACAAAGTTTTGGTCTATCAATATTGTATTTTATTCTATTTACACCTTGTTCGTTTGCTTGCTGGTTTAGGCCGTTATACAAAGCATTTAGGTAAGGATACCTTGATTACTTACTAATTACCAAGGCTAACATATAACTATATGTGTTTAAACAGGAGTGATTCTTCCTTTAACTTCTTTTTATTCTTCTTTATCTTCTTTTTCCAATTTTTAGTCAGCATATTCCAAGCAGTCGGAATACCTGGCTATGGGACTTGGTAAATATTACATTTGTTCCTAAATACTTATATAATATATATATATATAAAATCATTTTATTTTATCAACATTCCTGTCTTAACGAAATTATTAATCGATATTATAATTTAAAAACATAGCGGATTTTTATCCGCCATAGGCGTTATAACTGAAAAAACAACTTCCGCAAAAATTGTCGGAGTCATCATGTTTCTACTGGCTACGATTTTTGCCGTTTTCTGCGTTGGATGTGTAACTCTACTTATAAAGGTTTCTTAGCACGATATATATTTATATAAAGTCTTACGAATTAATAAGTGTCCTGTCTGTAATTCTTTGTTATATTCCCCATACGCATCTTGAGTTTTCCTAGTTTAAAAAAGCGAAAAGGTTTCGGAATGTTGGCATAAATATATTTTATTTTATTTCAGTAATTTATTAATTGATTTTGCATGAATCTGTTAATTGCTTAAGGTTATAATTATTTTATAACAGCGGAGTATACGTTGGTATTAAGTCATTTGGACAGGATGATACTAAAGGAAAGCCAGTTGCCGTATTTAGATTGATAATTGGAATCCTTTTCATTATCATAGCAGTAGGACAGTTAATCTTGTTAATTAGGGTGAGAGAGTAATGCAAAAATTTTCGCTTATATCTACTGATGCTTATTTTCTTTTCAATTTTGTCTTGCTTGTACCTTGATTGCTTAGTTTAGTAAATCAATATTAATATTTAAATGATTTAAAACAAATAATAATGAATAAGTTGACTTTTTTCATCAGTTTCAAACTCTTCGAATAATAATAATTTTGATAATTATATATATTTATAAAAACAAAGGTGCTTTCTTCTTTTCATAATCAACTTTTTCTATTATTTCTATTAAATCATTTTTCAGTCTTTTTCCGATTAAATATTTATTGTATATTTAATATTAAATGTTTTCTTTTTTCAACTATCTAAAATAGGTCCACAGAATCTATAGAAGATCAGGAGCAAGTTTCGAAAAAGCCCAACAGGAATTTGCAAAGGATATAATGAGTAATAAAACAGTTCAAGTAAGTCATTACAAACATTATTGAATAGTTTTTTTTTTTTTGATTATTGAAGTTATATTTTTATTAAATTTTCTTTTCTTGTATTCTTGTAGAAAACAGCGGCTACAGCTGTTTCCGAAGCTGCTCAAAGTCAATTTTCTGGTGGACCTGGTAACAGATATTAAATCTGACCAAAAAGAGATATAGAGATAAAGAGAAAAGAAAAATATAAAAAAAAAAGCATAACAAATTTATATAACAATAATGAATGTAAAGGTTAATGATTAGAAAAACAAAAATATTCCATGATGCTCTAAAATAGTTTTCAACTATTTCAACTATATAATGTATATGAAGTATGAAAAAGAATGTAAGAGAGAGAAAGTTGTCTGATTTAAAACTTCGAAAAATATCGCAATTACGCTTGGGTTACTTTGTCATCAATTATATGTGCTTGTTTCTTCAAATTATTAACATTTTTCTCTTTAGTTTATTTACAACTTCTTTTGTCTTTCTTTTTCTAAAAAGGTATGGTGATTCATTTTTTTCCAACGAAATTTAAGTGTAAAAAAAAAAGAAAAGAAAAAAAAACAATCCAAGAAAAAGGAAATATTTGAAGGCTAGAATAAGTCATTATTACCTTCTCAATTCTGGAATGTTATGATCCTCTCCACACTTATCTACATACCATCAATTTACAATCGTTGACATGATTTACTATTGTCCTAAAATCTCCAAATTTACTCTATCATTAAAAAAATAACGCTACATCTCTTACATTGTATTTTTTTTTTCTTTTTTTTTTCATCTATGTTTCTTTTGCATGCTACTCAAGATTTTGACAAAATAATCATATATATATATATAAATATGTAAATGGTTTCGTGTAGTGTTTAATGTGATTGTTTCTTCTTGAGAAAAACTGAAAGGTAACTTTCAAAACATGAACAAAAAATAATAATATTAAAAGAAAAAGAATAAACACTGATATCTTTTCCTTCGAATTTTTCAGATATTAATAAATTTTTTTCTTTTTTTGTTTTAAACAAACGTTCTTGAAATATTTTATGACCTTTGATATATTTATCGATAGAGATCAATTAGAATATCTGATTATTTTGACCGGTTAAAATGTAGAATTGTAGAGGTCGCTGTAGTTCATTTCTCTTCAACTAGTTATAGTTTTTAATAATAAAAAAAACTCTTAGCAGACGATATTTGGTATAACCTTTTTTTTTCATCGAAAGAAAAACATGGCATTTTCTCAAATTTTAAGCAGGAAATTGTCGACTTCTGTCGCTAATTTTGCTATTCGTAATGTTACGGTCATTGGCGGCGGCCTTATGGGCTCTGGAATTGCTCAAGTAAGTATCTAGTATATTACCACACATCTCACTTTACACTCGTATCATCTGTTGTTAAATAGTGCATTTTTCGCAGATGCATCCTAGTTCTCTAATTAAATAATTCAATTTATTATTCTATTGACATTCAGGTTGCGGCACAATCAGGTTTTGAGGTGACTATGGTCGACTTGAATGAAGATTTGTTAAATGCATCCAAAGGTCGCGTAGGAAAGTCATTGGCTAGAGTTGCCAAAAAGAAGTACGGAGACAATTCCGATGAAGGAAAGAAATACATGGAAGAAACAATGAATAGAATAAAAGCATCTACTGATCTTGTTCAGACTGCCAAAACAACTGACTTGGTTATTGAAGCTATTGTTGAAAATTTGGATATAAAGCAGAAGCTATTTAAAGATTTAGATTCGGCTGCACCAGAGTAATTAATTACTTTATTGAATTAACTCAATTTATGAATATATAAATACTAATATATATATATATATATATATATAATTTTCTTTTCTAGGTCAGCAATTTTTACTAGCAATACGTCATCTCTACCTATCGGCGACATAGCTTCTTTATGTAGCCAAAGTAGATTATCTAACTTTGGAGGTTTACATTTCTTCAATCCAGTTCCAGTTATGAAACTTGTTGAAATCGTCAGAATTCCGCAAACCACTGATGAAACTTATCAAAATTTAAAATCGTTCACTGATAAACTTGGAAAGGTATCTGTGCAAGCTAAGGATACTCCAGGCTTTATTGTTAATCGTTTGCTCGTTCCCTATATGGTTTCTGCCGTACGAATGCTTGAAAGAGGTAATTCTAACATATTGCAAACATATAAAACAAATATATTTACAAACCATTCTATTACAGGTGATGCTTCAGCAAAGGATATTGACATTGCCATGAAACTAGGTGCCGGATATCCAATGGGACCATTTGAATTAGCTGATTATGTTGGTTTAGATACAACCAAATTTATTTTGGACGGTTGGAGCAAAGCTTATCCCGATATACAAGAGTTCGAACCAAGTGAAATGGTTAATAAACTTGTTCAAGAGGGAAAGTTTGGTGTTAAAACTGGAGAAGGATTTTACAAATACAACAAATAAACTTCTCTATAATTAAATATTTTGCAATATAGATCGTTGAACAATACAGAAATGATAGAAAGTATATTTAAATATTATTTCATAATTCTTGTAAAAATATGCCTATAAACTTATCTTTTATTGAAATTTAAAGATCAATCTTTATTTTGTCCTCTAATTAAGAATGCTAACATTCCTAATACCGAAATACACAAGTTGATTGGCTCACTGGTTATTGGCTTTACCTGATCCCACTAAGAAAAAGTACTCGTAGGCGTGAGAAAGGAATTATAGAAGGCCTATTAGTCTCGTTCAATTCAAAGAAAGTCTATTGAAATAGTAAAGAACTACTGTATTGCAGTATATTTTTAAAAAAAACACTCTCACATTCCAATCTAAATCAAATTAAAAATTGTTCTGTGATGAATCAGATGTTTTTGAACTATTTCCAATAAAGTCTACAAGAAATGAGTAATGTTATATCTTATTGGAGTTATAATGCTTAGTAGGACACAAGACCAAGCCGTTATTTGACGTATCAACTGGATCATAATATGCAAGTTCAATAATAAAGTGTATTCAAAGGCTTACCCTGTATTGAACTGCTTTCAAGCGGAACTGATAGCAGGAACTAAGTGGTGCAGCTATGATTCAACTAATAAGCTTTTTACTGATGATAACATCAGTTTATTCGTTATCTCAGGGATCACCGGATATAGTATGCGATTCGATGTTGCCCGGTCATGGCGTCAACGCTCAACTGTCACCTTCTCCCTATCAGTTTCAAATTCGACCAAATAACTATAGAAAGGGAGATATAATTACCGGTTTGTTAATCATTTAAGGAAAAGAAACAATTCATAATTTTCCAATAAACATATTTCTATTTATTAAGAGAAGAATCTGTTGAATTTTTCAAATTTCTTCATTTCTATCTTTGTTTTGAAAAAAGTTTTTCCATATGATTGCTTTCCTCTTTTTATAAAGTTCTTTATTGACCGACGAACATGAATAAGTTCAACTCTTTATCGCTTAGGTAAAATTATTACTGAGAGCGGTCCGGGATTTAGAGGATTTATGGTTCAAGCTAGGCGGTATGGCACTGGAGTGCGAGTGGGAAAGTTTGTCTTTGTTTTTAATAATGAGGGACACGGTATGGTTTGCGGCGGAAAGATAAAAACATCTATAACTCAAAATGCGGCAAATCTCAAGTCAACAATACAATTTGAATGGTTTGCTGAAGATAACTACGGAGATATAGAGTTTGTGTATGTATAAAACAACTTTTAAAACATTCGCTTATATTTATCGAAAACTCACTAAAAGTTATTCAATATTATTGAATACCATAAAAATCATTTGACAGAATGACAGCAGTACAATCGTTATCAAGGTTCTGGATTAATATTAAATCCCATAAAATAAGGAATCTAGACCCTCCCTGTTCAGTTAATTATTGTAATGGTGGCATTTGCATTGTCGAGGGAACAGATTTTAGATGTCAATGTCCAACTAATTTTTTCGGGAAGTTTTGTCAAATAAGTAAGCTATTAGTTTCTGTCTAATGACCATGTAAAACAATTTGTTATAGGTAACACCGTAACAAGATGCTCCGATAATCCATGCGTTAGAGGAAGCTGTAGAGATATAACCGGTGGTTATGAGTGCTTATGTCCTTCTGGATATTCTGGAAGAAACTGTGAAATAGGTCAGTGATAATCCCTGAATCCAATCATTTCGTATATTGTTTTATTATAGGTAACGATATAATAAGATGCTCTAATAATCCTTGCGTTAGGGGAAGTTGTAGAGATATAACAGGTGGTTATGAATGCTTATGTCCTTCTGGATATTCTGGAAGAAACTGTGAAATAGGTCAGTGATAATCCCTGAATCCAACCATTTCGTAAATTGTTTTATTATAGATAACAATATAATAAGATGCTCCAATAATCCTTGCGTCAGAGGAAGTTGTAGAGATATATCTGGCGGTTATGAATGCTTATGTCCTTCTGGATATTCTGGAAGAAACTGCGAAATAGGTCAGTGATAATCCCTGAATCCAACCATTTCGTAAATTGTTTTATTATAGATAACAATATAATAAGATGCTCCAATAATCCTTGCGTCAGAGGAAGTTGTAGAGATATATCTGGCGGTTATGAATGCTTATGTCCTTCTGGATATTCCGGAAGAAACTGTGAAATAGGTAAGTCATTATCTTTGAATCTAGCAATTCTATATATCAATTTATTTTAGATAACAATATAAGATGTTCCAATAATCCTTGCGTTAGGGGAAATTGTAGAGATATATCTGGTGGCTATGAGTGCCTATGTCCTGCTGGATACGAGGGCAAAAATTGCGGCCAACGTAATCTAGTTTCTTTTGACAGCTTAATTTTCTAATATATGAAATTTCTTAACAATCAGAAATTAACTTTTGCTCATCTTCTCCATGTTTTAATGACGGTACTTGTGAACCAATTTTCAATGGATATAGGTGTAAATGTAAGACTGGTTGGACAGGTGATAGGTGTAATGACCGTAAATATTTCAACTATTAATAGCCTTATAATAGAAATATGTTTATTAATCCTTCATTCTCTTAGAATTCAATCCATGTATTTCGTTCCCTTGTCGATTTGGAGTTTGTAGACAAACAAATGGTGGATTTGCCTGTGATTGTTTTCAATATTTTACGGGAACATATTGCGAAATACGTAAGAAATGTTTATATTGTATTACACTCAATAGTCGTTAGTTGAATGTTGTAAAACAATTACATTTAATTTAGCTACTAGAGTTTGTAACCCTAATCCCTGTATATATGGTACTTGCTCGCCCAATGGAGACACATTTAAATGTTCTTGTTTCGATCAATGGACTGGAACAACCTGTAACATAGGTAGTTTTCATAAACTAATTGATATTATAGTAATTTTTTATTATCAATTAGTCTTGAAAATCTTCCTCTCAAACTATTTTTCTTTTTATTTACTCGTTAACCATAATTCTAGCTTCCAATCTCTGTTCTGAGAATCCATGTGAAAGAGGAGGAACCTGTAAACCTATAGGAGATAATGATTACGAATGTACATGCCCATCAGGATGGACTGGAAAGAACTGCAACTCACGTGATTATATCTATCTAAAAGTATTCCATATCGAAAAAGAAACAATTGAATTTCTATTTCTTTAGCAATTACATCAGCTTGTACTACTAATCCATGCAACAAAGGCAAATGTATACTATTAATTGTTGGCTATAGGTGCGAATGCCCCGAAGGATATATTGGTCAACACTGTGAAAAAAGTAATATATTGAATATGACTACATTCGATAATTTTTCAATCGTTTTATCTATATAGTGGACGAAATGTGTAATCCGAATCCATGCAGTAACGGCTTCTGTGAATTTGGCACGAATTCTCATATTTGTACATGTTTTAATGGATGGATGGAAAGTGGTTGTAAAACAAGTAAAAACAATAAATACATCTTTACTGTGAATCATATGTATATTTATATTTATGATTTTATTTTATAAGTTGCTAAGGGAGCTTGTTTAGCTAACCCTTGTATAAGAGGCTATTGTACAGAAAGAGGTAATGGATACTCTTGTACATGTCCAAAAGGATTCGAAGGTCAGAAATGCGAACTAGGTTTGTGTTACATGTCTTATACGTGGAGTCGTTATATATTATTGGATAAGATATCATTTATGATTTTAGAAATTAATCATTGCTCAACAAATCCCTGCAAGTTTGGTACTTGTGATAGATCATTCGATAGTTACCATTGTTCCTGTAATGCGGGATATATGGGGTCGAAATGCGATATTCGTAAGAGAATTTCGTTGATTTTTAATTGTACTAAAGCTAATTATCAATTCAGGTGCATCGGGATCTTGTACTACTAATCCTTGCACTAGAGGATACTGTTCTTTAACGGAATCACAATACGTATGTAACTGTCCAGCGGGTCTAAAAGGAGATAGTTGTCAAATAGGTATATAATAATTAAAAAGGGAGATTAAAAACTACTATTCAAACTCCAAAATAGCCGATCATCCTTGCTCAGTTAATACTTGTGTTAATGGTAGATGCCAAAAATACGGAGCTAGTTACAAGTGTATATGTTATCAAGGTTGGACAGGATCAAGGTGTAGTATCGGTTAGTACAATCAAAAAATACATTATTGCAAACTGAGAGAACTATTATTATATAACTTCTGAAATGTCTTAGATCTAGCTAGTGGCTGTAAATCTAATCCTTGTACAAGAGGTAATTGTTTGGCGACTATTGAAGGTTATCAATGTAACTGCCCAGCTGGTTTTGAAGGAAAGAATTGTAATATAGGTAAAGATTTAACTAATTAAAATCTTTTGATCAGATTTAATTAATAGACGACTGTCAAACTTTCAGTCAGTAATCCATGTGCATCTAATCCATGTGTTAATGGAGATTGTAGTATTGAAAATAGTTCTTATAAATGCACTTGCTGGACTGGTTATGACGGAAAGCGTTGCGATACTGGTAAAATACTACATCTTGCACCATAAATTATTATATTGAATAGTAATTTCTTAAACAGTTGCATCAACTGCCTGTTCGAATAAACCGTGTGTACAAGGGACTTGTACAGTTGTAGGAAATAGCTTTAGATGCGATTGTTTTACTGGATATGAGGGAATCTATTGCAATCAGAGTATGCCATAGAATGTTTTTGGAAAAATATTAAATATATTTCATAACTTTACATAGGAAAGGAACCTTGTAAAAGTAATCCATGTGTTAATGGAGAGTGTCAAAATGTAAATGATGGTTTTAGATGTGTTTGTCCATCTCGTTGGACTGGATCTAGATGTGATTCTGGTAAGTGTTTATTCATTGTATAAAGAAAACTATCTACGATATATTCTATACTCAGTAATTTCACCATGTGTATCCAATCCGTGCGTAAACGGACAGTGTAGAATTAACGGAGATGCGTACTCTTGTACATGTAATGATGGTTGGACTGGTATCAGATGTAATGAAGGTATCAGCTTTCTTTTTTCAAACATATATTTCAATTTCATAGTTGTATAATTATATATCAAGTTAAAGTAACGCCTTGTGCATCTAATCCTTGTAAAAATGGCGTCTGCACAAATAATGGAAATATATTCTCTTGTACTTGTTATGGGGGATACACAGGAAATACGTGCGACACGGGTTACTATTTGATTTTAAGAATGAAAGCAGTCGTTTATACTTTCCTTCCTTAGAAATAAACTTATGTGCTGCAAGACCATGCCTAAATGGAGAATGCGTTCAAAGTGGACAAGCTTTTACATGTAATTGCAATGATGGATGGGAAGGGAATGTATGCGATAGAAGAAAACAAGATGCTTGTACTGCTAAACCTTGTCAAAGGGGTACATGCATAGCAAGCGGTAATAATTTCAGATGCCAATGTCCCATAAACTATATTGGTCTCAGATGTGAAACCTACAACGCCTGCTATTCCAGTCCATGCAAAAACAACGGAGAATGTATACGAAATGGTCAAAGTTTTAGCTGCAAATGCACAAATCAGTGGACGGGATCAACGTGTGAGACAGGTTAATAGTTTAAATAGTATCATCTACATTATTAATACGAACTAATATTACTTTAAAACTATCATCTAACTTTTGAAGGAGTTTCTAACGCCTGTCTAACATTTAATCCTTGTTTGCCTAATGGACGATGTATATCTAACAATACAAAATCTTTATCTTGTATATGTAATACTGGATGGACTGGCAGCATTTGCAAACAACAAAGTTAATCCTAAAAATTTTAATAAACACTTAAAAACAGCTAAACGCAATTCTTTTCCTATAGCTTCAAGTGATCCATGCCTTAATCATCGATGTAACAATGATGGAGGAGTTTGTCAAAAAGTATCGGAAACGGATTATTATTGCAAGTGTCATGTGTTGTATACGGGACAATTCTGCGAACAGAAAATAGACCTATGTCAACGAGTTACTCTGGATTGTCAAAACGGAATTTGCGAAACGATAAGTTTCAGTCCAGAGAGAGCTGAAATCCGCTGCCGATGTTTTGATGGATGGTTCCATAAAAATCAATCTAGTAAATGTGATACGACAAACCCATGCGAAGCATTTCCTGCAGGTCAGCCGTGCGGACAAAATGGGAAATGTGTACCACACGACAGGTCCGTTAGTTGCGAATGCTCTTCAGGTTATACCGGACAATTTTGCGATCGATTACTTTGAGAATAATAATTATATGCATCTTATTGAATTGTCCTAATTGTATAATCTAGATAATCTTTTAGGTGACCTGAAAAAGAAAATAAAAAAGAAATACATTTAAATATTCAGATGGCGTTTGTTCTAAATATGACAAACTCTCCCTAATTAAACTAATATGGAACTTACCGTCTATTATAATATATGTATTACACTATGTTTTTTATTTATGATTATTTCTTAACACAATACATGCAGGGGTTTTTTAAGTAATGTATTTCTAAAACAGAATATACTCTATAAAAGGCTATAAAGTTTAAAACTGTGCCAAAACTTTTGCACTCAAAAAAGACAAAAAAAATATCTTCAAAATGAGACATCTATCAATTTTGTTCAAGATTATTGATTCGATATCATCCTTATCATTGAATGAGCCAATAAGTTGTCATTTTATTTTTTCCCTATAAGGCAAATGGAAAGGCAAATCAATAATAGTAATAGAAGTTTTTTCATTATATTTATATACTTTAACTTCGATTTCTCCTCGACAGTCAAGTTGAAATTCGCTAAAAGTCTTCAAAATGTCGGCAGTTGCAGAACTCAAATGAATTTTCAAGGCTGAAAATTTGGTGATTATCTTTAAAATATTGTAAATGAATGAAAAAAGAGGATAGTTACGTTCTCCTGTCGATTCCATTCTCGATGCTGTATTTACAGTATCTCCGAATAGGCAATACCTTGGCATCTTCAAACCTACAACTCCCGTAACGCAAGGACCAGTATGCAGACCAATTCTCAATTTCAGTTGTTCATCTGGCCTATGTTCCATTCGAAACGATCTCACCTTCGACAAAAGCTTCAAAGACATTTTAGCAATTTCTTTTGCGTGGTTCTGACCATTTCTTATTGGTAGGCCGGAGGCAACCATATAGGCGTCACCGATTGTTTCCACCTTATAGACGTCGAATTCGCAAATAATCTCGTCGAACATTGTGTATAAATCGTTCAAAAGCTTAACAATCTGAATAGGAGTACTTTGAGCCGAAAGTGCCGTAAAACCAACAATATCACTGAAATAGATTGTAACGCTCGTAAACGTTTCCGGAGTTACAGTCTTTCCTGCTTTTAATTGATCAACAATCGACCTATAGAAAGGAGAAAATGGATAATAAGATGTTACAGATCAATTACTTGAGAATAAACTTTACTTTGGTAGAATTTGGAGCAATAGTTCATCTGTTTTTCTCTTCTCTTCCGCCAGTTGTTTTGTACGATCTTCAACGATATTTTCCAAATTATTAGCATATTGTTCCATTCTCTTTAATAAATCATCCATAATATTTGCATCTTTACCCCTGAGACAATGAAAATATAGGAAAAAATGGTATAGTTCAATATATATACAGTGTATATATTGTGTACAGTATATTAAACCAAGACAATTCTTTTATTACCCTGTAAGTTTTCTTAGTTTTTGCTTCAAATCTGGAAAAGTAGGCCTAAAATTAGGATTTTCGTTCCAACAACTTTCAGCTATTGCTGTTATATATTTGTCCGTGGAATCATCAGGCATACTAGGTCTAGTTAAAGGCTCAATGCCCTTATGAACTTCCAATACAATTTCTAGAATCGAAATCTTTGCTCATTAAAGGCTATTAATTTTTAACACTTTGAAAACTAACCTTCAACTGTCTTTAGATCTCTTTCCATTAGAAAAGGGCAGCCTCTTAGAATAATTTCTTGAATAATTATTCCGAAACTATAAACATCACCTTTCTGTGAAGATGCTAATGGATATTTACAATTTGATTCTCTTAGAATTTCTGGGGCTGACCAGAGAAGAGCCTCATAAAAGGCATGAGTATTTTCCTTCCTTTCAATATTATTTAAAAAACTTGGCAAACCAAAATGACATAGTTTTACAACAAATCTATCATCAATAAGGCAATTTGACGATTTCAGATTTCCATGTACTCCAATAGCGGATGAATGAATAAACTGCATTCCTTTAACAATATCATTCATCATTGAATATTTAAAAGACCAATCCAATTCTAAATTATCATCTTCCAGAAGATCTTGTAAACTTCCTTTGCGGCAGTATTCGTGAATTAATGCACTTCTTGAAACTGGATCGACAATTACTCCAATGAATTTTAAGATATTGTTGTGAGATGCTAAACGCCGTTGTTTTATCTCGATACGAAGTTTTCTTGTTATATTCAATTTTCTATCAAGTGCAACAGATTTGACGGCGACAATAGTCTCCCTTAATCTACCTGTTTCTATGAATGCTTGTAAGGATAAGTAGCTTCTCTTCGATTTAATTGATCGTCCATCGTAATAACTATCAATCTATAGATAAAAGGAGATTTATATAGAATTACAGATAAAGAAATAATCTGTTGCTTACATCTCCAATTTTAGATCTTATTGATGCACTTCTGCCGATATTTGTTTGATAGCTGATATCATCATCAGACACTATCCATGAATTATCTGATATTTCCGCTTCAATTTTCATTTTCCTGTAATTAATACCTTATTATACTCTGATTACTAATTAATCTAGGAAATACTCTAGTATTACCTGTAAATTAATCCAGCAATTATAAAAGAAATAAGAAAAAGACATAGCAAAGTTATTAAAATGATGTTTGTCAGAGCAAAAAGTTCTGTATAGAAAAATTGATAATTAGAAGATAGAAAATATTTAAATTAACATATTAGATTATGTTGATTTATAAATTGCAAATTCTACTATATTCGTAGTTAAACGATTGAAACTTTAACCATATCATCATATATTATTTCTATTTTTAGTAAGTTTATCTGATGACTAGACAAGAGGAAACTACACTAGCAAGTTAGCTATTGAAATAAATAACGCCTAAAAGAAAACTTTAATGGAATATATTCATTGTAAATAAGTTATTTGTATCTTACCAGACTTTTGACATGAAACAGCGTCGCCTTTATAGCCGCATTTGGGTTCATTAAGTGGCGGTTTGTTTGTTCCACCAGGCCAAAAAACTATTTTACCAGGAACGGGTTCAAACTTTAGAGAGAATCCGCTATAATGTCCAAAAGTCTAAAAAAAAAACAAAGACGTTCGTAGAAGAGTTCTTTTCTATTGTCTTGAAAAGAATCTAAAAACTCTAAGGCGAGAGTGAGAATGATCAAAGAAAGTAGTTATGCATCAGTGCAGTCTCTTTTGTTTTGTTTTAAAGAATAGATACACACTCTACTGATATCTTTCATGCTCTTTAGATTTTTATACCTCAAATTTACCAGTTTCAGGATTCATATCAAGTATTTCGTAGGTAGCTTCCCTATCGGCTTTTGCATTCATATACACAGGACCAGTAATACCGTCGAAAGTTCTTTCTCTAAAAAATTTCAAAAATTTCCTCGCATCCCTCGGATCAATATCTTCTTTTAGGCTCTCTCTCAACGCAGTACCGTAGAGTATAACTGACTCGTAGAAAGTTCCTATGAAAAAGTTAACCTGTCGATTTATGGTGATTAAGCTCTCTTAGAGAAAAGGATATATTTGAAAATAGAACCTCGGCGTCTGAATAATTGTAACCAAAGTCTTTTTTAGCTCTTAATTTGACATCTTTAGCGAATTGTATGAATTTATCGCTTTGTTCCAATTTAAGACCAATTCTAATAACCGCTTCACTAGCTTTACGTATTTTAGAATCATCTCCCAAGTTCATTTCCCAGTGGTAATGACCCCAGAAATTATCTTGAAAGAGTTCAACATCCATAAGGACATATTCTCCACTTTGCGCAAAACCAAGATCATAAGAAGCCAACAATAACTTTCTCGTTACAGTTCCATTAGCCATAAATATAAAAACTGTGTCGATAAAGAATAAGATAAAATGTTAAAAAGTTTTGTACCAGAAATATTTTCATTTACGACTTTAGAGATGTTCAAGTCTATACTTAAAATTTACTTTATATCATATAAGTATATCTAGTATAAAATGTATGTCATCATTTAATCTATGATCCCATTCTTAAGATTTACATCTTCTTTCCAGCTATTTATCAATCTATAGTTGTTGATTATAGACTTATAGATTTCTCCGCCGAATAGAATTACTAATTGTTAATACTTATATATAACATATTGAGTAATCAATTGGGTGATTATTATTAATTTTTCCACGAATTATCGAAATGAATACAAGGATAAATGAAAATTATATTAATTAATTCTAATCAGACTATGAAAAATTAATATAATGCTATTACTTCGAGATTTTTCGCTAGCATCTTTAAGTAGTTTCTTATACTTTTCTATATCATCCTTAAAATTACGACTGTCAAAGTCCTCTGTATAAGGATATATTTGCATTCTTCTCAAACCACTATTTAGGGTATTTGCCATTTCTTTACTAAATTCATTATAGACATCCGTAAATATAGTTACAGTTGTCCAATTGAAATAATTGAAAACAGAACCAAAAACTCTTCGAAGGGCGCACTGGCAATATGCTAATCTAACTAATGTTGGATAGTCTTGCTTGAAGCTGAATCTTCCGGCAGCTCCTTCACCTGTAATAATTGGAAGATTCCATTTCGATCCCATAAACGCAACAGAATCTAACGCTCCGGAACAACCAGGCCCGATAATGGCCGAGACATTTTGCTTGTAATACAGTTCCGCAGATATTGCTAACAAAGTATTTTGTAAGAATGATATTAATATTTTATTTGTTAATTTCAAAAAGCAGAGAGAAAGATCTTTTCAGCAAGAGTTATATTAATACACACTCACCTGGAGTTTCCTTTTGATCGCAACCAGGACCATATTGTTTTTCAATAGCTGTTATTTGATAGGGCGTACCTTTTAGAATATCTGTATTAACTCTTTCCAAAGCTAATCTAATTGCTGCTCCAGATTTTTTCCAGTCATAAGGTCCGCCGTAATCATTTATCATAATAATTCCAACTTTAATATTTTCAATACTGTTGACATAATAAAAGAAATTGGTAAAGAGTAGAATGGAAGTATAGCCAAAGTTCATCTCGACTTGAAGATATTACTGACAGAGAGAGTGAAAACAATAAAAAAATGATGCGTTGTATATGAGTACTCGCTCTACTTTAAAACACTAATGAAATATGTAAACATACTCTCCCGCCCTCTTCATCAAGGTCTATCTGCCTATCAGAGAATTCGCTTCTTAAAGGGTTCTCCTTTCTCCTTGGATATATTCTGACAGTGTAGTCGTAGAATAAGATAACAAGAGACAATTTTAATCATGGCTAAAATATCAAAAATCAGTAATTACTTTGTTCAAAAAGAAACAGTGAACATACATAATTTTATATAAGCAATATAATTAATATGTAATTAATATTTGACAAGTTAAAAATACTTCCGTGTTCAATTATCAGCCAATTGTTACTCTATTTCGTATAGAAATGATAATATATCTTATGACACACATTGAGATATATTCCAATACATAAATTCGTATAATAAAGTCATCCTGACAATTTACTTCGAATATCTATAGCAATCTGATACTAATATTAATAAACCAATAACAATAATATATGTAACAGATACCAAAAGAAAGTTCGCCAAGCCTTTTATTAGATTCTATTAACTGGGACATTCTTTCAATTGCATTTGTTTTTAGAAGCGAATAGTCTTTTCCTTATCACTTGAGTTGTAGAAGAATGTGAAAAAATCAAAAACTAAACGAAAAATAGACAATTGCAATAATCATATAGATGATGAGGATTTCATCTTTTGTAATAACGAGAAAAATGTCGGTAGCATAGATGTTGCATGTTAGAGAAAGGCTATAAATACATACTCTTTCCATTATACTGTATATACAATAACCTAGTTGAAATAATGTATAATATAACCTTGTTTATAGACACAATGAAACAAGAATGATGGAAAGAAAACAAGAAAATTTTTCACTTTTAATGTTACTATAAGCAAATATATTATCAATACGTCTTCTAGTTAACATTTAAGGAAAAGATTCTTGCTCGTTCTCTTCTTCTTCATCATCTTTATTCTTTCTTTCTTTATTCTTTTATTTCTTTCTTTTTTCTCTTCCTTGTTCCCCTCTCCTATCTCTTTCTCTCTCTCTCTCTCTTTCGGTCTTTCTTTGTTTCTTCCCTTGTTCTACAATGATAAAGAAATTTTTTTAAAAGTTTTCTGTAAAATGTATTTTATTTAGTAATGGATTTTCAATAAAAGTTTAAGATGATAGATATCATCGCTAACTCATCATTTATAAACTAAGAGAAATAATTAATATACATGTATTTTATGCCTTTTTTTAAAACAAAGGTTTTAAAATGGTAATTTAATCTGATTTACTGGATTTGAGTAGAGAGAAATCATAATATTTCAATATATATGCATATATATATATATTAGGTTTTCTTTGTCTGAGAGACGTCTGTTAATTAGCTAAATTTCCTTCTTTGCCGCAAACTACTTCAGCAGTATCAAGTGCTTTATATAGAATAAACTTTTTTCTCTTACTAATAAATAGGAAGTAATTACTATAAAAAAGAAACCTTTCCCATTTGAAATATAAATTTCAATTAAATAATAATAATCTGTTTGAATTCTTTAATAGAGAGAACAGAGAGAGTGAAAGAGACAAGCAGATAGGCAGAAACCATAATAAAAACAAATGGGCGATGAATTAAATACTACATGTTTGAATATTCAATTTTTATGTCTGTTAGCCAGAATCTATTAGAGAAACTATATACATTGTTTTAAATGAATATAGATGACTTTTTCTAAAAATCTGTTTTTAAGATATTTTATATCATTGACATTATTTCTTTTATTAGAAAATGCTTCATTCAGTAAGAATAATCATAAATATCAAAAAAGAAAAGATTACAAAAATTATAGGTAATCATTTTTTTCTCGTTTCATCTCTAAACTTCTTTACAAATGAAGAATGGAAATAAAATTGCATTTTCTTTAAATCTTCCTTGAAATAGAGAAATAATGAATGAAAAACTAAATAAGAGAGCTTAGACGGAGGAGATTGAATGAGTTGGAGAAGTATTTTGGTTAAAGTTAAAGAAGGAACTGATTATTAAGAAGGAGAGGAAAGAGGAGAGAAAAGTTAAACAAAAAATGATAAAATAATAAGGAAGAGAGTTAAAATATGAAGAAAGAATTAAAAAATTGTTTCTTCTAACTTCCAAAAGAAATTCATGTTTATGTTTTATTGAAATTATTATTAATAAGAAAGAACAAAGTATATGTAAAGAATAAAAAGAAAAGAGAGAGAAAAAAAGAGGGAGGAATTCTGTTATTAAAATCAATATTCATTATTTTCCAAGTAAGAACAAAGCAAGACAAAACAGAAATTAGAGACAGTCATATAATACTGTATGTATGATATACATTTGCATGTAGTTTATATTCGTGTAAATGTATTATTTAATACATTTAATAGAGTTTAAATAGTCTAAAAGTGAAAACATGACGGTAAATTAGCACTTTCTGTGATATTTGCAGCACAGACAACAAAAACTGTGTAATAAACTGCTGTAGAACATCAATTCATTAAAGATGTCCGGATACCCAAATTGAAAGTAAAAATATATAGGATATAATTATATATATAGTTCACACTATTGTAATGAATTACTTATGTTTATTAGCTTTTAAAAATATCTAGAGACGTACGATAAATTATCCATCTTTGGCTTTTTTTTGGGAAAAATTCACTCTTCTTTCATTAAACTTGTCATGAAATTAACAGGAAATATTTAAGATATCTATTTATATATTTTCTTTTCTTCTTTGATATATCCTTTGTTTGCAAATATGTTCTTTTAGAGTGGTTGCTCGAGAAGCCAGAACGTTTTCATAACGTTCTTGCCCTGCAAAAATACAAAAAAAACTCGTTTACGTTCTTATTTCTCATTCTCTAAGAAACTCCAATGCTAAAATATTTATCTAAGACTTTAAAGTGCTATGTATTAATTCTGGAAACGACCTGTTAACTCATATTTTTAATAATTGAATTCTGTAATTATCGAAACACGCCATCTAGTTTCTAATACCTTAACTTCGATTTCTCCTCGACAGTCAAGTTGAAATTCGCTAAAAGTCTTCAAAATGTCGGCAGTTGCAGAACTCAAATGAATTTTCAAGGCTGAAAATTTGGTGATTATCTTTAAAATATTGTAAATGAATGAAAAAAGAGGATAGTTACGTTCTCCTGTCGATTCCATTCTCGATGCTGTATTTACAGTATCTCCGAATAGGCAATACCTTGGCATCTTCAAACCTACAACTCCCGTAACGCAAGGACCAGTATGCAGACCAATTCTCAATTTCAGTTGTTCATCTGGCCTATGTTCCATTCGAAACGATCTCACCTTCGACAAAAGCTTCAAAGACATTTTAGCAATTTCTTTTGCGTGGTTCTGACCATTTCTTATTGGTAGGCCGGAGGCAACCATATAGGCGTCACCGATTGTTTCCACCTTATAGACGTCGAATTCGCAAATAATCTCGTCGAACATTGTGTATAAATCGTTCAAAAGCTTAACAATCTGAATAGGAGTACTTTGAGCCGAAAGTGCCGTAAAACCAACAATATCACTGAAATAGATTGTAACGCTCGTAAACGTTTCCGGAGTTACAGTCTTTCCTGCTTTTAACTGATCGGCTATTGATCTTAATGATAAAAGAAAGAAATTTACTCTTAAATGTAACAAAATTCTATTTTAAATTATTACTTTGGTAGAATTTGTAACAAAAGTTCGTCAGTTCTCTGCTTTTCTTCTGCCAACTGCATTGTCCTCTCTTCTACAATATTTTCCAAATTATTAGCATATTGTTCCATTCTCTTTAATAAATCATCCATAATATTAACTTCTTTTCCACTGATTAAAAAATTTGAAGAGGATATTATTTAATTAATTCTTTTTAATGGAAACAAGACAATTACCCTGTCAATTTGCGAAGTTGCTGTTTAATTTCGGATATCGTTGGCCTTTCAGCTGCAATTTCCCTCCAGCAACTTTCAGTGATATTAGCCAGTATCTTGTTAGTATAATCTAATGGTACTTCTGGTCTTGTTAAAGGTTCTACACCTTTACGTATTCTTTGGACAAGAGCTATTAAATACACTCGTTTAATGTGTACCTACAAAGAAGAATATAATGAAACGCAATTTATGCTTCAACAAACTTTCTGGGGTTAGATCATTGCTCTCTCTTTCCAAAAGGAATGGATGGCCTCGTAGAAGGATTTCTTGTATAATTATTCCGAAACTATAAATATCTCCTTTTTGGCTGATAACCAGAGGATATCTACAGTTGGAATCCCTTAAAATTTCGGGTGCCGACCAAAGTAAAGCTTCGTAATACGCATGCGTCTTTTCCTTCTTCTCGCAAAGATTCATAAAACTCGGTAGTCCAAAATGACAGAGTTTAACAACAAATCTATCATCTATTAGGCAATTAGGCGATTTCAAATTGCCATGAATACCAATTGGAGAATTATGAATAAATTGTAAACCCTTAACTATATCATTCATTAATGAATATTTGAAAGACCAATCTAATTCAAAGTTATCTTGTTCCAGGAGATCTTGTAGGCTACCTTTTTTACAGTATTCGTGTATAAGTACAGCCTTAGTAGGAGGTTCTAATACAGTCCCAATAAATTTTAATATATTATTATGAGAAGCTAAACGTCTTTGTTTAACCTCTATCCTTAGAGATCTAGTAATGTTAATTTTTTTCTCTAAAGGAAACGATTTGATTGCAACAAGATTTCCTTTGAACTTTGCCGTTTCAATAAAAGCTTGAGCATATGTATTGCTGTTTCTTGATAAAGTTACGTTATCATTATTCTCGTGAATGGACTAAGGTAATATAAAAGAATGGAATATTGTGTTGAATATAATGAATTACTCTATTTGAATACTTACTGTACTCAATCGTGATTTAAGTGAGAAACTTCTTCCAAAATTCTGTATAATATGAATATCATCAGTGTGAACGATCCAAGAATTATCGGATATTTCCGATTCTAATTTCATCTTCCTAAAATAGAAACAGACAATTGAAAATATTAACTTGAGCTGATAATTATTCTTATCAGTTTTACCGATAAACTGCCAAACCGCAGATAACGCTGATAAGTAAGAGACAAAATAGAGTAATAAGGGCAATTATTGTCATATTCATCGGCTCTGTAAATGATACAAATATAATTTGTGCTTACATGTATTTAAGAAATTATTTTTTTACGTGCGATTTCTTTTAGTAAGACTATTTACCTGATTCTTGACAAACTGGTGCTTCACCCTGATAGCCGCAAATAGGCTCATTTAATGGAGGTGAATTTCTTCTACCGGGCCAATAAATCTTCGTATTAGGAATCCTTTCAAAGCGTAAAGAAAATCCACTATATTGTCCAATTACATAGAATTCACCAGTGTCAGGGTTCATGTGCGAAATCTCATAAGTAGCTTCCCTATCTGCTACCTCATTCATATGAACAGGCCCTGTAATACCTTCAAAGCTAGTTTCCCGAAATAGCTCTATGAAGGCTGAAGCATTTCTAGGGTCAATATCATATTTAATACTTTCGTTCAGGGCGTTGCCGTATAATATAATTGACTCGTAGAAAGTACCAATGAAAAAGTTTACCTGTGAAGGAAGAAAGGATAGAAAATTAGCCGTACGATTTCTAATTCTTTTTCTTTTCCTTGCGTGACAAGTCATTATCTTTTATAAATAGGAAAAATGTCAATGTCATCTTCTAAATAGAAAAGTATATACGAATATAGAGTGAACGTACGTGTTTGTTATTGAAATCGTAATTGAATTCCTGTATAGCTCTTCTCTTTACTGTCTCAGCAAATGTCTCAAATTTTTTACTTTTCTCAAGCTTTAAACCAAACTTAAAAACGGCTTCTTGAGCTTTTCTAACTTTATAATCATCTGGTAGACTTCTATTCCAATTGAAAAGTCCCCAATATTCATCTTCAAATAATTCGGCGTACATAAAAACGTATTCCCCCGTTTCCACGAAACCCAGATCATAACAAGAAATTAAGAAATATCTAACGATATCCGCGTGCGCCATAAAAATAAAAACTGTATACAAGAGTTATATTAACACAGTGGTTTATTAGATAAAAGTAATAAAAAACAAGGTGGAGAAGAGAAGGAGAGCGAGTTAGAAAGAGAGACAGAGAGAGAGACAGAGAGTGAAAGAGACAATAAATACATCGACGGAGTGAAACTTTGAATGAATGTTACAGGAAAAGGATAAAGAAAGGAAAAAACAAAGAGATATGACGAAAAGAAAGAACACTAGGAAAGAAAGTTGGAGGGTGGTTATAAAAGAAAAAAGGGAACTGAGGTTTTCATATCAGGCCTAATTAACTTACTTCGAGATCTTTTTCTGGCTTCCATTAAAATCTTTTTATACCTGTTAAGATCTTCTTTAAAATTTCTACTATCGAAGAGAACTTTATTAGGATAAATCTCCATTTCTCGAAGGCCATGGTCGAGAGAGTTTGCCATCTCTGAGCTAAATTCATTACTTTCGTCAACAAATAGAGACAGCTCAGTCCAATTGAAATAATTCAAAACCGAACCAAATACTCTTCTTAATGCGCATTGACAATAGGCCATACGCACCAAAGTTGGATAATTCTCTTTATGACTAAACCTTTTGGCAGCACTTTCTCCAGATATTATTGGAAGGTTCCAAACAGCTCCCATAAAACCAACAGCATCCATAGCCCCAGAACACCCAGGTCCAATAATAGCGGATACGTTTTCTTTGTAGTAGAGTTCCGCAGCAATAGCTTCAGGAAATATAGTAAAAGCTATAGACTAAGTTATAAGCGTAACGCCACTTAGATCGTTAAAGAGCTTGGAACATTATTCATTATCAATTTATCAGGATGTTTACTTTTTTTTCTACTATACAACCCCTCCCTTGACATTAATATCTAGAGTATTGATTCTAATATTTTCCTTAATACGAAATATTTCCTTTATCATTGTATCTAGTCTTCTTTGAGTAGCCCTCTTTGATAAACTAAAAGTAGAACTTTGGAAAAAAAATAACATTCTCTCTTACCTGGAGTCTGTTTCAAATCACATCCAGGACCATATTGTTTCTCAATTGGGAGTACTCTATAGTCAGTTCCATTTAGGATATCACTATTAACCTTTTCAAAAGCTAATCTTATAGCCGATCCAGATTTTTTCCAGTCGTATGGACCGCCGTAATCTGAGATAATTATGACACCAACTTTAATCTCAGTAATTGACTTTACACCGATAATAGACAAAAAAGCGAGAAATTTTAACAACATATCGCTTTTACTTTTTCCTTGTTCTCATTCGTTGCTTGTAACTTTATAAGATGCTTCTCGCTTCCCTGTAAAAGAGAAGGCCAGCGCATGCGTTATTTGTTAAAGAAAGCTCCGATAGTTTCTTGTATCTTATAAAAGAGTAAAACAATCCAATGATGCTTAATTAATACTGCATAACAAAATTTTCTATTCTCAGCCTCTAACCATTAAGTTAATTCCATATCCTGTCTCATATTTAAAAAAAGGCACTTTTTCTTTCATTTACTAGAAGAAAAAAACAGGGATATTTTCAGGAAACGATTAAATAAGCTTAATTAAAACGAGAAGAAGTATTAACAAAGAATAAAGAGCATCTTTTCAGACTTTACTTACTTATGGAATTATCATCAATATTTCCTTTACAATCAAATGCATATGTCACGACAAATTGATACTCTCGTTTATATATTATATATTTTCGTTTTTGTCACCAACCACAATGTCAATGATGACGTCATTACATCTAAAAAGAAAAAACAAAACTTAAAAAATATGAATATTTAATAGTATTAATGTAATATACTTATTATGATATGTATGTTTCCTTTCTTGTAGATTTCCTCAAAATGATGAATATATAATTAAGGTAATAACGAAGAAAAATGAATCAATAAAATGATTTTGAAGTACATGTCAAACCTCCTTTTCCAAGTTATAAAAGAAACGCATAATCTTATAAAAACTGGGTAAAATAGGCTTAAAAGAGGAGTGGCTACGGCAAAGGTCATTCGTAAGAAGGAATTTTCTTTTTTGAGGACTTTAAAGCTTCTTTTATTATATTAATATCAAGTACAATTATATAAAAATAATGCATGGTACTATAAATAAGTTATATGGATAAGATTAACATTCGATAATAGTCATTTTATTCTTATAGACAACATATGTCTGGTAGAGTTGAAAGAGCAAGTTGACAATGAAAAAACAATACAATGTTTAGTAAGAATATAGTATATAGTATAAATTTATATATATATACTGTATATATTATGCACAAAATAGTGTGTACAAGTGTTTTGCATGGATCCTAGTTAAAGATTACATTATTTTTGAAGCTATATATTCATGTAACAATTACATGAAATAAAGGAGCAAGTTTTTATTTAACTTAAAGCTTCGATCGGGAATCATTTCTCAGAATTTCCTTCGCCTCGTTATTCCAGAAGTTTATTATATCATTCTGAAAGACACTTGTATAAGTTTTTCCATCATTCCACACTTTTATATGTCCTTCTCTAAACGTTTTCTCTTCTTTAAGCTTACTATAAAATATACATATGAATTAAATAAAAGATGGAAAAGTTAAATATACCCTGTTTTTGCAAATTCTCCCCATGCTTTCATTATTTCTATACTTAGGTTCTGCTCGTTTTTCGGCCATTCGTATGAAATTCGCCCTAAAAATGGTTCACCAAATACAAATGGAATATCAAAACCATGAATACATTCTGTCCAAGGAGGGAAAATAGAGAAGGAAGGACGATAATGCAGTTCGTATTGATAGACGATAGCTACAACAAGTCAGCAATAAAAGGTGTAAAAATAGTAATATATTCTATCGTATTTGTCATTCGAATAACCTTACCGTGCTCCTGATGTCTAGTCGCTAAGTTGTAGGATGGGACGACAAAAACAACGTCACTATAAAATCTAGATAATCGTTTCTCGTAACTTTCCTCATTTTTGGAATATACTTCCTTAATTCTGTCTATTAAACGATTCAAGACACTTTCCGAATAGCCTCTAAAAAACATTTTTCTTATTATTGTATCCAATATTGAACAATAATGCCTTTCATCCTCGACAACATAGTTCTTTAAAAACGGCATTATGAACAATGATCCTTCGTCATTTGTACAACCAGTCATTAAAGGAATATTTGAAGGGTTTTCGTTGATAATATCTAAAGGATATGCTTTCAAAAATCTACCATCTATTATTCCATTTAGAGCACTATTTCCAGGCAGCATATTGACAATATCGTTGTAGGAAAGAGAATTTAAGAATTCTTTCAATTCTTGACCATTTCTAGTTCCTTTGTAACCTTTTAATATAAAAAAGTGTTTAAATCTATGCTTTATGTCATTCTTTAATCGATACATTACCAATTCTCTTAGCTTTAGATAAAAGTAAATTTGACGCTTGACTTCTATTCCAAATTAAATGTCGACCATACGCAGCTCCACTTTGACAGATTGCTTTATGAAATAATCCCTTTGATAATTCAGAAACGAGATGTAATGATACGCTCATCCCTCCAGCACTCTCTCCGAATATTGTCACATTATTCTTATCTCCTCCAAAGCTTTCTATATGCCTTTTTACCCACTCCAAAGCTTCAAGTTGATCAAGAAATCCATAGTTACCTTCCAGATAGCCATCGTGTGAACAAGCGTTACCTATGTAAACATTTATTATTATTAGGTACAAGATTTGTCGTATAGAAATGTAATTACCTAGAAAACCTAGTCTGTAATTGCACGATACCAATAGCACCCTATTAACACAGCAAATTGCATCACCAACGAATATATTACTCAAACCCTGTGTAAATGAACCTCCATGAAACCAAACCATAACTGGTAATTGTTCTCCATGACTAATGTCTGACGGCCTCCAAACATTTAAATACAAACAATCTTCGCTAATGCTTTCAACTCCTGGTATTTTCAAAGGAAAATATAGTTTAGCAACATCAGCTAATCGTTGCGGTGCTACTTTGCCTGAATAGAAGAATAGTATTGCAATAGAATTTCAATGCATGTTTCCGTCTCTTCTATTGAATATGTACCCACCGTATGTAACAACCGAGTGCTTGCCCTTTAGCGTAAAGGGCTTTGGTCTACAGAATCTTTCAGCTGTTGCATAACGGATTCCAAGGAAACCATCGACAGACTTTTCAAAGATTTCGTTGAATTTCCTAACTCCTTGCAAACTTATGGATGCCGATAAATTAACAGTTGGGTTCATTCTGTTTGTATTTGTATTATGGCCTTATCTATGTTGGTAATAAAGATCTTCATAAAGTTCAAGATATGGAACTTGGCGCCACGCTAGAGGGCGTCTATAGTCGACGTCTTAAGTGTCTTTTCAGTCATCTATGAGATAAAAGATTGCTCCTTTTAGACTAAAAAGAGTATTTATTTATTAAAATAGATATAGATTTTAGTAATTTAACATAATCTTTCTTAAAAAATCAATGATAACAATGTAAACACGCGAGTGTAACGTGGGCGCTGATTGGCCAAGACTAGCGTACTGTTAAGTACGTCAATCGATGGTTGGTTAAAATTAATCATAAATTTACTGCGGAGTTAATATAGTCTGCTATGAGCTATGGATTTACTATCATCAGCAATTTCGGGTAAATATTTCGACTTCAATCGCTTTTTAAATAATATTTTATACACAGAGTATTATAATAAACATTCATGTGTGTTATCGAACTAAATTTGATAGATTTAGCTACGATTTCGAAGAATCACCGATACCTTACCCAGCGCCTAAAAATTTCCACTACAAATGATTGATTTATTACTCATATTCTTTACTACAAAGCTATTTAACAAAAAAGACTAGTAATTTTTAATAAAAAAATAGAGTCGGAATTCAGTTATTTAATGTTTATGTTTAATGTTTACTTTTCTACTTTATTCTATTTGCCTTGTAAATGAACAGGTTCAGAAGATGGTGGGAAAAGAGGAAAGCGAAAGCATAGCGAAAAAGAGTAAGTAAAATATCACACTGTAATAAAATTTAATCAAAATTAAGTGCAAAATCATAAAGTATTTGTTCAATATTATTAATATTTCATTTTAAAAATTTCCCTTATTAATCGTGAAAGTAAAATCACCTATTGTTTACGTATTTTTTTTTCCTCCTATACAAAAAGACTACAAGAATTTTTAAGTGCGTAATTTAATAAAGAGACATTTACCAGCGAAATATTCACTATATACTGCTACAATATTCGTTTCATATTTAGAGAACATTGATTATATTACATTCTAAAAAGTATCCATAATAGTTACAGTTGAAGGACGATTAAATTTATTGATTGTATAATATTCAATCAATATGTATTGGATTAATTATACTCTAGAATATATTTTGAATAGATTCTTTCTTATTTATATATATATAGTATTATATGAAATATAGTTGCTAATATTATACCATTCTTAGTTCCGAAGATGAATCAAATTATGCTGGAGATACGGATGTTACGGATAAAGAACGTTTGGCTAGGGAAAGTCATTGTGAAATCGAAAGAAGACGAAGGAGTAAAATGGCGACTTACGTAAATGAATTATGCGATATGGTACCCGCATGTTCAACTTTAGCTAGAAAACCCGATAAGTTAACCATCTTACGATTGGCCGTAGCGCATATGAAAACTTTACAAGGTTATATCAATTCTCTTTCATTTACTTATCGCATTTATTATAATTATCTAAGTATTTTCATAATTTGCTCGTAAATTCTTATTGAATAATTGATGATGATATCCGATACAACATAAAGAACTTTAACCACAATCCAAAACTAATTTATAAGTTTTTCATTATTTTCCTACAAAAAACCAATATCACAATCCTAAAATAGACTTTGAGGTCCGTGTGAGTTCGGTCAAGATTTATTTACATGCTTCAAAGGTCGCATGTTTATATATATATACTGTATATGTATTTGTATATATAGACTAAATAGAAAGCCACGGTATATACTGTATATAAGAAAAAGTACGTATATGCTGTACAAGAAAATCAACTATACTTTTATTTCGCTTGTTGTATAATTTACATATTTTTACATAATTAATAAGTTTATGGATATTTTATATCGGAGAAGCAAACCAAATCACTTAAGATGTACTTTGTGCGAAATGTAACATTCTTTCTAAACTTAGTCTCTTTTTTATTGATAATATTTCTCTTTGTTTTCGACTTAAAAGATCTTTTTATATACAAAAACAACTACAGGTACCGGAAATACCAGTTCCGATGGATCATACAAACCATCCTTTCTTACTGATCAGGAGTTGAAGCATTTGATTTTAGAGGTAAATTGCATATTTTGCTGATAGTGCTATTGATTAACTTTGGTCTGATTTTTACTTTGAAGGCGGCTGATGGATTTCTTTTCGTTGTCCAATGTGAGACAGGAAGGATAATTTACGTATCTGACTCAATTTTACCAGTTCTTAATCATTCTCAGGTAATAAAAGAAACATAATGTTGCTTTATTATTCTCCATTTCACTTATTTATGTTTTTTTAGCAAAATTGGTATTCGGCTTCTTCTATTTTTGACATGGTGCACCCTGACGACGTTCAGAAATTACGTGAGCAACTCTCCACATCTGAATCTCAAAATGTAGGTAGAATATTAGACCTGAAAACTGGAACTTTGAAAAAAGAAGGTCATCAATGTAAGTGTCATATTAAAAAGTGTTTTTGGTTAATTATAAAAGCTTTCTCTTTCAGCTTCAATGCGACTCTGCATGAGTTCGCGGCGGGGTTTCATCTGTCGAATGAAAGTCGGCAACGTCCCAATAGATCCTTTAACCGCCAACCACACGGTTCGGTTACGTCAGATGAATACACTAGGTCAATCGTCGGATGGTCAACAATATGCTATAGTACATGTGACGGGTTATCTTAAAAACTGGCCGCTGAGCGGTGTACATGTTGAGAGAAATTCTTCGCAGGACGATGAACTACAAACTTCTTGTTGTTTGGTGGGAATCGGAAGGTTACAAGTTACTTCAACTCCTAACGTATCAGACATTAGTTCAGGAAATGCTTCTACCTATATCTCGAGGCATTCAGTAGACGGGAAAATAACATTTGTCGATCAAAGAGTTACAGCTGTTCTCGGCTACCAGCCTCAAGAGTTATTAGATAAACACGTTCAAGATTTATGCCACCCAGAGGAAGAAGTCCAAGTAAAGGAGAGCTTCGATCATGGTATACATTTTAATACGTATTCAATTTTTATTATTGATGGTCTATGGATATTATAAAAAAATAATGAACCATTTCCGTTACAGTTTTGAAATTGAAAGGTCAAATGATGTCTTTGGCCTATCGTCTTAGGAATAAATCAGGAGAATGGACCTGGATTAAGAGTTGTTCATTCAGTTTTCTAAATCCATACACTGATCAAGTAGAATATATAGTCTCTACTAATACAGCTTCAACGTAAGTAAATTAGCTGTCAGAGTTTATAGAATACTCTAACAATAGAATGATTTTTTCAGACAATCAAATGCCAACGATGCGTCTGAGGTTCAGAACACTGTTGACACTGATCTGTACGCCCGTGCCATGTCGCAAGGTCAATATCCTTTGCAGCAGATGCAACATTCCCTGGTGAAACAATCGGGAAGTTGGGCTTCTGCAATGCAATCGTCTTACCAACCGAATCCGAATAATTGGCAGTGGAATAGCGGTCAGCAAACCTCTGGAACTGAAGGACAGCAGAGTACGGGTCAAAATAATTCAAATAACAATCATGAAGTTAATGATGTTATGAGCATGTTAGAACCAGGAGAATATGACTTATCGGCTTTTACTAATATGTAAACAACAAAAAAAAACAAAAAAACCAAAAAAAAAAGAAAGCAAAAAAAAACCATTAAGAAACAGAATTCCCATCTTTTTTTCCATATTTTCTTTTTGTTCTGGTGCAGTTTTTTGTATATATTTTTATAACACTTTTAGGTTTAGTCTTCTTAGTCGATGTTTTTTCTGTCGTTGTTTAAATGAATTAAATATGCAACCAAAAAAAAGTAAAGAAATTTGTAGGGCATTATTATGGTAATTGTATATGCTTTGTTCGAATACACGTGCACTATATTTCGTAATAATCTAATATGTTTGTTCCTCACTTAAATTTCTTCGAAAATCTTTCAAGATATTTCAAATTACTTTTGAAATACGTTGCTCCTTATCAACTTTTAAGGTCTCTTATATTTATTTTTCTTTTCTCCTTATCGCACTTGCTCTGTTTTATCTCGAATCTTATACGGTATTCAATATCTTGTAAAAGTGTCCGATTTACAAAGATGAAAGCGAATATAGTCTGTATGTATAAACACACATATATTTCTTTTAAGCATAAAACGCTTAACGACGATTCAATATCATGTTAATCATTGAGGAGACGATAAATATTAAAAACAGTTTACTGCAAGGGATACCCTTATTATGAATTTATGAACTTTTAAATAATCGCATTTATTCATCAACAAAAGAGAAATAGTTGCGTTTACATAAAAGTTTATTTCCTAGAGTTTAATTCTTTCTTCTCCTCGCGTTCAATGCTCTTCATGATAGATTCCTTATATGAAAATATACTACCATCCCATTTAGTCACGGTTTGTTTGGCGCAAACCCAAATTTCCTGAGCGACTTGCGAAATTAGCCTAAAGTCGTGACTTACCAACATTACACCCCCTTCAAATTCATTAATGGCATCTGCCAGAGCATCTATCGTTTCGATGTCCAAATGATTCGTAGGTTCGTCAAGTAACAACAGGTGTGGAGCTTTCCAGGAAAGCCAGCTGAAAATTACTCGGCATCTTTGACCATCGGACAAGTTTTTCATGCAGCATATTTGTTGTTGACCGGATAAACCGTATCGTCCAATAATTTTTCTCATTTCTTCTTTTTCTTTAATGTCTGGATAGCACTTCATCATCCAGTCCAGAGCCGACATTTCTAGATCCAACATTTCAGCCAAATGCTGGTGATACCTAATAACAAACAATCAATACTTTGAAATCTCAATAAAGCTAATTGTTTATTAAAATTACCTTCCAATCTTCAAATGTGAATGTCGTCTGATAAGTCCATCAGTTGGAATTAACTCACCCACAATTAACTTTAGAAGAGTAGACTTTCCAGCTCCATTGGGACCAACCAAAGCTAATCTGGTATCCAAATCAACACCAAATTCCAAATTCTTATAGATATAAGGTTTTTCATCATTATATCTAAATGAAACATTCTGAACCATAATAACTGGAGGTGGAATTGTACCACAATCAGGAAAATAGAAGGAGATTGTTTTATCTAGAGCCACTCTTTCAGTTAAACCACTATCTACCATCTTTTTCAATGTTTTTTCTTTACTTTGTGCTTGTCTGGCTAATTTTGCACTTCCGTGCCCAAATCTTGCAATGTAGTTCTGTTGTAAGGTAAAATATTATAAGATATTTAATATTAGAACTTAAATTATTAAAGTAGCTAATCAAAAGAGCTTGATAGCTTCAGTAATTTTATCAGAATAATCGCTTTAGGGGTATGATCATTGAACAATTATGCTACAACTGTTAACAGTTAAAATCAACAGGAGCAGGATTGTCTTATCCTCGGCCTTGCTTTCATCATTTTTTAATAGTATCATTTATTAATATTACCATTCTATTGATCAATGGAAACTTGGAGGAGTTTTAATTTTTAATATATTTCACCTTCATATGTGCTATCTGTCCCTGCTCCCATTTGTATCGTTTCATCTGATTTTCTTCCAATTCTAATCTCGTTTGAATGTACTGGTCATAATTTCCCTATGGAAGAAAGTTAAGAAAAAATTATACATCATTCATATTAGATATCATGTTAAATTTCTTAGACTACTTACACCATAGTATTTCAATTTTCTTTGATTCATATGAATAATATTTGTACATACTCCATTCAAGAAATCTTGAGAATGAGAAATTATAACCAAAATTCTTTTGAATTCTCTCAATTCTTTTTCCAGCCAGACGCAAGCCTCTAAATCCAAATGATTAGTAGGCTCATCCAACAATAATAAACTAGGGGATATAAACAAAGCTCTGGCAAGCGATATTCTCATTCTCCAACCACCAGAAAAATCTTCAACCTAGAGTGAAAGTAAATGACATATGAATCACTTGTGAACAAATGAAGTCTTACAAATTACATGTAGTATTTCTTTTATTAATTAAAATACCTTAGTGTCCTGCATTTGTTTTGAAAATCCTAATCCATGTAAAATTCTACCAGCCTTCTGCAGAGCTTTATCTGCATCTAGATCATCTAAACGTTCGTAAACATCAGTTAAACGCTCAGTTGCCTCTTCAGAATTCAAAGTAGCTAATTCTTCCGCTTCCTTTTCTAAACGAATTCGTTCTTCATCCACCTCCATGACAGTTTCCAATGCAGTTTTACTCGAAGGAGCCATTTCCCGTCTTAGGTGATAAATATCTATGTGATTGGGAATTGGTACCTCCCTCTGTCCTAAAGCAGACAGTAATGACGATTTACCTGAATAAGGAAAGACATTACTAATTATTGTGATAGAAAATGGTATATAACTTTCGATATGAATAATATGTTATGAAAACCAAGTAAATAAAATTCACATGTGTCCTAAGAAGGAGTTTTATAGATGAAAGTGCTTTTTACGCACTTAGCATTATATCTTTATTTTTGAAGTAGTTATAAAAATCAATATTTTGAGATTTTTTTTCGTTTTAACTTACCACAGCCATTAAGTCCAATCAAACCATATCTTCTTCCGTTGTTCAATTCCAATTTCGTGTCACTTAAGAGCTCGGCTCCGTGAAAAGTAATTGATAAACTATGAATATGTACATCTCTTCCTTCGGGATGAGAGGCTAAAACGCCCGTAACAGACCTAAATTTTGCTGCTATATCCAAATTATCCATTTCCTCTGTAACACTGTCTATGGCCGCTGTAAAATTGAGTAAAAATTTTTTAAGAATCTGAGCTAATGGATAATAATTATTATTCATAAATTACGTACCTCCATTCACAGAAGCTCCATTTTGAGTTCCGTTAGTTTTACTGCTGCCGTTCTCTTCAATTTTCCTACCAGGAGTGTCCTTTAATTTGGCAGCATCTTTCTTTTTGGCTGCCCGACGTTTTTTAGCATCAGAAGGCATATTTTTATTTTAATAATCGGTTTTTTTCGATTTAAAATAATTTAAAGAATTTATTTTAAAATAATTGAAGTTCTAGCTAATATATATCGGTCACTAGCTTTATAATTGCTTAATTTACACGTGACCATGTGCGTCGTAACCGGCCATATTGAAAAACATAGACGTCGCCTTAGTCAGCGACTATTGCGCGGTAAGTTCACCAGTTTCCATAGAAATTATTATTCACGCGATAATCAACGAGAGTTGCTATATTTAACGATATAATGAGCGAAAGTGAAGAGAGTATACGAAGTTCAATCTCTTTAAGCGATAACAACTTATGTTAATTAAGACTCAAAATTATCATTACTTTATTATAAACTTAAATTATCAAGGCAAAATTTCTTCAAGATTCTTAAAAGTTAAATTTAAAATTTGAATATTTAGTATAAGTAATAGATGCTCAGAAGGTATATCTGATAATTTACCCCTTCTTCACATTTAATATAACTGATTGTGATCTCATAATGTAGATTATTTGAATATTTGACTCTTAAATTTTTTATATGCCTAATGTAATTTTCCAAAACATTTACATAATTATTAAATATTGAAAAGGAGTAGAGGAAAAAGAAGCTCTAAACATAATTTTCTTTCTTTCCTAATCATAGTTTAAAAATCGTACAACTATGAAAAAGATATACCATATTTAAAAGACTTCATCAGTTGTCATTTTCATTCCTTCCTTGTTTTTGATAATTATTTTTAATTAAGGGTAAGGATTATTAGCCTTCATTTAAAACTTTTAATGCCAGAAGCTTATAAAAAGAGGTTAAGGTTAAGAGCATATTACTTATATAATATTTAACCTATTTTAGCATCTCTATTTATTTTTATCAGTCTCTTAAATATATATTTATCACATAGTTTTGTAGTTTTAATGAAAGATAGATACGTTGCCGTTAAAATTCAAGCTTTATTATGATATTTAAAAATTCTATTTACGTAAATATGAGGACAATATGTTAAAAACAATATTCTTCCTTATAATCCTTCTTAACTTGTGATTAAGATCAACAAGTTCAATCAACAAATAGCAAGAGTAAATTGAGAATTATCATCTTGTTTCTTGAAACCTCATTTAAGGTGGTTGCGCCTGCACACGGTATGACGGAAAGAATATATTGGCTTGGTTCTTCACCTACCTGAATAATTCAATAACGCTTTATTGGTTTGACTTAATTAGTTCAGGTAGTCTCTCTCTCATTACCAGCTAATAGTTGTAGATCAAATATTAAATATTTTAATTATTGTTTGCTTCAGGACTAATAACTTTCATACTCATTAGAAATAACTCATTAGTGTGATATAAAAAGCAGTCCATATATTGAAGTCATATAGCACGATAATCTTTATAACTATTTCTATAATCACTACTAAACAGTCTCTTCTGCATCGCTAATCTTTTAAGGTATTTTATTTCGCTTTTTCTAGCTTACACTGCTGTCTTAGATAAAAAGATCTTCAGGAAGAGTTAAATTTTATAATTTATGTCTCAGTACCTGATTGATGGAGAGAGAGGAAATTTAATTTACAAACAAGTTTCTAAGAAAAATTAGGAGAATAATTATCAATAGTATTATTGATAAGTTGAGCAAAACTATACTTAACCTATTGTACACAGTATTAGTATCTTTAAACTTATTGAATTATCAATCTCTTTCTTTTTCTTAAATGTCTACCGCAATGTACTAGCTTCAGCAGTACCAATTATCTGTCATTTCGTTTGAGATAAAAAGTATTATAACAATAAGAACAATTTTTATAAAATAAATGTCTTTCATTAGATCGATTTTCTTTGTTTTTTTATTAAACAACCACTAATTCTCTTGTCTTAGTCTAATAATATTAATGAGAAAAAGAGACACTTTAGTGATATACGGTCGAATAGCTGATCTAGTTGTCTTTGTTTTCATTTACGTATCAAGTATCTTAACCTTGAAGCTGCAAATTATTAAAGAGTTCAGTGATACTTTAACTAAATGTACGTTAAACGGACTATACAGTACATTACCAAATTAAATGAAAAAGTATGTGTTAATTTCCTTTTAACAGAGGAATTTAAAGTGTTTTGTATCTTTTAAAATTTTATTTAGATCTCTTAAGTATATCTCTGTTAAATATATGATGAAAAGTATTAATATGTATTTGTGCTACATTACCCTCTGGCTACTCTATTTTAGCTAATAATATAGGTAGTTATATTTAAGTTTCTATATATATGGAACGAAATTTTTTTTATTGATGCGTCATCAGTTTTCGTATTTATTATCTTACTGTAAAAACAGAGTAATTTTGAATTCGCATCTAATTAGATAAATAGGAAAGATATAACACTAATCTATAGCAGGAATAGGAAAGGAAAAGTTCCTTTACGTAACAAGTTCTATAATAGTTAGAAGAACAGAACAGATAAAAGTAATTAATAAAATAGTCTTGCTGCTACTCGTGACAATAGTTTTTAACTCGTTTTAAAGCCAACAAAACCTTTAAACTATACATATCCTTTTTCATCCTTTCCGTAATTTCTCTATGACAGAAAATAAAAATGTATCTTCTTTAAATTTAAACGTCAAATTATGAAACAGTTTTCAATCTTTCTCCCTTTCGTTGTTTCTTGTCTTGCTCTATAATAAAGTATAGTTACTCTCATAAGTATCATATTTCTTTGATGTTTATATAACATTTAAAAAAGAAATACACTGTAACTGTTCAAATGGGTTACGCTGTTTGAGTATAAGCTCAATCTGTTTTCCACGTTTTTTGATTGATTTGTGTATCAAGACTGTCAATCGAATTGAGACAGTTGAGAAATTAAGACAGGAGAGAGGGAGAGATAAAGATAACTTTTTTGCTTCTTTTCTAATCGTGAAATGCCTTCTTTCCAGCTTCTTTCAACGATTATTTGAATTGTATAGCTTCGTTATACAATAAAGAGAAAAAGAATAAAAGAATGTTTTAAGTTTATAATAAAATACACTCCATTTTGTCACTGTTACAAAATTATTTTCAAAGGAACATCCTCTTTTGAATCCCTTCTTTGTAATTTGGTTTGAAATTGTGTTCGAATAGTTGCCTTGCTTCCTCTTGGCGTTACCCACCTAGGGCAGAATAGACTTTTAAGTTCTCCTCGGAATTTTTGACCAGTTATGCAATAGATGTAAAAATTGATGCTACTGTTTAAATACACGAGTAAGAAACAAATTGTTTTAACCAGAAACTTTCTTGCTTTATTTTCCACAGTATTCTCTTTACTAAACAATAGAGGATAAATAGAAAATGGGGTTGATAATAGAAACCAGGCAAAAGAAACAGCCAAAAGCATGATGATAAGTTTATTTTGATTGTTTTGGGTATTCTGAACAGTTCGTTCAATGGTTTTTCTTGCAATCACCATTATAATAACAATATTCATAAAGAATACTGCAGTAAAAGGTATAATAGAATAGGTAATTAGTTTAAAATAAGGATAGACTTCTTTCATAAATTTAGTTCTTTTCCAACACCACATTGTGTTATTGTTTTTCTTCACAAGTGTGACATCGAAAATTAGAGGAGAACTATAAGCGGCGATTAAAGCCGTTGCAATAGCTGCCATTTTTCTTGCTCTACTTACACTGCTAAATACAGCTATCTTCAACGGAAAAATTACAGCAAAAAACCTGTCAGCCGTAACCAATAGTACAAACCACGCTGAAGAATGCAGACTAAAAAAGAACAGGAAACTCAATGTTTTACAAGATGCGTTTGATAGGTGTAATAATTCTACATTTGTAATTATCCTTATCCAACTTTTTAATCCACTCGCGTATAAGACCAAAGTATCCGCTACTGCTAAGAAAGTCAGATAAAAGTATGTGGCATTCGACCTCATTTTCGGTCTAGTTAGGACAGCTATAGAAGCCACATTTCCAATCGTGCCAAATATAATAATCACTGGAAGGATGAATTTATTTAGCAGGAGACCCAATTTAAAGTACGGATGATTAAATAGCTCTGAAGTATTTGTTGTTATCAAGAGTGAACTGTTCAGCTTTGATTCCTGTAGTAAAATACAAATTTATCAATTTACTATAAGTAAACTAGTGTTTCAAATGTGGGCATATTAATAAGTCAACAATTCGGTATATATGAATAGAAACACAATAAGAGAAAGAGAGTGGTTAGTTCCCTATATATTTATTTTCTTTAGGTACTTTATCATGCTTATAGATGTATTGCACGGCTTCTCCATCCTATAGTAGCAGATAGTAATTTAGACAATCTGAAGATACGTCTTCTCTAGACTATTCTAACATTTTAAAGAGTTCAGGATACTCTTGTAGGTTGTATGGCCTTGTATATTAACGCCTTAAATATCCTTGTAGGGAAGAGCTACCTCCTTAAATGTTTTGTTAGGTAAATATTTCTATTTAGTCGCATGTATCTATAGTAGGTATTTTTAACTTTCAGCTAATTTATTTAAACATACTCCTTTCTGGCATTTTTCCAATAGTCAATAGTCCAACTTTCATGTTAACCACGATATTTGAAATGACCCCCATCTTTTCGAGATCAACATATGTTTTAAAACTGAATTTTATGGAATGAAAAAATTTTTTTATATAGAATATAATCAAAATATAGAATAATCAAAATTAATATAATTAGAAAGTAATTGTTAATTAATATAAAAAAGGTACACTATCTACTTTTTATATTTTTAAGGTGATTTATCATAAGTGCCATGTACGTATACCAATATATTGATCATTTTTTAAAATACCTACTTTAATGGTTGCATTAGCTAAAATGTTAAACTACACGAACGTATAGCTAACAACTTAGTCAAAATGTCCTTTTTCTGAGGGCGCTATAATGTTTATTCGGTGACCTTATATACCTTATCTTCAATTATCAAACTTTACAGAAGTACATTGAAAGTACTGTATACAATCCTCTTATTACTGATACCTATACTGACAAGAATAGTAAACAAAAATTCACAATACTATTATTCGGTTATTGTAACTAAATACTATATATTTTTTTATGTTAAAGAAGATATAAAGAGAAAGGTTAATCACGCTGACAGTTAAGTAGCCAATACGGTATATTAGAACTTTATAGTTTTCTTAGGTAGCGTCTACATATCTATGTTAATGACTAATAACAAAAAAAACACACCTACAATATAAGTTCATGCTTTTATGTAGTTTTACTCCAATAAATACATCTACAAAATGTGATTGTTTTTTAGAAGTGGACGAATATCTATCACATTATGCAGAATATAGACATCAATATTAAGATTAGTTTTTTCTCGAAAGGTTTATGTGCTCCCGTGAAAACGAAGTTTTCTATTGATGATTGATATTCGGTATCCAAAATGTTTGTTTTTTGACATACATACATTTTTATAAATTCTATGAAATTAATATTATCGTTACCGTTCTGAAGGAAATAACTTACCATTTATTCTCCGTCTTTTTCTAAAGAGCTAGATGCTGAAAAGAGTCATAGTTCTTTTATATTTATGCCAGCCGAGGCTCGCTAGGGCGGCGTCGTTGCTCCTCCTTGGTTTTGCTATCCAATAGACTTTTCTTATTAATTTTCATCGCTATTCTTTATTTTATAATTTTTTGAGAATTCCTAAAACTAGAGAAAAATTGTTTTTACTATTATTAGTATCAAGATAATAATGTATTGTATTTCAAAGATTATTAAATGGCTCATTATGACTTCAACGAACCGTGAAACTAAGCAAAAATTCAATTCTTAGCAGCAAAGCATTCCATTCAGTGTTGATCTATTGTTTATAGAAAATGTCTTCGCTTTTTTCTAACAGTAGAAATGCATATTTATGCATCCTATAGGAATATTCCTTTGCATGAGGAAAAATTTTCCCTTAGCACGAGCCTACCTTTAATATTATGTTTAAAGCAACCAATATGATGAAATAGATAGAATGATAATAAAAATGCAAAAAAAAGATATATTTTCCTTTCAATATACAATTTCCTATCATATATATACATGCAATTTTTATACAGTAAAGAGAGATTTTTGTTGGTTGAGTCAAACTTTGTAACGTACTTTTTTCCAAAATATATTTGCTTGACAGAATATTTTTCAATAAAATGTATCATGAAAGTACAACTGATGTTGCCAAATCAACATATTAACGTAGTTTGTCTATGGAAGCTCACTTAATTTTGTGTCTCAATTAAAATAAATTAGTTATGTAGGCGACCCTCTGTTTTTTTTCTATTCTTTACACACCATATGAAAATCTTCTATACTACCTGCAATTACCTATATTGTGCAAAGTTCAGTAACAAGATAAAGTATTATTAATAATTGGATGACCTGTGCAAGACGTTTCAATTTGTCATTGAGAAATTGAAGGGATTAAAAATTTAATTTCAGGCTTAAAAACTTATAATTCTACTACAAATATACAAACAATAAATTTATGATTTGTACTTATAATCTTTCTAAAATTAATAAGTTATTGTCACCAGCTTTAAAAACGAATTATGTGATATTTTTGACAATATACGATAATATTTGAAAACAACATGGGACGTATATGAATGAAAAGTAAATAAAAAGAATATAGAAAACGTATTTATGAAAGTCTTATATAACTTTTTTGTACCTGTTAAAAAGAGCTATTGACAATCCTTTGTAGTCATTTTTCTTACTTTCCTTCCTTCTTTTCTTTGCATTAGATATATTGCAGAATCACCTAGTAAGTTTGATTTCTTGTTTATTAGAGTTGTTCGCCAATTGGAAATAGATATTGCTGTATCTGTTAAAAGACTATCGCTTTTTTTTACATTTATCTATTTTCAATGAACAGATAAATGAGCTTGTAATCTTTGCATGGGAGAATAATATAAGAAACGTTGATTACAGTAATAAGCATTTAATTAGCTTTTATATCATTATAGACTAGATTTCAATTATAAAGTAGAAGGCTATATTTCAAATCAATTATATATACAATATTATTCTTTTCTGGAAAAAGCTTCGCTTATTAAAGTTTCTGCAATGAAAGAAGAAAGATAAATTATCTATAACAAACGAGTTTTATGAAAAAAGACTAATTGTATTTCACAAGAACGACCGTTGAATAGAAGAACTGTACTGCATTAAATATAAGTTGTATCCTCAAAAGTCGAAATTTATCAAACTTAATGTTTGTCACTTCTATTACTTCCAAACTCTTTGAAAATAAATGCTATAACGAAACTAATCTACATATAAAGGTGACATATTTAATGTTTTATCACTATATAAATTTAAAATTCCATTTCGACCAAAATTTTCCTCTTGAGCTTTATTCATTTTCTCATTTTTAGCAAGTAATTATTAATTGAGTCTAATTCTGTACCCAAAATTACATATATATTTATAACTCTCTTGGAGATAGTCTTTGAAAGGATTGTGACGTTTACTTTTTGAGGCGATAAATGTTATCAATTTAGTAATATAGAACATTAACTCTTCCCGCCAAAAAGATTAAAGTAAAACATTCAAGCTTTTCTCTTCTAGTTTTGATTTTTGCCTATTATCGTCTGATGCGTTTCTCATGAATTTCAGAACGTGCTTCTTTACCAAAAGTTTAAAAATGGTTAATTCACTATTATTTTCCTAAAAATATAACTACAAGTTATTATTTTAGATATGGAATATGAGGAGAGTTTCGACAAATATTCCTTTAGGTATACTTTGTTATATTCCATCTAGTAGATATCAAAGAACTGCAATGCTTTCTTCTATTGACAAATGTCATATTTACACCTATTAGATGCATTAAAAATAAAATACTCACGAAGTAGCGGACCTGGAGGACAAAATGTTAATAAAATTAATTCGAAAGTTGATGTTCGTTTTCATATTCAATCTTCTTCGTGGATTTCCGAAGAGATTAAAAGCAAATTAATAATTCAGGTTGTTCTTATAAAGTTTTTAATAAATTCAAGTGAACATTTTATTTCAAAGGAGAAAAACAAAGTAACGAAAGATGGATACCTTATTGTAAGTTCTGAAAAAACTCCAAATCAACATTTAAATTTGAAAGATTGTATAGAGAAAATTAAAACGATAATTCAAAGAGTCGAAAAACCAGATTATATTCCTTCAGAGGAAGAGATAAAGCTAAAGAAGACCAGGTATGTTAAGAACCTTAGATAGAAAATTAATCTTTAAAGCTTGTAGACTTTTTATACTGTATGTAAAACTAAGAGGCTGTATTCAATTTCTTTGAAGTGTTATTTACTGATAAATTAAAAGTAAGATTTAATTTTTTCAGAATGAAAAAGTCGAATGAACATAGAATAAAGGAAAAAAGAATAAAATCATTGAAAAAATCAAGAAGGAAATCACCAGATATTTATTCTATATAGCGTGTGTTCCGATGAGAGAAAGCGGAATGATCAAGATTAGAAGTTTCTTCAAGATATAGTGTAGACTTTTAAATACTACTGCCAACTTATACACATGTTTATGTATTTATAAAAATATAAAGAGAAAGAATCAAATTGTTGAGTGCAGATTGTAACGCTTGGAGATCGTGCTAAGCGTGGAAAAGGACGTAGAGACTCATATATATATACAGTATAAATACAGGCACAATTATTCAAGTAGTGAGATTTTGTTTATAAAATAGATTTTAATAAAGACATTCATCATATGAAGGTAATGGCCCTCTCGGGTAGCAATTCTGAGATACAGTGCCCGGGGCGCAAGTAGGAGGTGCCGTTGGAACTGGTGGTCTATTTCGAGCCAATCTATTATCTCCAGTTGAATTTCTATGCTGATCTAAATCTGAAGCTCCAGCTTCATCTGTTCTAGTACTCTCTGGTTTTGTAGAATCAACACGTTTGTTCTTGCATGTTCGACAGAATAGCATTACTATACCAATAAACAAAAGGTATCCATTCGTGGCTACATTAAAAATATTAAATAATAATTATTAAATTAAGAATTACCCAATTGATTTTATGTACATTATATAAGCATACCTTCTATTACAGTATTACTACATTGTGAAATGTGAATTTGAAATGTTTTAAACAACAACTTTTGTAGTATATGATTAAAAAATGATTTTTCTAAATAATATGTAAATGCTGACTCTATGTTTTTTAAATATTAATACTTTGTAAAAGCTTTTAGACGCCCCCTAGTTTAAAAGCTATGCTAACATATAATATCTCTTCTATGTTTTACATTATATATTCTAATATAATATAAACAGTATACTGTATATATATATTTATATAAATATATATAAACTGAATATATAATTTATTCAGTACAATTTCTATGCAGCCCATATATATTTATATATAATAAGCTGTAAGAAGAGATTTTAGGGAATTATAGACAGTATCTAGCATAAGACTTCCTAAGATTGGAAAATTGAAAACAGGAAGGAAATTTTTAAAGGACACTCTAAGAAGGAAAAATATTGAGAAATTGAAACTTACCAATAATAAATATAAGTGTATTTAAATTATAAACCAACTCCAATTTAACAATAATAGTTTTATGCAGGTATTCTCCAACAAGAAATATTATAATAGTAGTTAATGCCCCTATTATTGCAAGGGAGGAAAAAAAATTCATACATTTTTCGCAGCAATTCATCTCTGTAACAAGAATATTGATTTATATCTTTAGAGAAACTTGTAGCTATTAAATTCACAGGTGGCGTTTTACCTGAAAAAAAATCAAAACATTTATAGATTTTTTTATGTTTTTTATTTACATAAACAATAATTATTATACATACAAATATGAATAATGAGGAATATTTTCTTTTTATTAGTATATTTAATATTTTATTCTTAGATTATCTTAATCTTTTAATCGCTTTTGTTTGTTATTATTTCACTATTTTTAATGTTAGATAAAGTATAATAAGATAGAGAGAAATTAGGGAAAAGGAGACAAAATATGATGATGTTATACTAAACAACATATTGTTTAGATAAAGTGTCTTTTCATTATTTTGGATTTACTTTTCTATTTCCTTCTCTCTCTCTCTCTCTCTCTCTCTCTTCCTATTTTTCTTTCTTTCTTTCATTCTTTCTTTCTACTTAATAAATTTCTTAACTTTCTTATTTCCATATTAAAACAAACAAAAATATAAAAGGGGCTAACAAATGATACATCGGAATTCATATTTGTTATAGGCTTATAACCATTCAAAAAAAGTTTTCAAACATTTTGCCAGATATTATAAGAATCGATGTAAATAGTATACAGCAATTTTATATATTTTTAATTTTGTATTCCGATTTTCATAAACTCTTTAAATTTCGCTTAATGAGATAATACAGCTAATTATTAGAATAAAAAAAGATTAAAGTGTTTCTCTTTTGTCGTCTGCTAACATGGTTATATGGTTATAGAAATGTTTCTGGAAAATTTATCATTTGTCATTTAATTATCGATTATGAAGCATCTAATTGACAGCGTTTTACATGAAATACTATCTGTAAAGAATTTAGTGCATGCTATCTCTGGTTCGACGGTTAGTACTTCATGATACTTATAAAATTTTTTAAGAATATGAAATGTATTTTATGAATGTAAATATTTTTTAAGGCAAGTGTCGTAGCGATTTCAACTTTCTACCCTCTCGATTCAGCTAGAACAAGACTACAAGGTAATTATAATACATGTGGGATTGGAATATTTCAATAAATCCATTGTACATCGTCAATTAGCTGGAGATTTAAAATCGAAAAATAACTTTTCTCTACAATTAATAAGGGAAATATTTGAAAAAGAAGGAATGTGAGTACATTTTTAGGTGCTATAAAGAAAGAAATAGAGCGAAAGAAAATGATAGAGAAAAGAAGTTTTTGATCATTAAAAACCTTTTCTAGTGCTCTATATCTTAACCTTTTTTCTAGATGATAATATATTCAATAACTTTCCACGAAGAGTAATCATATTCTTTTCGTTGTTATTGCTGATAATAGATACGGTATTTATCGCGGTTTGAGTTCCATAATAACTGCCCTTGGTTTTTCAAACTTTGTCTATTTTTATGCATACAATTGTATAAAAGTATGCCAGAAAAATCGTACAGCAACAATGGATTTACTGACGGCATATACTGCTGGTGCTATTAACGTTCTTTTATCAACACCGCTTTGGGTGGTTAATACAAGATTAAAATTGCAGTCCAATTCCAATAGATATACTGGTATAATAGGTATTTATTAAATTCTAATAGATAACGTAAAATTATCAAGATAACTTTCCTATCTATTGTTTTCCTCTTATTTGTTCTCTTTTTGTCTATTTAGACTGCGCAAGCAAAATTATAACTGCTGAAGGGATAAAAGCGTTGTGGAGTGGAACTACAGTGTCCTTGCTATTAGCGTCTAATCCAGCTATTCAATGGATGTTTTATGAGTCACTGAAACGCTACGTCGCAAGAATATTTCATAATGACGAATTATCATCATTCACTATATTCATTTTGAGTGCCATCTCAAAATTTTTAGCGACTTTTCTAACATATCCTCTACAAATTTTACAAACCAGATGTAGAGCTAAAAACTCAAATCCGTCTGCGATATTGAAGGCAATTATTAAAGAGAAAAATTTCCAAGGTCTTTTCTTAGGATTTGAAGCAAAGCTCACGCAAACCGTTCTAACTGCTGCTTTTATGTTAGTTGTTTACGAAAAGATAGTAGCTAACATTTTAACTTTAATGAAAAGTTATTAATAAATGAAAATTCTATATGCTCTATATGGCCATTATGAAATTGTAGATGTAAATGAATTTTTTTAAAGGCTTATATTTATAATAATAAAAAAAAAACATTTTAAGACCAATTCTCTCTTCTTTTTCTTCTTTCCTTTCATTGACAACAATTACATTTCATTTTAAATATGAATAGAAATTAGAATTAGATTTCAAACAATTTAGTTTTCCTTCTTTTCCGTGTCAATTAGTTGACATGTATAAGTTTTCTTTTGAATTATCGATTCATCTTTATGCAACTCTTCTTGAACAAGTAATTTAAAATTTTTACGAATATAATGTATTTGAAGCCAACATGGTAAAGATATTTCCAACATTAGAATATCTCTTGCCTGGGATCTCCTCCATACTGAGGAGCCGTGCTTAGATATTGTCGAATAGGTATCGGTTAAAGCGGCAATTAACATGTGCAAAAGTACTATATTACAAGTAATTAAATACATGATATATATTGCCAATCTGGTAAATTTCAATTCAAGAGGGGAATCGTGTATAAATTGCATGTCAGAGAGAGTTAGTGCAAGCCTAAATAGACTTACGTATGTTATTCCGATATTTTGAACGCTCTCCGGCTTTACCTCTTCATCGTACCTAGCGTATGTAGCATATAAAGCAGAACCAAATCCAATAATAGCAACAACAGTGACAATTAAAAATCTAGGAAGGTCTTGACTCACAATCCTTGCAAACATAACGGTAAAGAAACCAGTCATTTTAAAGAGCTTACTAAAAGAGATTATATAAAGCCATCCGGTTACTAAAATGACAACTTCAAGAATTAGAGCAAAATTTTGTTTTACGCAAATCAGGGATATCCAAAACCAAAACAAAGTACCAAGGGGATGACCTAAAACGAGATGTAAATTTAGTTAGCGTGTCAATTTTACATAATAAATTTTGTTTGCCTTTCTACAGAGGTCATAGGATACATTCGTATTTGTATTTACCTATTAAAAAGACGTAGTATTTGCCAGTTTTTGTTACTGAGAAGGTCTTTCTTATTGCCGGCACACGTCCTCGATGAACTTGAAGGGTGCAAATAAGACCAGTAATTCCATATGTTAGTAAAACTAAACAATTTGTGTTAACAGTTGTATATAGAACAATCTTTCGAAGTCGGAACATAGAAGCGACTGTTGTATTATTTGAACAATAAATAGGTAGAGATGCGTGTACCCCCATTGACAACATTGTGACACTGAACATGTAACAAAAGTGTAAAATAATCCACATTAGATAGAATCGTCTATATGCTTGCCATTTCAACTCGACCATCTTTTTGATTAAAGGTATATGAAAGCTTTTAATACTCTGTTCGTACGGTGACGAATAAGCTAATAGTTCAAGTACACTCGGGGATGATTGTCTACGGCATAGTATCGGTTCGATACCGGCTAAATCATACTCAGAAACTGATAATTGACCAACAGATGAATGAGAGATCTTATAAACACCTTCTAGTTCTAGAATATTAACCAGAATATCAATACAACCTTCTTTAGCTGCAAGCTTCAAAGGCTCTAAACCTAATTGATTACGTATGGTTAATAGGTGCCTAAGTACCAATTCAGGTGTAATCTTTAGGCACATTAAAGAAAAAAATTATAATTAAAATGGTCATAGTTGTTAAGAAATGATAGAGTTTTACCTTATCGCATTGAATAGATATATGTTTATATTCATGACATAAATTTAATATAAATTTTAAAGTACTAATCGCTGTTCCACTCTGATTTCTACTTGCCATTACAAGAGAATGGAATATCGTATTACCAAATTCATCTTGCTGATCTAATTTGCATCCATTCCTAATTAGGCAATCAATTATTGAAAAATTTCCAGAAACAACTGCTAAATGTAGTGGTAAATTTATTGTGTGTCCGTAACATAATCCTAAAATATCTCCCCTTGCTTTCATTGAGCACATTTCCTCATAAACGTTAAATGATCTACACTTGTTTACTATCTTTTGTAAAGTGTCAGATAAACCATGAATAATAGTTAAATGTATGGCATTCATGCCTTTATATTTAAAGCTCTTGGCTCTGCCAATAAGTATATCTTTTGTACAAACTGTTAATAATAATTCGGCGATATTGGCTTTATTCTTCTCTAGACTTTGTATAAATGGATTATCCACCTTTGACATTAATTTATCAAAATTATATTTTAAAGAGAAGAGATAAAAAAAACTTACCATATCGTTAATAACAGCGTTAAAATGATCGTACTTCCTTGCTAGTTTAACAAATACCTTTACTCTATCCTCAAGCGACTTTCTTATTAAAATCTTTATTTCATTCTGTAAATATTCTGGATTTTCTTTGTTATTAATTAGGTTCTCTTCGTAAGAGTTAATATTAGGAAAATCATTTTCATTCCAAAGTTTTGAACTATTAGAAATTAGGCAATTTTTATGATAAGATGTCTGTGAAGATTCAATTCTATTCTTTTTACATTGGCAACATTTATTAGAGCATGTTGACCCTAATGACATAAAAAAATCCAACATTAAACACGGAGTTTGTAAAATAGTTAACCAAATATCTTTTAATAAAATTAAGAAAAAGTTTCCAGTGCATTTTAAAAGTATTTTAGGTGAACAGAATATACTTTTAGAAATGGAATAAGCTCTTGAAACATCTTCTTCGAAATCGTTTTCATGTCTAAATATAATTTGCTGTTGGCATTCCATGCATTTAATTTGTTCGAATCTTTCCGAAGACATGACTCTATGAAAGTTAGTAAAGCGTTTCCAAAAGAAGTTAAGCTCTTTCTCTTTTATTCATTGTGTTCTTATCTATTATCTAAGTATCGTTGGTTAATGGACAGATAAATTGGATAAGAAAAATTACTTAGTATTATTCGAATTTCTAAGGGCACTGTAAATAAGGTTTGACACATTAAGTCTGAAATGTTATATTATATATGTATTTTAGATTAATATATATGTTTATCTATTAGTTTAAAAAAGGAAAAAGTCAAATTACACTCTTACACTTATATAACGAATTAGTTTATTCTCGCTATGAATAAGATAGAGTCTAATGATAAGGTAACGTCATTAAGGGAATTAATTAAGATATAGTTTTAAGTATTTATTCGTAATGCTCATATGACTCGATGACTAAGGCTATTCTTCATATTTTCAATTATGTAGCATACTAATATTTCATTCTTGCTTGAATAAATAAATGATAGTTTATCTTGTCTTTCTACAATATGAATGTGACGCTTCAGAATCATGTTTGCAATCATCGCATCCTTCTCCGCAAGGTTTTGGATCTATGAGCTTTTGACAGTGTATATTTCTCTGCACAAATTCCTTTTCCGAATTGATATCTTGAAGTAATACACGGCAATAATTCTTTTGAACACTATTCGCTTGCACCCAATACGGTAGACAATTTTCAAGCATTAGTAACTCTCGAGCTTGAGATCTTCTCCAAAACGACGAACCTTGCCTCGATATAGTTGAATATGTATCCGTTAATGCGGCTATCAGCATATGCAAGAGAACAACATTTGCTGTTATTAGATAAGTTAAATATATGAAAACTCTCAAAAATTTGTAATTTTGCCTGTCATGTAAGAAATTCAAGTCAATTAGGCTTAATGAAAGCCGAAAAAGACTGATAAATGATGTCGGTAAATCTGCAAATTGCACAGGTTTGTCTTCATGTATTGAATACGTGGCGTAAAGAGACGTTCCAAACCCAATAACAGCTAGAGAGGCTACCAATAAAAATCTTGGCAAATCTTTTATAATTATTTTAGCAAACATAACAGAAAAGAAGCCAGTTTCTCTAAATAATTTACTAAACGTAATTATGTACAACCATCCAGAGACTAGAACAAATACTTCAATAACTAAAGATATATTCTTTTGCAGACAATACTCCCAAAATATTAACCACGTTATGGTCAGAGAAGGGTGTCCTGAATAGAAAGTACAACTTTATGACACGGTTCTTTGTCTTCCTAAGAATACATTACCTATGAGGAAAAGGAAATATTCACTAAGCTTAGCGAGAGATAGAGTCGTTCGAAAATTTTTGGAGCGTTTAGTATAAGTTTTAATATGACAGGAAAGACCAGTTATACCATAGATAAGTAGTATAAAACATATTATAAAAACTGGAATGCCCAGTTTATCTTTAAATAGAGTATGCTTCTCTGATTTGATTGATTCATTGTAACACTCCCTTCGAGTCGTACGATAGTGAGTTTGTGTTACTCCAAGCGACAGACTAGTTAATAGTGACATATAAATACAATGAACTGTTGCCCAAATGAAATAATACGATTTATAATTTGTCCATTTTTGTTCAATTATCTTTGTTATTAAAGGTATTTTAAAGGCAGACGTACTCTTTTCATCTTCTGTCGTAAAAGCTAAAAGTTCTAAGACACTAGGAATTTTGTCTAAACGGCATAAAATAGGTTCGATATTACTAACATCACAAAGCAAAATTTTTGCGTGCCCCAAATGAGTTTCAGATACTCTATAAACTCCATCAAGTTCTAAGATGGCTTCTAACATATCAATGCACCCTTCGACGGCCGCTAATTTTAAAGGATCTAAACCATAGGAATTTCTTATTGATAATAAATATCTAACAACTTGATTCGGCTTGATCTTATAGAGTTTCTTGAAGAACTATAGGTCTATAATCCTTTTTACTATTCTATTTATGAACATTACGTTTCTAATTTTTTGTATACGTTTAGTGTATATTTATAAAAAATAGATAATTCGAGAAACTCTATAAAACCCCTGAAATGCTTGAAGAATTGCAAAAAGTTTTTTTACTGCTGCTTAGAATGTACTTAAGCGTTTTTATGGCTTGACTACTATGTTTCTTACTGGCATATACTAAAGAATGAAATATTGTATTCCCTTTAGAATTTTGTTTGTCCAGTTTACAATGGTTTTGAATAAGGCAGTTTATAATTTCTCTATTACCAACTGTGGATGCTAGTTGTAGAGGCGTCATTCCTGATAGTCCATAGCATTCTTCCAAAACTTCTCCTCCTACTTCTAACGACTCTAATTGATCAAGAATACCGAATGTACGACATTTATTTAGTAGAGATTGTAATAAATTATATTGGCAATTAACTATAGCCAAATGTAATGCTGTCATTCCAGAATAATCTTTATCAGAGATAACTGCAAATAAAGTTTCTTTTGTTGCGACTGATAGTAATTGTTCGGCTATTTCTAATTTATTATCATAGATGGCCGTCAATAGTGGTTTCAGTTTCTTCATGATATAAAGAGATTTTCCATCACATATATGAATAGTTTATACATTAGGGTTTACATAATTAAAGAGTAGGGAAAATGTCTAAATACCATATCGTTTAGTGTGTAATTCATTGCCGGAAAACTTTCTGTAAGATTAACTAAGCATCTCATCCTCTGAGTTAAACTTTTGTCAATAATCAAGTTCAACTCGTAGATCAGGTCATCGTATGAAGATAAAGACATAACTATCTTCCGAGAATATACGTGTACATCGAAATCAATATCCTCCGGATAAATGTTAGAGCAATCCTTTTTACAGCAGTCAACGTGTTTAATGACAGAATCATTTAATAAGTCAATTTTCATTCGTCGCCTTGTCCTATTAATAAACCGATTTCTTACTATTGAAATTAAATCAAATACTATACAGGGTAACTGTAAAAGCGTTAAACAACAATCACTCAACAATAGGAAAATATTGCGGAGTTTAAGCTTTTTTAACGATGGGCAGCTTCCATTAAGTAATCCTAGATCTCTATTGAAAAATTCTTCATCTTTATCATAATCCATTCGTATAATTACTTGTTCATTACAATGATTACAGGTCTTTTGCTGAAATTGTACAGATGCCATATGTTCTATATGAATATATATATTATAATATAAAGGAAAAGTTTGTCCGAACAAGCTACTTCTTTGCCAAGTTGCAGCGCAAATGTAATGGTTAGAATTTTATCTCTATATATTTTTTGCTATCTTTGATAATTACTTTATGAATTATTCAGTAAATATCGTTTATACAAATAAATATTGAATGATATAATTAAAATAAAAGAAAACACGTTATGTTGCCTTAAACACTTGCAATATATCTTATATTTTAATACGGTATATACAATATACAAGTATATATATAATACTATGCATGTTATACGTAAATAGACGATAAAGAACGAGCTTTTTAGTTAGCAAATAAAATGAAAGCGATAAATTTTTGTTATTGTTTGTCAACAGGTGAAATTTTATTTGAACTTTTTAACTTGCAACGACTCTGAGCAGGCTCAGAATCGATTAATTGGAATTCATAAGTTTTCCTCTGAACTAATTTATTTCCCATAATTAATTCATCCAAGGTTACTGGTAGATAATGTTTATGTACAAAATTCAACTGAAGCCAGTTTGGGAGCGACATTTCCAACATAAGAATATCTTGCGCTTGGGATCTTCTCCAAACTGAAGACCCATGTCTTGATATTGAAGTATAAGTGTCCGTTAAAGCTGCTATTAACATATGTAGTAGTACAACATTATTTGTTATTAAAAATGTCATATAAAGCAACATTCTATGCAAATTAATTTCTTCGTCGTGAAGGAAATGTAAATCGGTCAAACCTAAAGACACTCTAAATAGACTAATATAGGTCACCGGAAGAGAGGATACCTCAGGAGGTTTTTCTACAGTCTGGGCGTAAGTGGCAAATAAAGCAGTGCCAAAACCAATAATAGCCAAAGATGAAACAAGTAAAAACCTAGGTAAATCTTTATTGACAAGTTTAGCAAACATGACAGTGAAAAAACCAGTTAATTGGAAGAGTTTACTAAACGTTATTGCATATAACCAGCCAGTCACGAGAATTACGGTCTCCATCACCATGCAAATATCCGATTTTACGCATAAAACCCAACAAAGCCACCAAATAATGGTTAAAGATGGATGACCTTTAAAAGAAATCATTAAAAAATGTATCCCTATTTAATAGTTCTGTTAAACTTGTTACCTATTAAAAATACATAATATTTGCCCATTCTAGTAACAGACAGTGTCCTCCTTATCCTAGATTGTCGGAAACATTGAGTAATAAGAGTACAAATAAAACCAGTTAAACCGTATGTTAGAAGCATGATACATAAACTCAAAACAGCCGAACATAATTTATAATCGTACACTTGTTTGTAAGGAGTTCTTAGTACAATACTTGATATTTCACTAATTGGCTAGAGTTTTAATAATTAATAGCTCATTACTTAATTATTCTTTATAAAATTAATCTCTATCAAGTATTTACTTCGGTTTACAATTTTCAAAAGGAAATCTCTTGTTCTTTAAAAAGAGTAGGGATATACATGCCATATAGGAACAGTGCACAATGGCCCATATCCAATAGTACGTTCTATAGTGAGACCATTTTTGATCCACAATCTTTTCAACCAAAGGAATACAAAATGCATCTCTTATATTATCATCATTTGGTGAATAAGCAAGTAATTCTAAAACGCTTGGAGCAGCTTGCATACGACATAAAATTGGTTCTATGTTAGTTACTTCGTATTCGAGGACGTTCACCCGGCCTAATTGAGTCTGAGAGATCCTATATGTTCCCTCAATTTCTAGTAGAGCTTTCAACATATCGACACAACCCTCAACTGCCGCTAACTTTAAAGGGTCAAATCCAGAGTAGTTTTTTATCGTTAATAAATATCTGATAAGATGCTTTTTGGTTGCCTAATTTGGTAAACCAATAGTGAACTTGTTTTATTTTATTGTTTTTCTTTTCCAGGAAAAGGTGAATATTTACGAGGGAAAGATAATAAGACTTAAATACAGATTACACTAGGAAAATAAATCAAGTTCACTAACTCTTTGGTGAGAGATCGATAAATATGAAGGTTGACTACAGAGATTTAAAATATAATTTAAGGTCTCTATTGCCGGTCCGCTTTGCTTTTTACTTGAATAGACTAGAGAATGGATTATTGTATTGCCTATTGAGTCTTGTTTGTCAAGTTTGCAGCCATTAGAAACAAGACAATCTATAACACAATTGTTACCGACGACTGTTGCTAGATGAAGAGGTAGAATTGCTGACAAACCGTAACACTTTGAAAGTGCCTCTCCGTTCGCTGGTGCAGAGCACATTTCGTCTAAAATATCAAATTCCATACACTTGTTCATAATTCTTTGAAGAATTTCTGGCAAGCAGTGAACTATTGACAAGTGTATAGCATTCATACTGCAATATTGATTATCATTTACGCAATCTTGTAAAGTATCCTTTGTCGAAATGGATAAAAGTTTTCCAGCTATTCCCGGCTTATTATTCTTTAAAGCGGTTAACAAAGGATTATTAGACTAATATTGATAGGATATATAAAAATGGTAAATAGAAGGAGAATTTTTGATAAATTATTGTCAGAATAACAAACTATTTGAGGAAAAGGATAAGCTGCTATCTTTCAATCTCTATTTTCCTATTTCCTTTTTATATACCCTATCATTCAACGACGATTTTATGAAATTATATCTTTCGCTCAATCTTATTAGTACTTTCATCCTTTGAATGGAATTATTGAGAATAATATTATTGATCTCAGAAGATAAATCTTCAGTATTCATTATCTTTAATATTATATTCGAGTACATCTCTTCATTCCAAGCTTGATCTTGATCCCATATTACTGAATTCTCTATAGCCCAACAATGATGATGTTGTATGATACGGCTAGTGGTCCTTGACCTTGCTGATGTTGAAGAGAAACAAATCCTCTTTCCACAAGTTGCATTTTTTAATAATGATATGAAATCAGTTATTAGACAAGGTAATTGTAAAGTTGTAAGGCATATATCGCGAACAATTATGCGAATAAATTTCTTGCTTGATATGGTCAATAGCCTCTTTGGTGAGAATAATAACAAGTTGAAAGTCTTATAGGCAGTTGAAACATTCTCTTCGAAGTCATTTTCGATTCTTATAATCACCTGATCTTCGTTCCCTGTTGAATTATTTCTTTTGAATTTTTTGGACATCCTTCCTTGGAGGATATAATCTTTCATATGTTACTCTCTTTCGACTGGCTAAATTAAAATTCTGTCGAGTGCTCATTAGCAAGATAAGTAATGTAAATCAAATTAGGGCTAATTAAGAAGTGCTTAATAAATAATCTGTGTTTTAGAGTAAGTGTAGTAAGTTTATTAGAAAACTATTTTATTAGTAAAATTTTCATAATTTATTCATAAAGACATTTTTCATAGTTCAACTTGACAACTTTATCCGTAAACTGTTCATCTATAAAATCTCTGATAACAATATTAAGACCATGATCGTATCCAGTATACTGATCATTCATCCAATTTATCATTTTTTCAAAATAGGGAGTACACATTTTCGATCTTAAATTTGATAATAATCCTTTCAAAACAGTATCGGTTTTAGGTGTTAGAATCATTTGACAAACGTGAAAACGATCCTTTCTACTATCATCTTCCAGCATAATTTGAAGGTATGGGAGTAGTTCTTCAAATTCCTCTGTATTAGCCCAAGGACTAATTATAGAATTTCTCGTCAAAAATTTACAGTTTTTGACCTTTTCACTTTGATAAAAGACGAGAGCTTGGATTTTCTTTTCCCATAAGCCATTTAAACAAATACTCTCAATGGTATAATTACTCACGGATATGAAAGGATTCATATAGTCTTCTATCATTTTTACCAATTTCTCATGCTGATCATTAGATACTTCACAGAAGTGATTAAAATCTAAGAATACTACTTCCTTTGAATGATTTTCTAAAAATTCTCGAACTTCTATCAGCAATGATTCAATAGTTTGACTAAATAGACCATGGAAAGTAAAGAGTTCATCGGTGTTTCCATTAGTACAGACTCTTATGTCTAAATATCTTATTCCTAATTTTAATTGATCCGTGATACTCTTGTCCTGACAAACTGACCAGTTATAAACAATAGGTTTCACAAAAGTCCCTAAGTTTTTTATTGCTGATGGCTGATCAGGGGATATATTATTTGATTTTTTCAATGTGCTTGAACTGGAGTTATGAGATCCTGTAAAATAATTATAATAGTATCATGTTTGAGCAGTTTATAATTTATTTTATATAGAAATTTCAATTCTGATTAAATATTAACTTTTTTCTAACGATTTCCATTGCCTATTTAAATCGAAAGAAGTATAATTTCTAAACCTGGAATAGCAATCTTATTTAGTGGCATATTATGAAACTTGTCGGGTAAGTTTCCCATCCAATTTTCATGATTTGTCATCTTGGTCTTGTTAGTTATTTTAATTTCCGGTAAAATCTTCCAAATGCTATATTACTATGGCGCCATCTTACTATTTACGTATAAATTAAAGTAAAAGTCTCTAAAATAATTTTATAAAAAAATATTCTTTATGGATTAATTCATTATATCAAAAATACCATTCAACAAATAATTTTTGTCAATGTTGTAGAATTTATAGTTTATATTAAGTGCGGGGCTACGCGTATCCTTGGTTGCAAAGAAAAGCTTTAGTGCCTAAGGAAAAGTTTGCGAGGAAAGATAATAAGAAGTGAAAATGACATCTTTACGTAATCCTTATCCTTATCCATCCTACGAAAATGATAATGACTTTGCTGGTCTAAGGAGTTATAAGGTAAATTAGTTTAGATCGGAATTAATTGACAATTTAAAAGTTTTATTTTTAAATAACAGAAAGAAGCATACACCCAACCAACACATTTGGATCAAAAACAAGATCCTTGGAACAGATTAAACTGTTCCGGAACGTTGTCTTCAACCAGACGTGAGGTCTACAATTACGATCCAAAAGCTCCAAGGGATTCTTTGGACTTTGTCTTAAAAGCAGACTACGACCATCATAGAGAATGGTTGAAAGGAAAGAATGAAACGCTCTTTCAACCCGAGACTTTAGGACAACAAAACGGGTACGTATGTCACAGTAGAAAACGTTCTTTTCTTTCAAATGGCTTAAATCGAAGAAGTTTAATCGATTGAGTTTATTAATGAATGTGAAAAAGAGTGTAAGGAAACATAATTCAAGATTTAAATAAAGGTTCCATTAACCTTTATTCTCGCTTTCGTTAGAACAAATAGAATATAAATGCATTTTATAAACATTAAGTGAAATTATTTCCTTTATTGATATAACGGAAGGCGTAACTACCAGGGTTTTTTTGTAAACAATTTATAAATCATTCTATAATGAAAATCAAAGGGTGAAAAAACTCGTTTATATTCTAAAAAGTGAATTATATATTATTTTCTATCAATGGGATCATTTCTTATAATTAATGATATTTAACATTTTTTCTCAAGATAATGGAAGAAAGTATTTAAATAGTAGGCCTAAGCCTTGTCATAGATATAAATGAAGAATGAGAGCGAGAGTGAGAGAGAAAGGGGCGAACTGTATATATATATATATGTGTGTGTGTGTTTGAGTGTGTATATGAAAAAGGGATTGTCTTTACGTGAGAAAATTTAAGATAAATTGATTAAAAGAAATTTGTTTAACTGGTATTTTTAAATATCTCTATAAATAATAAATAAAGAAACGTATAGAATAATATAATTATATTAAAACAGGAGAGTTTTGAAGAACAGAGTTGTTGAACAACCTCCCGCTGCATTAGATTTGAATCATCCACTAAAATCTGCTTCAGCAGAATTTAAAGAGAGTCCAAATAGCATTAAATGCGCCATAGGTTTGTATTTATAAATTGTATATTTACAATATTCTTCATTTCTTTTTATTCGAAAAAAAGAGATTAAAGATAAATCAATAAATTTTTTCTTGAACCTCTTTTATTTTCTATTTAAACAGAAGGCCATCATTCTCAAGCAACTAAAAGAGGTTATAATAGAAAACCGGATGGAGGATTTTACATAAAATAGAAAGAAGTGTAAAAAGACGATTATTTGAGAATGCAGAAAATCTTTTAAAAAGAATCGACAAAAAAAATAATTCTACATTTATTTATAAAGCTATGAAAGGATTATAAAAGAAGTATTAACAGATAAGAAAATAAACATTCATATATTAGTTTTAACTATATGTATATATATATATATATATATAGTTGATTTTTGACATCTTCTGCAGTATTTCTATTTTCATTTTAATCATTTATTTTATTCAGTAAATGCAAAAAGTTTGGGCCAAATGAATAAATAATGATTCATTTAAAAATTAATATGATTTTCAGTCATTTTTCAATCCAATTTTTAGCTTTCTCTCTCTCTCTCTCTCTCTCTCTCTCTCTCTCTCTCTCTTTCCGCTTCTCTCTTTTATAGAAGATATATTCTTCCCCACAACATTAAACTCTTTCGTTTATAAATTTATATATAAATTATCGAGTTGATTGAACATATTGAATAGATTGCTACTGTAAAGGTGTGAATTGAATAATTTATTCTCCCTATGCTACACATGTTTAATCAATATTAAGGAGATATCAATTGTTTAATTTTTTGCCATAGTAGATTTATTAATGAATTTATCTAGTATATTTTAAGGAATAGGCCTAGTTTTATATTATTGTTATTAATAGGTTCTATATTCATTTAGTGAGCGATTCGTTTCTATCTATCATTGGTTTTATTCTATGAAGTATAAAGCGTTGATTGGGTAATGCAACTTTTTGACTATATCTCCTTGGTGCCTTTGAATCATCTCTTGATTCATCAACATCAACGATTTCGCTAGGGGGAATTACTAAATTCATTTTTGAATACCCGTTATATTCAACCACTGCTCCAACAGAGTTAGTTGAATTGAGTTTATCAAATTGGCTATTTGTTCTCGATTCCCAGTCTAGTTTTCTTTCTATATTTTTCATATTTCCGATAGAGTTTCTTAATTTTATGAGGAGTAGTTCAATCTCGGTATAATTATTTTGAGAACGGGGATTTGGCGGTTCTGTTGGATCAACTGAAAAATTAGAATCCATATCTATAGGATCTCTGATATTAATATTCATTATTCTTTTATAGATATGCTTAAATGTTGGTTGTAATTTGTCGGGAACTTCGTATAAATTATACGATTCTCCTAGTCGACCATTTTCATCATGCAAAGAGAATATTAATAGATTATTAACATTAATATATTTTTCCTTTATTTTTTGGACGTCTTTCCTTTTCTTAACCTTTCTCCAAGGAAGAGCTCCGGTACTCATTTCAATAAGCATATAAAACCAACTGATTAGATCATCCTGGTAAGAGAGATACTCCTCCCTATGGGCTCTTAGTGAAGCATATCTAACAGTACCCCTAAATCCAGCACCGTTTCTTCTCTCTGGATTAACATAATCGAAATGGGGAGGATAAGTGGATAAAACTCTTTTCCCTGAGAGAACTTTGGTTAATCTTCCAAATGTATAAGCTAAACCGAAGTCAACAAGAAAAATTTCGCGATTTCTTGACTTTCCAAGAACAAAATTCGATGGTTTTATATCTCTATGAACAAAACCAATGGCGTGAAGGGTTTTTATCGCTTTAAAAGTCTCCAAAGCCAAATAACTGATTGTATAGATTCCAAACTTTTGATCGGGTTCGTTTCTCCTAAGATCAGTTAAATTTCGACCCATTAACTCCATAATTATATAATAATACGCTATGAATTTATTATGATTAATAGGAGTACCTCCATGTTTCCAATCCTTATAATCATCGTCCTCTAATTCAACACTAAACCCTTTGAGATAGCAAAAACGATTAAATTCAACATTGACAGGAAACTTGATATCTCCATTACTATATTCTTTATATTTTCTTTCAATCCTTCGAATTATATCAAATTCCCTTTTTAAAGAGGGCCTCTGTTTTTCAGTACCTTTGATACCTTCTACTTTTATTGCGCACATTTGCGATCCTTTTCTAATTTCGTATACTTGACCGAAACTACCTCCACCTAGTTTTCTTAAAACTTTCCAACCATTTTCAACAATATCGCTCTTTCTTAGTATACAATCATCATCGTCGCCATTAGCATCACCGTTAAAGTTCCATCGCCCCCCAAAGTCATATTTTTTCTGATAGCATTTACATTTTATGTAGCAAAGACTCTTTACATTATCTATTTAAATGATATTTTATACGTGCTATACATTCAATATACTGTACATTCATAGTAAAAGTACCTAGATAATAGTCTCAAATTTAAAACTAGGCCTAGTGTACATTTATATTAAAATCCTTAGACTAGCTCAAGTACAGTATATGTATATAAATATCTATCTATATGATATAAGTGGGAATTCTCATTTAAACTAGTAGCTATCTAAATTCAAAAGCAATTATTGTTAATGAGAAAGTATATAGATATATTAACAAGTATATTGTACATATATACAGTATATATATTATAGTATAATTAGTGTAATATTACCTTATTTCTGCATTTTAACGACTTAGGCATAGTCTATTAAATTAACTTATTATAATGATTGTTTATATTGGTTTTTAAAAAAATTCTATTTTCTATTTTTAACTTTTATTCTGTTTTTGAAAATAAAACAAAAGAAATGAATATTCATATTCTAATTTTTTCTATATTGAATATATGCTAATGAACTAATTAATTTTTTGCATATTTATTTCAAATATGGTGTAAAGTCTATTTATAGAAATTGATAATAAAAAAAAACAAACATATTTTGTATTGTTTTCTTTATAATTAAAACGAAGTTAAGCTAAATCGGTTAAAAAACAAAAGAATAATGTCACAGCTTCAATTAACATAAAATGAACTCACAAACTTCAGCTGCTTTTAATCTAACAACTGTATCTTGGTCTTTAAGAGCTTGTAATACAGTTTGAGAAACTACGTCAACCGGTAAATTACTACGATCTTTACAATGCTTTAGGATAAAACCGCAAAACATTAATGCAGCTGCTCTAATATTCCTTACAGAACTTTTAGTATAAGTTGCTCCTTGTTGGAGGAAAACGGTTAATTTGTTACCGAGATCGTCAACTATTATTTTAGCGACACTATTCATAAATTCTCCATAGTGCAAATCATTGTCCATACATTTAGCGAACATTGTTGTTAATTGAACGCTTGGTAATAGTGGAACTAATTCTTTGAGCGCCTGCTGACAATTTTTTTTTGCCATTTCGCAAGGATCATTAACATGGACAAGAAGCGTTACAAAGCTTCCGTTAAAAACGTCTGTCAGCAATTTTGTCGTTTCCGCATCTCTGAATTTGGCCAAATGTGCATAGAGAAGGAATGCACTCGCTCTAATGAATTCGAATTCCGATTCAAAGCAACATTTAACTTTTACGGCAATATTTATAATAATAGGTCTAACATCTTCAGCCATGGACGATGATAAAACCAGTTGCAGAGAACAAATAGCAGCGTGACTAATATGTGGACTTTTATCATCCATTGCTATCATCAAAGCTGATAGAACAGTAGAACTCTTTGAATGTAAAATATCCTCGTTCTTAGAAATGAAACCTAATCCTTTCATACAAGCTATTCGAACATCGTGGCAAGGATCTTCTAATCGCGACAGGAGGTTATTTGATATAATCTCAAACAATTGATCATCACGAATAATGCACTCTGTCCCTAAAATCTGCATTATAATAAAGTAGGAAAATTAAATCAATTATCTTATAAATATTGAATAATTAACCTCCGAAAAGAATATTGCTGCAGTTATTCTATGAGAGTCGTGTACGGCAGTTAAAGCACTTTGTAAACAGTTCGAACATTTGGGAACGTAAGAATATTCGAAGGTAGATAAAGCCCTAAAATTGAGTAATCATTGACTTAGTAATATAGTAAGGATAGAGCATCTATTTTCACTGTCTTTATACCTACCCCGATAGAGCAGCAATCCCAGTTACAAAATTACCATTCAAGAAATTTGCAAAGAGTGAATACTCTTTAACATAATCCAATAATCCATCTGCCCCCACAGCTCTAAATAACGATGTCATTGTAGAGGTAGCTCTAGATATAAATACTACATAATCCCTATCATCTTCCTTATTGTTATGTCTTGAATAGTTTTCATGCTAATTAGAAGAATTGGATACGTTTGTTATCAATTAATTATTAAAGAATGGTTTTAGTGTAAACCTTAAAGATAAAGCATAAACTTCCCAAATAGACTAGTAAAGATGAAAATATCTTTGAGAAGTTATCGATTGCGGTTGGTTTAATTTCATTAGCTTGTAACATTTCTAAAAGAGCATAGGCGATCTGCAATAACGTTAATAAGTTAATCTTTTGCAACCCGAAGCTATATGCAATCAATTTAAATGCGAACAGAATGCTGCATATGATGAGGAGGTTGTCTAACAATAGCATCAACGAAATAATCAAGTACATGACTGGATAAACTACTATCAGTTGCCAATGTTCCCCAAACACCTTTTATACTTTCGGATGGTTCACCCAAAAGTAAACATTCCAGAGTTATATGTAAATGTCTGCTAGCCAATGTTTTTATAGATGATAAACCTAAAATAAAACAGTATATAGTGATTTAATATAAGAATCCTCTTATACTAACAGCTCAGTCTAGTTGATTCACTGCAAGCTGCAAGTTTAGAAACTAAATGTCCAACAACGGCTCCAATTTCCAAGTCTAAAGGTTTCGTCTTAAAAATCGTGTTTAAACAAACTGATACTCCAGCTTGACTCTCTTCGCAGGGATCAGAAAGAGATGGTAATAAATAATGTATCAAATAAGTTAATTCTCTTGGAGCCAATAGGTCACATATTGACTGTAAAGAATAAATTAAAATATAGAAAGGAGAGAATTAAAAGATTATAATAAACCTTACCAAAGCTAAATTAGATGACGCTTTATACTTTTCAGAGGGATCTTTTGTCAAATACAATTCTGAATAGACTCTAAAAAATTGATTATTTTCTAATTGATCTATTAATTAAGAAGGAAAAGAAAAAGAAATAAATTAAAGATATATTAATATAATTTCATTTTTACCCAAATAATCTGCTTTTGAACAGACCAATTTCATCATACTTTTATGAGCGTATTCCTTAATTTCGTCAACGGAATCCGAGCATCTTGGAATTGTTATACCAATTAATTTCGTTCTAACATCATCGTCAACCTAAATTTAGCAATTTATTACATTAATATCTTATTTTTCTATTCTTAAAGCTTCTCATATACCAAGAGTGAATGGTTCGCATTTAATAAAAGACCATTATATAGATGCATAGTTTTCTGCCTTCTAAAATCATTCTTCGTTAACAATTGACTTCCAATATGCTAATTAGTTTAAAGAGATGATGCTAAAATTACTGTTACTTTTCTTATATACAGTATATATGATATACTTACATCGCATAACATCATTGCGCTTGAACTTGAACCGTCGTGTTCAACAGTTAATTTTAAAAGTTCTTGAAATAAGTCGGTAATTTCATTATTTAATTTTTCCTCTGTTAATAGTTGATTATAATCTTCACTCTTCTCTTCTTTGTTCTTTTCATCTAATATTAGGTTTTAACGAAGAAAATCGAATTAGAATATCTATTTTAAAATTTAATATTAAATTACCGGTAGTTGCATTTAGAACATTTGTAAAGGAAACTAATAATAAATCATTAAATTGTTCACCAGGTAAAATTGGAGGTAGTCGTCTAAATAAGAGAAAATAAATAATAAACAGTACATATACAGTATATATGTATATATATATATAGAGAGAGAGAGAGAGAGAAAAAATATACATAAGAGAGATTAATGCTCTTAAACAATCAGCAATTAAACTTGGCGCTTCTTTCATTATTCTCTGCAAAAGAAAGAAAAATAATGAAGAAAACTATAAAAAGAAAGGAATAATAGCTTTACCAGAACAAATTCCAAGAGAGCTTTTTTATGAACAATTTCCAAAGATCGTGGTAACTTTTTATTTGGATGTAAAGAATCAGCTATTATTCTACAACATTCAATTAAACACCATTTCATTGAATTGTCTAATTTTAATTTTTGTTTTAGTAAAGGTATTATTATTCTTAAGAATCTTGTTTCAATTAATAATAAAGTATTCGTTACAGGTGAATTTTGAATTGAATGAGCAAGACAAAGTAACAAAGTTATTCTTCCATATTCAACTTTCGACTGAAAATTTTCCTATTTTGGATAAATAAAAAGTAATAAGTAAGTTTCTAAATATACAGCAAAATACTCTACTTTAAAGAATTCAACAAAACTATTTTTCTTTTCATTCTCATATAAACTTTGAATACGGCTAAAAACCAGATCAATATGCGAGGATGCAACAATTCCTACAGCCGATGAACATGCCTATAGAGAAGACATTTAAATATTGAAAACGATAAAATTTCATTATATGATAGATAGATATTTACCGTTCTCTCTTCTTTATCAGTTTGATTAACGTGTTCAATCATAAAATTCAAACAGTTTGTTATAATTGTACTGCTATTGGCGTGACAGCAGTATAAACAATAAGCGAAACATTTAAACCAAATAATCCTTTGATACTTTGATACTGAACATAAAGAGAATTGATTTTTCATACTTTCAATCACCGTTAGAACAAAAACTTCGTTACTTATTTCTTCTAAAGATTTTCTAAATAACTATAAAGAAAAAGAAACTAGCCATTTATCTAATATTCGAAATATAAATGCTTAGAAAGAATATTCGTACCATTCCAATATTATTTTGCCATTCGTTATAAATATCGTCATTGTTTTGATTTGTTAATTTATCCATGTTATCTATAAAAGAAATTATTGAATGTGTACTATATAGGGTGATAAACGAGATAAGTAAAATTAGTATAACCTTCAATAAATTTGATCAATTCAGGTATTTTACCATTCCATAAGGTTATCAGTCTTAAATGAAGGGATGGTGATAATAATTTTAATAATTTTAAAACTGTTATCGCAGCGTGAGCATCTTGCTGAGATTTGAACGAGAAACCTCCAAGATATACAAGAAATCGTGGTAGAAGGGCGCAAGATCTAGCTATGCTACTTTGACTCAAGTCAAATACTTGAACAGCCTCGTCTTCATTCGGTGCCAGAAAGGCTGCTATAGTTGTGCAAACATTGTGTAGAGCATGCTGATAAGGTTCCATCACAATGTATTGGAGCATATAAGGAGATAAGATTGCTTTTAAATCTTTTTGAGTACAAGCCATTACTTGAAGTACATTCATGCATAGATGAGATAAGGTCACAAGTTCATTGTTGTCAGTGCAAGGAGTCTGTATGTAAAGAAATTAAATAAAAAAAGATGAATAGTGAGTAGATGCAAGCGTACAGCCGAATGCAAAACCATATAATCCAACAATACTAGATTTCCTTCCATATCTAAATAGCCATGAGTTACGAGGGTAGCAATTAAATGTATCAAATATTTTTTGATCTAATTTTTATAAAGGAGAATAAAATAGAATAAAAGACAATAAGCGTATTTCTCAGAATCCTACTTTTGTACTTTTATTGCCAACTGTCAGACCTTTTGTAACCTGAGCTATATTTTCTTCAAGACTCTCTTTCTTGATTTGTTCTCCTAAATATAAAATAGATGAATTTTTAATAAATATAATAAACAAAAGCAAAAGCCAATTTTATACCTGCGCAATTAACAAGGTGTTTTAATATTGAAAATGCTGCAATGAATATATTCTCCAATGTTGAATGGTCTATTTTTGATAGAATATAATGTATAGTTGTTTTTGTAAAAATAACTGCCAAAACACCAAAAGATCTTAATATTTCATTAACATTCTTTGATATATGTATCTTTTGTTCAGCTGTTTTTGAACTGCAACATCTTAACATCTAAAAGAAAAATAATAAGAGGAAAGTTTAATTAACTTTAACTATCTTATTCGTTAAAATTTAAATAGAGAAAATTAAATATTACCTGCTGAAAAAGTATATTTAAAGTTGAATCTAAATGCTGAGTCATTGGTGAACTTTCCTCCGTACAATCTTCAGTTGCAGATAGAAGTACATTTTGAAATCCCTTTTATTATAAAAACAATTATAAAGTTAATCATTTATAGAAAGATATTCAGATTTAAATACATTTTATAATATATAATAAACTTACCTGTTTAATTTTAACACATTCCGGGTATTTTTTATCATAGCTATTAAAACAGGTAATTAATTTCTGTAATATGTTATTTATATCGTCGATATTTAAAGCTCTGGCCATTAAACCAGCATTATATAATATAGAGACGATCAACTGTTATGATGGAAGAATATTGAGAGTTAAAGGAGATGGATAGCCAATAACAAACCTGCTCATCTCGGCTATTCGGCAACCACCCATGAATACTTGTAATAACTGAAAAGAATTTGCTCGAAAACGACGATTTGCTAACGTTTGGATCAATATCATCCATAGATGTGTAATCCAATAAAGACTCGGCAAACTTTCCAAAGAGCGATAAGAGGGCAAGCTTCAATTTTACATCTGATTTTTTGTTAGAGAATAGAGGTAATAAGGTGTCCATAATGACAGATACAAAAGGTATCATTCCCCTTGCTGATGAAAATAAGAGAGAATATCATTATCAGTGTAATAATTGCATAGTAATAATAATAATAGATAAAACCATTTGCTAAAGCCATATCTCCAAAAGTTTCTAAAATGATAATATTCGGATTTATACCAGGTTCGAATTTTGACATAAGATTTTCCATAATCTTTATTAAAGATGAAAAATGAATCGTTAATAACAAAATATTCTAATAAAATATAATAGATTTATTGTAATATCTCCCTACTTCGTTGCAGTTCTTCCTGCTTAGAACAATAAAAACTCGACTCGCCGATGATGACCATTCTTGATCCTTAGTTTGTTTCTTAATTTATCAATAAATAAGAAATGAATTTAATCAATTAACCACAGTTGGATAAAATATAAAATAAAACTAGAACCTCGCTTATTTCCTTATGCAAAAAATCAATTAATGGTTTTTGAACATCATCCGATATATCCTCTGCATCTTCTAGTATTCTTTCTACAGATGTAAATATAGATGCCTTATGTTTTGCTGGTATCTGTCAATGATAATATATGCATATATATATATATATATATATATAGGTTGTACGACGAAACTTGTGAGTCTTAATCATAGGTTTATTCTGCACAATTCAATATTGAATAATAGATTTGTTAACAATCTCTTAACAGCCGATATTCTGTTTATTACTAGCAGTCCATATAGTTTTATAAATAATTCTTTTAAATACCGTTACAGATAATTTGAATTTATTTTCCCAATTACTTACTTCCGGTCTTTTAGTAATATAATTTATGATAAGTTGAATAGTTCGCTCAGTCTCTCTTGAACCTATAGATTTTAAAGAGTTTTCTACTGTTTTTATAAAGTTGTAATTCGTATCCGACAAACTATCCAAAAGTCCAGAGACGAGACCTAAGGAATGCTCTATTATTTAATGATTAAGTAAATTATCTAACTGACCTTCAAATAGTTTATCGTCGGATTTATCGTCATTCATCGTACCGAATAACAGATGCTTTAACTGAAAAGGATCACATGACAGCGGTCATATTTGAGAAAACTGTATCCGGTTTGCGCCACAAATTTAACTTTATAAAGAGATCAATAAGGAAAGAATCTTAAATTGTGGATTATCAGAAGAACCTATTGCAAGCTGCATTTTACTTATCAATAGAATGAATAATTAATGATAATAGTTTTAAAGAATTATTTGAAAATAGTGAGTTATTTTAATATATAAAGTTTAAATTGTATTTTTACTGTTTTTCCACTGGATTACATTAAGTCATGGCATCTTTGCAGAACATTTCTGCTGTTTTCCTTTTCAAAAGGCAATACTAACAGAAAAAAAAATGTAAACAAAACAAAAAATAAATTTACAGTTATACATTTACATACATACGTACATACATATATATATATATATATATATATACAACAGAATGTAGCATATATGTTGGAAAAATGTGCTTATCTATAATCTTTTATATATATATATATATTCACATATACATATATATCTTTAAAAGTAAAAATGAAAAAAATACTTATAGATGTAGAGAACATGTATACAACTTTCTTTAAGAGTAAAAATAATGTAGATAATGAGAATGATTTAAAAATTTTTCAAGGGGATTTTTAGAATGCTTGAGACAAAGCGACTAGAGCCAGTGCACCATCAATTTTATCAGCAATTTCTTTCCTCTTTCGAGGGCTTGCCGTATTAAATTGAAAACCTGGCTTCTTCTCATCTACCTCATAACTTAGACGCTTGACCGTCTTCGACGGTTTCTTGATAATCATGGATTGGTCATTTTCATTAGGATATGCTTTAAGTGCGTAAGATCTTGTCAAGTATCTATGTGAGAAAATAGTTAAATTTGCATATTAACAAAATTCATTCAAAACGAAGAAGTAGTTAACAACGTACTTTTGTAGCCAATTTCTTTTTTCTTCATTTCCTTCCAATTCTATTTTAGCTTTTATGGAGAGAGTAGTATCCTGTTTTTTCAATGGAGTTGAGGGATGCATTGGGCAATGGCGATTAACGTGAGCAAACTTATATTCGCAACCTTCGTTAGACAAACAACCAAAGAATGAATTATACATTAGAAAAATGAATTCACTATAAAAATACCTTCGATTGAACAGCAAAACGGCTTCTCCCCCGTATGTAATCTCTGATGGGTTTTTAATTGGCCACCTTGTCTAAATTTTTTTTCACACCCAGGAAAATCGCATTTGAATGGCTTCTCTCCGGTATGAGTTAATATATGAGCCTTTAAACATTTCCATTTGGGAAAAGTCCTTCCACAATAAGAGCATTGAAGTTCTCCAACTTCATTCGGGCTTTCTTGATGGAAATTGGCCAGTGAAATGAGTTTTGGCCGACCTCTCTTAGCAGTAGAATCGGGCGAATCATAAGATCCACGCGATAATGGAGGACTCCAGAGAAGTTTTCGGCATGCTCCGTTCCCCTCCGTAAAAACAGATACATTACTTTGAAATAGAGGAGTTTTCTCACTTTTCTGAGGTAATTTGCAAGCCAGAGGGCTAAACAATGACATATTCCAAGTGCTTTTTGTCCAAAAAAAAAACGCGGGAAATCTTTAAATGCTTTTATGCGTTGGTTGTTCGGAATAGACTGGTAACAAGCGCATGGAGCGGGGATTCATCTATCACGTGACTATCATACAAACGACGTGGTTGTATTCTCCAGAGCACAAAACACATAATAATGGATAATGATAGTCCAAAATTAGCCATTCAACTATGTTATTACTAAAACTAGATCTTTTGATAAAATTTTCTTTTTATTGCCAATAAAAAGCCCAACTTTCCATTAGAAGAACTATATATAAATTCAATGATAGAAAAGTAACAACATACTCTACTTTTCTAGAGTAGAACTAGTCTAAAAAAAAATAGAATTATGCAGAAAGTTCACCCTGTCTCTTTTTCTTGGAAAAGTGTCTAATTAATTTGAGTTGTATATATACAGTATATTTGAAGATTAAATTGAATTAAAGTTTATATTGAGAAAGTTATCTTTAACAAATATAAATTATGCTATTCAAGATAGTAACATAAATTATAAATAAGCTTTCAATACCTTTCCCAAGGGTGTTGCTAACTTTATTTGGTAGTGATCGGTACCGAAATTTTTAGTTGTTCTTTTTCTGTATTATTGAATTTTCACAACAGAAATTCGATTTAGTTGGTAAATATATCATTCTCATCTGTTTATATAACTAAATAAAGCTATATGATAGGAATAGTTGTGATACTCTGTGAAGAACTTTTTTAAGTTTACAAAGACAGATAAACTATTGAAATAAAAATGAAAATATAGTTAAAATTAGTTTTATTAAATCCTTAAGAATTCGTTTTGATGTGATTTTGAAAAATGAAAGTGCAGTAAAAAAGAAGAGAGAGAGAGAGAGAGAAAATAGTCGAAGAATAAAACAAAATATTAGTTCTCCTTTGTATTTTTGACAGTGAAAAAAAAAACAAAATAAACAAAAAAAAATTTTTACACGTAAAAATACTGAACACAATCACATATAGATGAAAAACTCATATATAATTATTCTCTCTATACATAGCTACCTAAATGCATCCTAATCACAATATTCCAAATTTAAAGACGCAGCGTTCTCGGCGTGAGATAAAAGGACCTCTTTACCTTCTATAACAACGTCTTTAAGACATCCTACAAATCCGTCTTTAGTATGAGAATATTTCAAAGGTTTTGGTAAACCTCCAAACCATAGGAAGCCATCGGTATTTAATTGAGTTCTACCAGGATCACATGAACCCTCAATAACATAAGTTCCATCAACTTGAACAGTAGCCTTTCTCTGTTTTCTTATTAGTGTAATATTATGCCAGTATCCATCGCTTACAAATGAGTTTGATTTAAGAGTAAAAATATTCTTATGATTGTTCTTTCCAAGATTATAGGCCAGCTGTAAATAGCCTCTAGAAAGATATAACAATAAATAATCTTCAGAGATACTAAATATCTTCTTCGATACGAGAATTATTCCTTCTTCAGCTGTTGACCTTAACATTAATGATATATGATTTTTTTCTTGCGCTTTTATCTTTTTTGTTCCATTATTTAATAACTTCAAAAATAAATTCCCATGAAACTTAACAGGTTTGTCGGGATGGTATCTTCTCTCTCGACATAGTCTTCCTCCGTAATCGACCGTACATTTACATATAAATAAAGCCATCTCCGCTATACATTTTCCTTGGTTCATGCAAGGTGAGTTATTGCATGGATCGTCGGGCGATTGAGTAATTCCTTGAATTTTTAAAGCCTCTTTCACTAGATTATGCTTTGTTCCGTAAGTATCTTCTAACGATTGAATGGCACCTATAAAACCATATTTTACACCCGATTCGGGAGACATTTTCTTATCTATACCACCAACATAGAAGATTCCATCGACGTTCATATCTTCAGACTTTTTAGTCGATTTATTATAGGATCTTATAGAATTAAGTTCCATCCATCCTTGTTTCTTATCCCTTTGAAACATTAATCTGTTCCAATCATTCATCAATACTTTTTCTTTAGAGGTAACTAAGGTAACACCGGAACCTAGCTGAAATCGGAAGACCACGTATCCATCTTCTAGAACGACCGAAAAGAAATCTGTACTTTTCGAGCTATTACTTGCCCCACAATACAAAAGAACACCAGTTTCCGCTTTTGGTCTAAAAATAATTTCATATTTAAAATAAGTTCTCATAATCCTATCATTTAATTTCAAGACTATGAGAGATTTCCCATCAAAACTTGGTGATGTTATTTCATTTTTGACTTCGCAGGTTATTCCCGTTCTATCTTTTGGGCATATACACTTGAATTCATTGTTAACCTCTTCGCATAGTCCACCATTTTGACAAGGATTACTTGCGCACGGTTTCAAATCTAAAATTTCACATGTTCTACCACTATAACCCGGTGAACATTCGCAAGCGTAGGGATACGGCTTTATAGGATCATGACGACATTTAGCGTCATTCATGCATGGTAATAATGAACAGCCGTGCTCTCTGCACTTCATTATGTTTTTCTCGTCGTGAATATGATTTGATCCCATTTCCAGGTTATATTCAATTTTCGTACCTTGGGAACCTTTTACTTTCAAATCGTATACACATCCTACGAAACCGACCCATGATCCGAGCCGATTTTTCATTTTCGACGGTAATTTATGTTTAAGCCCTCCAAGGAAAAAGTGATTGTCAACGCTCAGTACAGTATAGTCGCTTTTCTTTAGTTCAAACTCTTTTTCACTATCGTCCAATAGCATATGAACCCGCTTCCTATTTCTTGCAATTTGTAGGCGATGTTTAACACCTTTGAGTATTTTAGTTTTCATTCGAAACACTTCCGGTCCAGCTCCAACGTCTAAGCTGTTTATTTATGAGATATAGATAGGATGAGATTATAGATACTATTGATATTATATATTATTTTGATTATACATACGTAAACACAATATGTCTTTTTTCAATGGTAATCTTAATGAAGTCGGCTGAAGGCTTTTGATGATCGAAACCGAAAAGTAACAATGCGTCATCGTTAAAGCTTTTAAAGCTCATTTTTATAGTAACAGAATCTGAAATTGATGCCGGCCACTTCAATTTCATATAGCTATTTTCATTAAAAGCTGGAGAATCGTCCCAAGCGTCTATTTTGTATTGTAACAAAAAGGCCAATTATAATTAGGTTACTATAGCTTTCAAATTTTTGGACCCACCTTTTGTACATAGCCATTGATTGTTAACCTCCATCAGTTCATATAAACATTTACAAACTTGGTTCTCACAAAGGGCCAATCTGCCACAGTCATCGTCATGGTTACAAGGTTCATTTGACTTGGAAATTATAATCGGACTTTCAGTTGTTTTTAGTGTGCTCTCCCTCGTTACCCTCAATTGTCTTGTTGTCCTCTTATTAGTGCTTGGACAGGGACCCATCGATCGCAAATTCAGCTTAGAATGAAGACGACATGCGGTAAATTTCAACTGGCAAATATCGTCGTACGTTTTACTATCGGTTCCACAAACTCTGTGCCCTTTTCGATGATCGTCGCAGTCCCAAGGGCATTCGCAAGAAGCCGTTTCTGGTACACATTTACCGAAGGGATGACAATCACATCTGTTGTCTAATTTACTGCATCCGGTTTTTTCGTCATATTTTTTACCGTCAGGACAAATGTTACACTTTGCTCCAGACATTCCCCCTTTACATGTACAATTTCCAGTTTGTTGATCGCAATCGTCTCTGGCCGCTCCACCAGAACAGTCGCATGGCTTACAACCATCAGCTCCATCCTTAATCAAATATAGACCCCAGTAGCCGGATTCGCATCTATCACACAACTTTCCTCCGACACCAGTCCTACAGTTACAACCGCCTCTATTGTTGCAAGCAATGGAATACGCTCCTAATTCATTGCAACGACAGTTATCTGCAGTAGTGGAATGAGATATTTAATTGAAGTTTCTTTCTACAGTGAGCTGTTTTCTTCCCTCTCTCCCCACTCAAAATAAAGACGATTTAAAGATTTAACTCTTTGTTTGTCTTCTTTAAATTAAGAAAATAACAATCGGCTTTTATTAATTAATTATAAAAAGATTAAATCTAAGTATAATTAATTAGTTAATCAATAACTCAATTAATTAAAAAGAGATAGTTATAGGAATACAAAGACAAACGTTTAGAATTAAATTTCTAAATAAAAAGAGAAAAAGAAAAATTGGTGATTTGTTTCAAAATTGAGAAAAAATTTGTAGACCAGACGTCAAAAAAAAGAGCCTGAACTATTTTGAGTGAAAATTGCGCCTCTACAAAAATTGGCTGCACAAAAATATCTTTACTAATCAAAAACATTGAAAGCAAGAAGGGCATTCTGTTTTGAGGATATATACCTGGATTACAACCCTTTTTATTTGGGCCTGTTGCAAATGTTCCATCGGGGCAGCAGCCGTATTTCCAACCTTGGCAGTCCATATCTGTTAAGGTTACTAATTTTGTTTCTAAAACACTTTTGGATGGTTTCTATTCTTTTAAGTTAGACTCTATTGTCGAGAAACTATTGAATTAGCATCTAGCTAGAAGAGTCAAGGCAAAACTTTTTGGCGGAGAATCGACGAAAAAAAACGCAAAATCAAATCAGTGCGTAAGTTAAGAAATTGTAATAAGGTATCTATATGTTTCTTACATTTATGCAGTATATACTGCATACTGTATAAGAAGCACCATAGATTATATAAAGTAGATTTTATATATCCATAACAAAAGAAGTAAACCTTATTACAGTTTTTTTTCAAAAGAGTTATTAATATTGCTGAAAAGAATTATAGAGGGATAGATTGCCGTCGATTCATCGCGCGAAAGGTTTTTCTTTTGCAGTGCAACCGTCACCCCAATTTGGAAAAAAGACTGGAAAAAGAGAGACACTCTGCTGTTTTGTTGTTGTTGTTTTTTTTTTTAGTTATTAAAAAAATGGAAGGTATTTTTTGTTCGTTTGTTTGTTTTTTTTTAACAAAACATACCAGTTATTACTTGATCAGCAACATTGACATCATAATCTTTTTCCCACGAATCAGAATCTAAAACGTCAGGGTTTAAACAACGATTTTCACTACATAAAGGGTTAGGAAAATAGTTTCATTTTTTTTTAACTAAAATCAAAAAAACTTGAACGCAAAAAATGATAAATAAATTAAAAATCATAAACAATAAAAACAATCTAATCAATAAGAAGCGCAACTAGTTAATTTATAGTATTTTTTATGTTATATATGTATATATATGTACAGTTTATACTGTATATACTGTATATATACAACACATAATCAAGATGTATATAGATGTTAAATAAATTATGAATATTAATTAAGATCATTATGATAATACTCTCAATTTAATAAAATAAACATTTATACGTTGTTGTAATATTAAAATTAGATAATATGAATATTCATATTGCTATTAATATAAATATTTTATATTAACTTATTTTAATATTAATAAGAATATTCATTTTTCTGTACCTAAATTATATAATTATATCTAACAAGTATATTTGAATATAAGTAATGGTACAATATGTAAGTTTTATTAGTTTAGACTTACCATCTGGACAACAATATCCGTGGCTTTTAATACCAGAAAGGAAATGGCATTGTAATCCTTGGCGGCAATCTTCTCCTAGACGACATTTCTGGAATTCTCCATTGGGTAAAACGGGAACATCTTTGCCATAACAATATTTGGAATCTGTATCTTTATATCTTACATCGCATTCCTCCTTTGGTCGATGTTTCAATTCAATACCAGACTTACAACTTTCAATTCTAAGCTGACACCAACTATTTAATATTGTACCATTAGATAAGCAAATCGTAAATGGATTCTTATCTATATCGCTACAGATTTCTGCTTCTTTACAGATGCAAGTATCTTCATCATTAACAACCTCGCATCTTCCATAGTAACAATGATCTTCTTTACACTCTGGGCCGCTACCGGAGCCCTCTCCGCTAAATTCATCCTCGCAAGGACCATCAATTTCAACCGTTAATCTTCGTCTTTCGTGACAGGCTAATCTTTCCAAAATACATTTGTTTTCATATTGTTTATTATCAGATCCGCAAACAGGTTCAACGCCATGCCCATCGCAATTTGGACAAATACATTCACCATTTCGGCAATGTGCATAGTAATCGCATTTGACGTTTCTGCATCCTTCTGTTAGAAATATAAACTCATATGTTAATAAATAAAAAGCAATGGAAAAGGTCTCTAATCAAATTCATTTTGTGCACGTGTGAATAACGTTCACAGAGTGAGATAACTTTAATTGACCTTAATAAATAAACATAAGAAAACTAAACACATAAGCAATGATGATATACTCTTATGGATATTGTGTTGTATTGTGTAATAAACTCTCTTGCTTTGAATGGTAAAGAGACGTCAAGAAAAGAGGAAGAAAAAAAAAACAATTATCCTTTCTCTTTCTCTCTCTCTCTCCCCCTCGGTTTTTGAATCAATACTTTTTTAATTGGAACGTTTCTAATTATTACATAGGTTGATTAAATCCCATGCGATGAATTAGAACGATTTATTAGACGTTACGTCTCAACCAATACTTAATTACTGTTCAGCAATTGTGAGAAGAATATATTTTGCATCTAAAGTCAATTGAGTCAGAAATGGCTCTTTACTCCCTGTGCGCTATCTCGGCTCTCGCTCGCTCTTTCCCCTTCCCCCTTCTCTCTCTCACTCTCTTTCTATCTTCCCTTTTCCCCCTTCCCTCCCCATATCTTTATTTCTCATTTTATAGCTTTAGTTTATGTTTAATTCGAATTTATATATCCCCCATAAAATGTTTTTATCCTTTCTTCCCTTTTTTAAAACTATACTTTAGAATAATATTAGAGTAGGCCTATAGAAATTACTTGTTCTTCGAACAAGACTAATAAAGAAGCAGTAAAATAAGCGATTTTGGTAAGTAAGTAACGACCTATGCCTATGCATATAAATAGTTTTATGAATGTGAACGATCGAATTGCAGTTTGTGGTAGGTAGGTTGCGATTGCTGGCTTTTATAAAAAGACTTTTACGTGCTGTTCGAATCTAATTTGTGCCGTTAAGATGGGAGAAGGAAATTTAATAGAGTATTCATCACGATATGCATAATGTTTTTCGTTTGTCTCTATAGAGTTCTCTTATAAAAATTTCCTTTTACAAATTGAGTTTTAAATACTTAGTGAATAGGCTTATTTGTTTTTATGAAACGACGTGAATGATTTGTAAAGTCGTTGTTGCTTTTTCCTTTTAAAAACTATCTATCATGCCATATCACATTCGTTTTAGATAGATGGTCCTTATTCTATTGTTTTTAAAAGCGTCGCCTATCTCTCTGTACGTAAATAATTCTATTCTCTTATCAATCTAAAGCTTCTAAAGCTGTCCTCTCTCCAATTAATAACCTATAAATGACATAAGCCTATTTTCATCATAAGCCGTCATTATTAATCATTAGGACCATCTTTCTAAAGAGATTATGGAAAGTGGTTGTGATTGCCCGTAGTATTGTTTTGTTGACTATGAGAAAAACAGACTTTTACGAGTATGCCTCCTCACAAATGTTCGCCAAGTTAACTTTTTATAAGCTATGTTAAGCGTAGATAGTAAAAAAGATAAACAGAAGGAAAAGGATTATTAGATAAAGATAAAGAATATAGGAATGAAATTTTAAATAATATCAAAGATTAAATAAATATTAGCAATATAGACTAAAATCTTATTAACTATTAATTATCAATTATTATTCAATTATTCATGATCTCATTCTTAGTTTTCTCTATTTAGACAAGAAAGAAATTCTATTCTCTTTGTTTTTTTTCTATATATATTTTTTAGTAATACTTACCGCAGCCTAGAGTCCCTTGTGAATAAACTGTAATATTACTTTGCTGTCGGCAAGCCTCGGCGGTTAATTTGCACTCGTTGTCGTAAATAAACCCATCAGACCCGCAAACAGGAGCTATAATATTTGGGCAATTTTGCGGACAAATGCATTTTGCTTTTCCTTGTCTGGTTTGACATATTGCACCAAATTTACACTTTTTTAAGCCTAAAGTACATTTGTCGCATCGCCCAAAATTTGCGACTCGAACGTTTTTTCTATTTAGGCAACTATATCTCTTCAATTGGCATTCATTTCTATAATCTACATGGTCCGAACCGCAAACCCATCGAGTTTCGTTTGTACAGGTTGGACAGACGCATTTGGTTCCCGAATATTCCAATATACAAATTCCGTTATATGGACATTTAACTGTTTGGCAGGCTGCACTGTCAGGGTTACATTGACCACTATACGCCTCTGCCAGGTCTAAACCCTTCCTGCAGGCGTGCCTTATTAAATGACAGGGTGAGTCGTAATTTCGTCCGTCGGTTCCACAAACTGGTTTCATCATCTTTGGGCAAGGAGGAGGGCAAACACATTTCGGCTCAAAGTGATTCATCGGGTCGAGCATACAATATTCTCCTCTGTGTGTCTTGCAGTTCAAAGAGGAACAAGGATGATGAACTGAAGAAAAATAAAAAACCCTTTAGAGAATTTTTAGTCAGATATAAAACAGAAAGGCGGAAATGAGGTGAACATTTTCGTGCAGTGTTTAGAATTAGACCTTTTTTTATATATATGCAATCCTTAATTATTCACATTGTAAAGATATTAGTGATTCGTGAACGAAACATTTACTGTAAATCACGTGATCGAATATTTTTCATCTCAATATTGTGTTTTTGTGACGTTTTTTTCGATGCTGATCGATAAAACAAGTATATATTTTGATAAATGATATAGTGATTGGGAATACCATCAACAACTGCTCTTCCGTCATTTACTTGCACATCTGGATTGGCTGCTTTTTTAGAAATGAGCCCATTAAGTTTTTTGTTAGAAAAAGAAAAAGACAAGACCGATATATAGCAGGATAGTAAGAAAATAAGATGAGAGGAATGAAAAAAGAGTGAACTAAACTGAAGGAACTAATCTGGATAAATGACTGCAATATTCGGCTTTACGTCAGCGCTTCTGACTAGCTAGATAAAGGCTTCTTTGAATAATTCATTCTTAAACGTTTCCCAACCTCTTTTTGAGATATATTCTCAAACTTATTTAAGGAAAAATAGATAATATCAGAAATACATTTATTTTAACGTTCCCTCAAGCTAGCATTAAAGGGTCTGTTGCGCTACAGTGAGTATATTTCTGCTGTGATAAGTGTTGCTGGCCTACTTTAGGGAAAGGTAATAATTGCTGAAATCGTGTAATTGACACGTTTCTCCTTCCAAGTATTATCTTTTACTACTAATTTTGTTTCCTCTTTCCCTTTACGTTACACAAATTTCTCTCTCCCTCTCTATGTATCTGCATCGGAATCTTTCTCTTTAATTCTCTTTAAAAACTTCATCAACTCTATCACACTTTTAAATACCATTACTATAAGTCAAAATATTAATTATTCACGAAAATGGACCCCACAACGCTCGTTTCAAGACATGTATTGGATTGAGGTTGGGATGGAAATGTCATATAAGCGAACACTTTCTAATAAGAAACTAAAGAAGAGATAAAATAACTTATAAGTAGTCAAGAACAATATATCATATGCATATAAAAAGTCTATTTAGAATAAGTGTTAGTTACTGTCCAGCAATATATGTTTACTAGGTTTTTTTCTTTGAATAAACTGGTATGAAAATTTATATATTGATATTTTTGAAATATCTAAAAGTATCACTAATAAGACAAAGACAAGTAATGATAACTTTGTTTTGAATGTTTAATTAAACAATTAAGTATCTTACTAATGGAGAATAAACATGTCTATCTGTCTCTCTGTCTATCTATCTATCTGTCTCTCTTTCTCTCTCTCTCCCTCTCTCTCTCTCACTCTCTCTCTCTCTCTCTCTCTCTCTCTCTCTATTCCTTTTTTATTCTGCTCAATCCGCTTAAGTGACTAGTGGTATAAACCATTAAAATTATTAATCTTGTATAAGAGTCTACTAGAAACCCTCTTTTGCTTATATGTAGTATACTATCCATAGCACGAACCTAAAATAAAGAGAAAATGCAATGGACGTTGGAAGTATTTGATAGGCTTAAAGATAGAGAACTTCCCCTCTCTCTCTTAAATGCAAATATATAGAGGAATTTATTTGGTAGGAAAACACTAGAGTAAAATTCCATTGGGATAGATCAAAGTCAACAACCAACTGTCACTCTAAAAAATTGCAACTCGTAATGCATTCACCCTTATACGGTTTTATCTAATCAGTTCTTGTTAGGCATAAGAATTTTTACAGATGTTTCTGGCCTATTACATTTCTTTTATTTAACCATCTTTCTATAATTTTATTTAGATTTACAAGAGGGACAAAGAGGTGTCTATTATTGCTTGTTTAAATCATCTCTAATTAATATACAGTATATATTAGAAATTTCAACTTACAATCGTCGCATTTTTTCCTTTGAAATATTTTTATATTCTTTCCAGTTTTACAAGACTGAAACTTCATGAAACATTCATTTGAATAGGTAACACCATCTGTTCCGCATATCTAAATAGATAGAAGAAAAAAGAACATTGTATTATTATTAAAGTATATTGTGAATGTTTGTTGTTTCGATTTTTAAAACCTTTTTCGATCCTCTAATGTAAGTGAGGAACGATAGAGTAAAAGGATAAAGGGTAGGGATGAAGGGTAGAGGCCTTTTATATATAAATATAAAGTTGTCTGTATATAGTATTGGATTATAGTAAAAATTCCCAACGCTCTCCCCAATATGGTCGATAAGCGTGATTCGATTAGCAAAGTAGTTCGGTCGACTTAATCCTTAATAATTACACTAATACATCGAATTTTCATTTAATAACAGACTATAGAATCTTACCTAATTGATAAATTCGATTTATTATTTGTCTAGAATATGTTGATTATTATTAACAAGGAAAAAGGAAAGGGGCGGAGTTATTTAAAAAAATGAGGCGAAAAGAAGGAAAAAGCAAATAAAGGTTTTTTAAAACATAATTATAATATAAAGTATTTGAAATTTAAACTATACTTACAGATTTTTTCGGTAGATGCGAACAATTACTATTACAAAAACATTCCCCTCGTCTGTCTTTTGTCAGTTGACATACAGAATGGTCAGGACAAAATACTCCTTCGCATGGATCTGTCGGGCGTAAAATTGAATTGTCACTAGTTTTCTTCAGACAAAATTTAGGTTTGTAGTCCTAATTATTAGCTCTAACCAGACCAAATTCTTTTTATTTCTTCCTTTGTTCCTTAACAGAATACTTTCTAAAAATAACTTTTAAAAAAAGGGAGAACTTTCTTTTTATATGAAAGAGGATTTTAAATTAATTATAACTATAGATTTCATTGGTTTTTATTTATATAGAAATTCAACACTGAAGGGAATCTATGGAGGATTTAGGGATGATTGCCAAGGATCATTCAGATTTTTTCTTCCAGACTATGAAATTCCTTAATGGAAAGTTAACGAATTTTATCCAGAATAAGGAAGCGGAATTCCCCATCAAAAGGAAATGTCTCTTCTCTATCTTTCATTAACATGACCTACAATTTTCAAAGCTTTTCTATCCCTTTTTCGAGAAAAGTCGATTTGGAAGAAAGAAACCTAAATAATAATGATGCGCCACCTAGTTAGTATTTTTTTAATTTGTTTCATTTCTATATAGATTTATATATTACTATAAATAGATATATGTAAAATGGGATTTAATAGTATAAATCTAATAAAGCTTAATTGCTGGGCAAAATTTTGGCGGTCGCTGATTTCTTAATTACAATACTACGGCAAAAATTTGATTAAACACACTCAGCCGGCTCCTGAAGAAAAACAACGCCATGTTACCATAATTCAATTGAAAGTCGGCAGAATTAGAATCGCATAATTTATATATGTAAACATAGGGAAGCAAAGAGAAAAATAGATTGCTGGGGATATATACTGATAGATAGATAGATAGGTAGATAGAGAATGTGTGTATGCGTGTTTTGTGAGCTGTCTTTCGCAAAGAGTTTATATTACACAGTCATTTAACATAATAATTTAATAATTTAATGCCATAGAACTAGAAAAAAGTTAAAAATGCTGACAAAATTATCCCCTAAGATAATCATTTTAAGGAATATTTTCATCTAAAAATAGATTATTATAATTTATAATTTACAATCTGTCTTAAAAGATATTTTCCAGTTCTGGTCGCTTTTTTCCCACAGCTAATTCTAAGCTTTTCTCGAGTTTATGTGTGTGTGTGTGAGAGAGAGAGAGAGAAAGAGAGAGAGAGAGAGACACACACACAAATTCTTGCCTATTTCATTCACTTATTTTCCAAATCATATGACTCTTATCATTTTTTCTAACTTTAATAATAAGAAAAAAATAAGCCTATGTTTATCATTCTTTTCTCTTCCCCTCTTGGTCTTAACCAGTAGAAATACAATATCAATTTTATTAGATTTATCCTATGACGTATGCACTTAACAAACATAGTTTTACGACAAACATTCCATCATTGTATGACCCCATTTCACCACTTCCCACTTTCTTTTACTACCATGTGCCCATATATAGTCCTAAGTACAGAATTGTTGAAATAGTCAAAAAACAAAATAGGCGTTTTTTTTTTCACTAAATAATTTCTTGTAAACCGAAATGTCTGCCATTTGAAAGTAATAATATGGGTATGTAGTCAATTAGATTCGCATATAAATACAGTATTTGGACTCTATTTATAGAATGTAGTGGAACGTCGCAACAGAGAAAACTCCTATAGAAAATTACTGATTTGTCAGACTCTAGTTTTTATATGTTATCAATGCCCAATTGAGAACATTATTATCGTAAAATAGACCTAATAACAACTCAGACGTTCAAAATTGGACGCTTGAGAGCCTAAGACGTCTTGTCTATAAAGGAAAGAAAAAGGATTTTTAGTGGTAGCCTATAAAGCGGAATTTTTCCCGAGAAAGTCTTCATAATAGAAATTAAATGACAGAGAATAAGACTATAGACTTTTTTATATTTCCACTATCTTATGATTAACTCTTTCCTTCATTTTTATTAAGATTTTATAAGAAAGTCTTAATAATTAATATCCTTATTGCCTTTATATCCGATATATGAAGTTAATTGTTTATATAATAAAGAAATCCGCTTCTGTAATTGTTAGTACTACTACTATTAGTAGTATTAATATAATAGGGAGAAATTAATAAGGAGCTAGTTAATATAGAATTAATTCATTCCATTTTTTCTCTTCTTCTTCTTCTTCTTCTTAGATGTAATTCGAAGAGAACGATAGAAAATGGTACTCTCTTAATTAATGGATAGAATTTTACTGTTTTATTTAAATATTTGAAGAGGAAGCGAAAAAGTAAGTAAAAATTAAGTGGTTTATGGTATCGACAGTGGCCGACTTTCTTCTACGATCCCGATTCCACTCTACCTCTCTCCACCTCTCGCTCTCTGCCGCTCTCTCACATACCCCTCTTCCCGTCTACTTTGCCTTTCTCCCTCAGGTTCGAAATGGAACTAAGAAATCCACTTACCGCATTCTCCTTTATATTTAACCGTAATATTGAGAACATTATCGCAGGCATATTTCTCTAGATGACAGAGATCGCTATATGTTTTACCGTCACTTCCACAAACGGCATATGAATCCACATGATTGCCAAAAGAATAACATTCTTTCCTGCACACACATCTGGAACTGATACCGTCTAACGATGGCTCGCAATAAGCTCCGTGAGGACACACGACACCTTTGCATGGATCTCTAACGTCTGGAGGATACATATAGCAATTGTTTACAATCTTTATGGATATCAACAAGATTAGGACGGACTGGACGGTTAACATGTCTAAGGCACACGCCAAACTGAAAAAGACGTCTACTATAACTGCGCCATCTAGTGACAATATTTTTTTGATGTAGATATTAAAAAAATATGAGATAATCTTCCCAAGGGTCACTAAGAAGCTTTTAGACCGATAATCACCTTAGCGAAAAATGTACGTGAAAAAAACCCGATGCCATTAAGTTGATTAACAAAGACGGAGACGTCGTTTGAATTATGTAGAGAGACGCCTGCCGAAATAGACGCCTCACTCCGAAATCGATAAGTGACGCCTAAAGAAAGTTGGCTTCTTTTTCACACAAATAATCCAACACTAGATTTTCATCGAATAGGATAAGATTGTGCCTTAAAATCTTAAATAGACGCTTCATAGCCTAAATCTTAATTAAATTTTTCTTTTGTTTCTCTTCAAATATTGATCGATATAGGAAATTGATGATTGAAAAAAGAAATGCGTTTTCTAGGAGAAGATGGAATAAAAAGGAAAAGCAGAAACAGAGATTTATACATCTTTTTTTATCAATCTCATTCATTGACCGTCTCCTTTGAGTAGGTCAAAGGAAAAAGCAATTCTTCTTCAAACTCCCCCTTTTCTTCCTCTTCATTATCAACACTCGAAAAATACTCAATAAAATTTGCAACAGATACGCAAATGTTTCCTAATTTCTTTTTTTTCTAAAGGTTACCGACTCCTCCTCTCTTCTTCCCTAAAACTCAATGGCGTGATATAGAATGGAAATTCTAAGAATAATAATTACAAGCTCAAAACAATCATATCTTTCTAAAAAAAACAAAGATAAATGAAAGACGGATAAAGAGAGAAAGTGAATGAGACAGATATATAACTATATATATATATATATATTTGTATATAGTACAGTATATACATTTATCATTTTATGCTTTTTAACCTATTTAAATAGTTAATAACAAACTGGTATGTACTTTATTGCTAATTCAAATATTTAATTATTGATACGAAATAGGGAAAAAACAAGCGAAATATTCTATTTTATTGACTTGTATTCCAGATTAAGAAATTCCTAAGGGATTCATAAACGATAAATTGTAATTGTTAAATGAAAAGTTTAACAATATTGATTTAATTTTAGGGTAATGTTTCTGAATTTCTATATCATTCCTTTAATGCCGGTTTCTCATATTCGCATGTTTAAAACATTATATATATATGTAAATATATTCAATGAAAATTAATTAGGTTTCTATCAGTTGCCATATATATCGTCGTCATTATCATGTATACGATAGTAGTACATATCATAAGTTTTATTTGGTACTCATTGCTTTTCTTTGCATGAAATTCATTAGCCTCTAGCGTTAGAAGCTTTTTACTTTTGGCTAAAGTGACTATCTCGTGATTTAGATAAATATTTCTACTTTCTTTTTCTTACATATATTCCTATTTATTCTTTCTCTCCAATTTCATTTGCTCTCTTTGTTTATATTCTTCATATTCAATAAAAAACAAACTGGCCAAAGAGCTCAACTCTTTAATTGGCTATTTAAACCAAAATGCCACCAATTAATTTGTTTGGTATACCCAAATCCTTATAAAATATCTATCTTTCTATCTATCTATCTATCTATCTATATATATATATATATATATATATGTAGTATATACATACATGTTCTATTTTGTAGAGGAGAAACTATAGTATGGCCATCTGTTGTTTTTAATGCTAACTATTTTTTTCGAAATATTGAAACTTAACTCACCTTCCGTACAATTTCCGTGATGTCTAATAGTTATAAGAACACTGTCTCGGCAGGAATGTCTCTTTAGTTCGCATAGCGAAGAATAAGTTACCCCATTACTTCCGCAAACTTTTCTATTTCCCCAAGAAGATCTGTTATAAAAACAAGTTAAAAACTTTTATTAAATTACCATATTAGATGTTGTTGATAGAGGGAGTTTTGTAATAGATTTATTAAGAAAAAGAATAAGAATTGATTGTAACCATTTAATTAAAAATATTGTTAGATAAAACACTTTGCTGTTTCAATTGCAGTAGTATTTAGTTTTAAACTTTACAATTAATTAATGTTAATTATTTCAATTGATATTGGTAAGATTAGATATAGGTTTGTGATTTTAAATGGATTATAGTAAGAAAGAGATGTACTTTTAACAATCTCAGTTTATAGCTAACATTTTTAGATAAAAGATTCCATTTTACTAGATTATTAGACTGTGTAAATCTGTGATCTAAGATAAGTATATCTATGAAAACTACAGACATTTAAAATAAGTAATATATTCATGACATTTATAAATATAGCTATTTGATCCTTGGTAGAGATGCTGGGATGTTGATCTTACACGTCAAAATTTTTTTACTCTTGTTCATAAGAGAAACCAAGTGCTTTCTTAATATTATACTGAAATAGTAAGATATGAATTAATAAGCTATAAATCTAGGCCTATATTTCTGGACAAATTTCTTTTGTTGACCAGTGTATACACGCGTAATTTTGAAAGGAGCAGAATACGTATTAGTGCTAATTGAGAACCAATTAATAAAATGAGTCTACCGTGTAAGTCTAACTTCCCTTAAGCAAGATTAACCAGCTTTGTACAATCTGTATGTGAAATACTTAAGAAATACAAAATATTTCATATTCCATTCTCTCCTAGTAATTTTTCGTTCTACAATTATGAAATAAACAAACAAAAAGCTCTTGATACTATTAGATGAACAAGTATTCATAGGATAATCTATGAATAATTCAAAAGTACTGCAACTTGTCTCATTTTAAGGACTTTACAGTAGCGTAGTACTCTTATTGCAAAGTTTATTTGTTGGTAAAGAATTAGTCGATTCAGCCATTGTAGCATAAAAATATGTTTACTTACGGGCAAACGGGACATTCGCAAACGTAGTCCTTTCCTTTAATATTTCTACACTCTTTACCATACGGACAGGTTATGACTCTACATGGATCTATAAAGAGATAACACAAAAAGTTATAATGAAATATATTCAACAAAATAGATTAAAATATTCTCTTCTTGTTTCAAAAGAGATAGAAGAGAAAGACAGGAAATATACAAACCATTTGAGAAAATATCTATTCTCTTTCGCGGCTTATAAACGGTATCTGCAAAATGAGTAGCAAATAATAACATTCCAACTGCAACGCTTAACCATAATAATGTTAGTAATAATGTAAAAACTAATTTTCTATCAGTCTTTACACTAGAATTTAGTAATTGAGAATGTATTTTAGGCATTGCTGTTTTTCGAATGACTGGGGAAAAAAGCGATTTTTCTATCCAATTTAATTTACATAATTTATACGGATTGCCTAATCAGAAAAATGTGTCAATGTCTGACGAGTAACGCCTTGTTTCTTTCGTTTTTTATTCACTTATTTCTTCTTATTCAATGGTTTTTCGTATTTTTTATTGATTGAAATCCTTAATAAAAAATGTCAAGTTGTTTAAAAACATTCAGTTTGTTTAATTATTACGTAAATAATTGATTAAACATTAAATTAGAATAAAATCATTTCATTATAGAAAACGGTAAGACTTAATGAGCATGAATTACTTCTACGAAGGTGTTTTATATCATTTTATAAGAGAGAGAGAGAGCGAGAGAGAGAGAGAGAGAGAGAGAGACGAATAAGGAAGAATATGCTGTAAATATATATATATATATATATACATATGGACGGAAAGAGCAGATACGTATCTTTGTATAAAAGAATGTAACCAATTGCTCTCTCTTCGTTCATGCTACTCCTTTTCTTCTTTACAGTTTTCGAAAATTAACTATATAAAGAATACTCCTTTGTAGTTTTTTTCTTTTAATAGACTACGTATTATTCGTAGTCTATGTAATCTCTTATCTTTATTCTCTTATACCTTATTCTTGAACTAAAAATAAATTGACCCTTATTTTTTATTATATAAAAAGGGAAAAAAGGGCAAAATTAAATTGATCTTTCAACAATAATTACTAACGATACTTCCATTGACAAAAGCTTTGTATAGAGGTTACCTTTTCTCAATACAGTATATGTTGTTTATCTTTTTTCATCCTTATCTTTCCATCTCTACAAAAGTCGCCGACAAACGACTCTATACTGTAAAAACGGATACTTCCGGCATTCAATATAACAAAACTATCTAAATCTAAAAAGGTCACATTTCTAACCCTTAACAATACACCTATTGTCAAAATTTTAACGACGTCATTCATCTTTTTCGATCGTCCGTCCAGATCTGTTTCGAAACAATTAAAACGATCCGGAATAATTACATATTTCCTTAAGCATTCGTCATTCTGTCACACTATTTAAATATTCCCTTCTTCATTATTGTAATAAATATAAACAAATTCCATATATTAAAAACTTTTTCTCTTGGACAGCTAGATGGCGTTGCTAGTAAGAAAGAAAGGGGGCGTCTCTTCCATTTACAATATTCTTGAAGCATTCAATAGAAGACGTATATACATATATGTATATATATATACAGTATATAGAAAGAACAAGAAGAAGAAGAGAGACGATCTACTTGAATATAAATTAAAATCTTTATTTTCCTTTAACCTTTTCTTTTTATAGTTATGAGAAATATTCGTCCAGTGTAAAAGTTTACAGAATAAATACTTGCTATTTGGTGTTGGAATACAATTTTATGAATACCCTTTTCGTATATTTTCACTTTACTATATCTATTTATTTGCGGACTTTCTCAATAAGCTAATACATAAATATATATAGATATATAATGCTAATCGATGCAACGAATAAACAAAATGAAAATCATAATATTTAAAAAGAAATCATAAAAAAAGGCGTCGAAAAGAGACGGCTTTCTTGTTGAAATAGAATGGAAAAAAAAAGTAATTTATTTCGTTTCTTTTTTTTTGGGATATAGAGATGAGAGCTCCGTGGAGAGATGCATTGATAAATCCATACATCATGGGACACGTTAAAGACAACAATCATTTATCATAAAAGAAAAAACCAAGTCGAATATAAAATATA